CCACATAACGCCTAGGTACATTCAGCATACTCGTTTACAATGCACGTATGCTAAATGCCCCTAGGCGTTATGTGGATAAAAGAGAAGGACGTATTGGTAAAATTGAAAGGATCTGGATTAGAGTTTGACTTTGAATTGTAACACATCCTGATTTTCTGTTATGCAAAAGCACTATGAAAATTGCTGTTTGTCTCAAATTGTCATAAGTTGTGTCATTCCATCCTAGTGATCAAAATGAGGGTTTTGCATTTGCAGATTGACGAATCTTTCAGGGAAAGATCTTTCACTTAATTAAAATTTAATTTCAATTACAGACTACAGAGAATAAAGGGCTGTTCTTTAGAAAAAATTGTTTTTTTTACGTCCAGAAAACTGGCAATGACGTTCAAAAAAGGTTTAATGGCTTGCTTTTTTTTAGTTCGTCTAAGAGTCCATCGCTTGACAAAAGATTAAACATAAGACTTTCAAACCTTGTTTATGTTTGTTTTTCATCAATGCAATAATTTATGGTTTAAAGAGTGTGATCTTGTGGACTTGGCCAAACCCAAGCACAAATTTGCCGTAGCATGCTTTTTCGAATGTGGAAGGATGGTGTAGTTTGCTCTAAGATACTCCAAAAAGCACTGTGATGGGACAGCGTACAGCGTACTCCTTGAAGGAGCCTCCCCAATTCTCTCCATTCCTGATCATGACAAACACACAATGTCCTTTCCTTAATGTGGAAATGTTCGTTTACGACTTCTTTTGCGGACCTTGCCATGAGTCCGTCTTCTAGGTGGAGCAGAGAGAGAACCAGATGAAGACTCCGTTAACGAGTAATGGCCCATGGCGCCAAACGGAAAAGGCGCTGGACTTGATAAGTCATCAGGATCCATCCAAATAAGGTTAAAATTGTTTTGCTCCACGAAACGGTCCAACATATTCTTGATCTTTGGGTCTTTGTGGTGGCGAGAGTTCACCACAATACACTCAACATTCTCAGATAGGCTGACTGGTCCGTGAATTTGAACCTGTCGTGTAAATATCGACTCAAATATTTGAAACCCGATGGGTTATCAGATCTAGAATAGTTACAAAAGCTCATTTTGAGTTCCTGCTAGGGACCATAAAGACTGACGAACTAAAATACATGCAAAGGTTTGAAAGCAACTATCATGGAAAAAACAAACAAACAAAAGATCAAATAAAACAAAACATGAAGAGAAAACAAGTAAAAAATTGTTGATCTTTGTGGAAGGAGGAAATTGGCGAACTCAAAGAAAACCTCTCGGTACAGCCCAGGAAGGTTCCCCGCGACTTGAACCCAGGCCGCAGAGGCAGGATTGAGCATTCTCATCGCATAAACGTCGACTCCTTGTGAGAGTTTGTTTTACTCGTCGTGCGTATTCAATAGGTTAGGAAGATAGATATTTTTAACGCGAAGGCACTATGTCCAGTACATAACAAAACACCTAGTGCTGATATTCCAGCACAAACTATTTCAATTATGACCAACAGCAAAATTAAAAAACAAACACGAAACAAAGTACGCATATTACCTCTTTGTACTTTGATATACAGTCTGATCGATGAAATGGAACCTTTCCATTGGCTACATCCATTATCTGGGAAATTGAAGAGACGTGTTTGACAATTTCGTTACGCATAGAAAATTCAGATGTTCGTCGTACATCTTGACCCTAATTATGACTTCCTCTACGGTTTTCGAGGTGTCAGTCACCACTACCAAACTCCTTAGGACTACTCCGACCCGAACGATCAGAGTACACGATGAAATGAAAAAATACTGGCACAAACAATTCGCAATCAATCAAAAGAACAAGCAAAGGAGACAGTAAAATAGGAGTGGGTAGAAAAAGTATCGCATTGAAATTATTCACCGCAGTTATCTCGTTGTCTGTGTATGCAAAGAGGACGTTTTCATAATGTTCACAACATGACAGCTTGACTCCTTCACCGGATGTGTCCATAGAAGCGAACGTGGTACGAAGACGAACTTTTCTTAGCTAAGAACAAAACAGATACCAAAATTTTAAAATGAACCGCTACAACTGGTATGGTGACACTGACATGTGCATTACGTGGGTAAGTTTAAGTTAATACAAACTCTTCTGGAATCCAGGACTTTTGACCCGTTCCAGTGTCATCTCAGTTATAGTTTAACATGTGTGTAAGTCCGAGAATGAAAGTGACTATGCTGCTGAAGACAGGTTATTTTTGTTTTGCGACTTTTCCATTTAAGAGTTGCATGCCCCAGAAAGGAAAATAATAAACGAAGAAATCTCAATTTGCAAGCTTATAATGGGAAGTCTGGCAATGATGGAATGAATTTAGGAAGATATCGTTTTCCACCGCACAGAGATTGAAAACATGGCTTCCCTCAACCTGGGCGTTAAAGGAATTTAACAGCCTGTCAACAGTAAAACAACCAAGTGTCCTCTCGTTAACAGAAGAAACTTGTTTTTGCTGGGCTTGAGTCTCTTTTGTGAGAATTTGGATCTCCCCTTGTTGAAAGCTTTCTCGTATGATGAATTTATTGGATAATTATTGTAATTTTGTAACTTGTTGTCATTGTATTCTTCGCTTCCTTTGGAAAGAAAGAAAAAAACTCTTCAGTGGAACAATTACGATGGATTCTCAATACAACTCCATAGAGAATGGCTCGTTGGAGCTTTTAGTGCGTGTTAACTACAAAAAAGTAAGTACAGGTGGCAATCAGAGGATTTGGCATTAAATCAGTGATGACAAAGCCAAGTCGAAGGTGCAAGATGCTATCTAACACGTCTAAGCTATTCTTATAAGAGGTTAACTTAAATTTGATGGTGGGATTGGGAGATTTGAGACACTTTGTAAATTCAAGTTATTTTGGTACGCAAAAGGTGAAAAAATGGAAAAATTTGTGCCTTAATACCGCCAACACAGCATTGGATTGATTGTACCTTCAGATTTGACTCTTACTGCACAACTTGGTGGCGAGAACATGCAGCTGATATCGCTGGTGCGTAAATGGTGCCGGATTACTCTCCAATCATGTATGTTTTCTTTAATTAAGCGAGCGATCTTTATTTACTTAGTAAATTTCCTAGCACGAAAGTGACAAAAGAGGCTAACCTGTAGAAAGGAATCTCCATAATGAATACAGCTTCTTACACCACGAGGATCGCCAACTAGGAAGCCGGGCAAATAGTACAGATAAGAGGAGGTCAGTAAACTATCGCTTTCTCACAGCACTTTGATGATAGAAAAATAAGCCTTATTTGGAGCGATTTTCGAACTGGTTATTAAAAAGTAACCTATGATTTCATTGGTTTTACTTCACCGGGCTTTAAGATTGGTTCCGACATCACACCCCACCGTTTTAAAAATTCAAACACTGCAATTACGTGTGACTTGGTCATGTGCACTTTCCTGCGCTCGATGTAGGGCTACATGTATTAGCAATTGGCACGTTATGACATCTCCTTTGTTCCTCTGCCTAGCTGATCGGCGAATTTTATGGCAGTCTACGAGATTCAATGGAAGAAGGCTCTGAGCCGTTTTAGCTATTTATTAAAGGTTGATACAAGTGATCATCATGATTTTCCTATGGTTGTTAGCAAAATAAAAATGTTAGAAGGTAATCATCCTTTCCCTTGTGATAGATGCTAGGGATTCTCTGGTGTGGCATTCAAGTCATGGTGTCATGCTCACCTATGTTTAGTACACCGTACTTGACTCGCTCTGATGGGTTACTGTCGTGGTAAGCGCTGTTAAAAATACGGTCCTAGGCGGCGAAGAAAGAGATTGTAAGAGCACATTGAGTCGCCAGCAATGTTTGGAGCAATGACCTTTTAAGTGAATCAACTTGAGAGAAGAGTCTCACCAGTACTCGACTGATTCTCGAACTTCAAAGTGACTAAAGATACCGTTAACTCTCTACGGAACCTGTCACTAAAGGTGAATAAAGAATGGCTAATTTTAAAAAAAAAGCACTAAAACAAAAAGACGGGGAAACGCTTCCAAGGCTGAGTCAGAGGCGAGTCGTTCTACTCTTTCTGTTTCTTGAGGCATGTAATATCGCTTCTAAGACTCCAATTCCCTCAAGTTGTTTCGAGAGCGTGGGGTTTTGTTTCTGTCTCCAATAAGATGTAAAGTAACGGTAATCTTTGATCATTTCTCGTATTCTCACCTCCCAGGATTTCCTAGCCACTATGTCCGTTGAGCCCCCACTAGTGCCAGTCTCAAAGCGGTTTCGATAATGAGTATCGTCGACTAAGAACTTTAACACTCTGTCAAGATTGACGTGGATGATAATAGGAGCTGCACTGCGGACCCACTGCAAGGTTCTAAAAACCAAACATTGTCTTAAACGCAATATAAAATATTGACTTAAGTTCAGGAGCCCGTCGAAATACCCTGCAGTTACTGCTCATTTAAAGGTCCTTTCTTAATTACAGTGTTTGGATTTATGATAGAAGTACCGATAATTTTGAAAGTGAACTATGATGATAACAACATGTGTTGAATATGCAGGACCCAAGTCCAACGAATTCATTGTCGTAGTGCATTTATCTATTTCCAATACTACTATTGGTTTTGTCGGGTAAACATAAACGCAACAGTAACTACAGAAAACTCTTGGTGCAACCTAGAGGCGCAACCAATGAGTGACTCTATTCATTCCCTTCTTGTAACACCTACCATCTGTGAAATCAAGTACTGCAGTGAAAGAGATTGCAAAGAAAATCTTGCAACATTCGCACAACGGTTGGGAACCAACAATGCGAAGATGGTAAGTTCTTTTGGAAAGTTAAAGCCCGAGCCGGTGGTTTTCATTTTCGAATAAATCAATGGAAAGTCTCTTCTTAAAGAAACAACTGCTCTTTACAAGACCCATCTCTCCTTTACAATCACACTTCACGATCAAGGAAAATTGTCAGCTAAGAGAACCAACTCCCAGACTGCTATCCGACTTACCGCTATTGGTAGGACTAGCATCAACTTCTTTCAAAATACTAAGTGGTCAGAGGTATGATACTAACCTCTTCAAGTCGTTTTCACTGTAACCCAGTCGCTTGACTCGAGCAAGTAAGGTGGAAGCAACTGTTTTGGAATCCTGGGCAGAGCGTGTAATGACATATTCTAAAGCGTCCCTTTGAGTGTCATTCAAGATGGCGACTGATGAGATGGCACTTAACTGAGAGGACGAAAATTCTTTCTTATAGTGATTTGGCTTTCGAACAAAGAAAGCGATTTGATAGTCTTTTTCCTCATTTATTATTTCTATTTTTCCCTCTTTGCTATTCATGCACAAAGGCATAATAAATAAGTTGTTACTCGCTTTTCCGCTTTGTCTAAATCGATAAAATCCTCTTAACATTCCTACAGTAATTTCTTCATTTGAGTTTGGGGTATCAAAGGAAACGGTATTTTACACCGAAAATTTTTAAGACAACAAAGGGATACCTTAAGACAATCCTTTAATTTGAAGCGGATTACCGTAAAATGACCGTGTATAATTTGCTTCTTTCTACCAGACCTATGCTGTATGACGAAATGCATTGTTTCCGCTGGCTAACCACGTTTGCAGTAGCTTACCGCAGAAGCCATGTCTCTCCCAGGAAGAAAAATAATGGTTAAATATTCAACATAAACATTGCTGTTCGATTCCAATTTCTTTGAGATTCAAGTAAAAGGGATATGTTTTCACTGCTTCTCCTTTACGTTTTCCTTTGTTGCCCCACCTCTTTGTTTACGGAAAGTACTCAGGGGAGCGCCTTTGAAATGCATAAACAATAATAAAGCCAGACCACAACACAGGGAGCTACGTTCCCTCCTCTTTGTGAGGAGTGCATGAGCTCTATAACTTCCTTTGCCAACCAGTACGAAGAAGATGCAGGATACGGGGCCTACGGTTTATCTCCCTTATCCTAAAAGATTGAGATGTTTAACCATTTGCTGGTGCCATAGCAAAGGCAGCACATTCTCCTCAGTACATTTTTAGACCCTGAGTGTTGGTCCTGCATAGGGCTTACGTCATTGACAGGTCTGGTTTCTTACGATAGCGATGGTCAGATTTCCAACTTACGTCATGAACGGAAGGTAGGAAACCTTGGAATCTCTCTCGTGGTCCTGACATGTCTCCATCACACTTCTGCGAATGACGTATCAGCTTATGAATTGGGAAGTCTCTAAAACAGTACATACACCTTTCTAGAGGTTCGCCTGCTAATGGTTGGCTGTTAGCCGCATCCTCCTAGAAAACATTTGTTCTAATTAAAACCAGAATTCTAAGGATTCCAGGGAGAGGAAAGGTTGCTTGTGCCTGCGGTGGTCTTCTATTTTGAGCTTAAACACCCTAATCTACAGTGGTTGCCATATGGGTGAATGAGGCCCAAATGTCAAACGGTTCAAAATTTAAAAAAAAACCAACCTGACTGCAATGGATTGTTCTCTGCTCACAATTCGGTGCATGGTCTATCAGTTCATTCAAAGGAAATGTCCTTAGGCAGTAATAACACTGTTCCAGATCATTTGAACTCGTAGTGTTCTACAGAAATTCAAAACAAAAAATTGAAGACTTAGTTCTGAGAACTTCACTCGAATTGATTGAAGAAACGGGCTGCATATTCCCTTCCTCATAAAGCCTTATTAAAGTTCGTGAAAAAAAGAGTCGGAAGAGCAGGAAAGCTTTGGTTAGCTGGGTGAAGTGAGTGATAGGTGTAAAAATGTCCATCTCGAATTTGGTTGCACCTGTAAATGCTAATTCAGCTATGAGCAAGTAATACTCTTACCAGTATGGTAGAAAGGTCAATTTGGGTGGGGTATCTTGATTGTTATCCCAATAAATTGAAGTCCATGTCTGTCGCTCACAATACAAGCATTTTGGGCAATTGAGTTGTGTCATGCAGTCAATATTCTGCACCTTTTAGAAGGCATTATTCAAGTATTGCGTATAGATACTTTACCAGCTGAAGGCTTGAACAAACGCTGGCATGTTCCACAAGGACGTTCAAAGCAAACATCTTCAAACAGTAAACACACTGTTCTTCACAATCATGATACGAATCCAACGATGATGTTGTCCTCTTTAGGACAACTCCTTTAGATTCATCTGTTTCTTTGTCATCAACGTCATCATCATCGCCATCATCATTATCACCTTCGACCCTGGACCTTTTAACTCTTGAAGATTCTGTCGTTTCTGGTATTTCTGACGTTTTTTTCTCTGAGGAGCTAGCTTGATGCTCAGGGTCAATACCTCCCACAGATAGTCCACTGCTCAAGTTGTTTACAAGCTTAACACATGCAAGTGAATCCCCCACAGGAGCGATTCTTTTTTCAGGCCGTGCGCCTGTTCCCTGGTTTGAGTGGTGTTTTTCGCATTTGGGAAAATGACTGCTCATCACATCTACTGGCAGTCTAATGCCACAATAAACGCAGTCAACAAGTGTTAGTGTCAGTGAATCCGTCGAAGTACGGTCCTTGCCACTTGTTGCCGCTTCTGTATCAACAACTGAGGTACAGTTTGATGCATGCTCAATCAAAAGTGACAAATGAAAAAGCTTACGACAATTAGGACAGAATTCATATTCGTCACTACCGACATCGCCTTCAGCAGCTACAACGGCACCAATACAGTCATCATTTTGATGTTCGCTTAGACTACAATTTGTTCTACGTGTATCCGAATCAATCTTCCTCAGAGCATATTCGTGACGTCTGGAAATTCTTTCAGTAGCATCAGCTTTTTCACTTTCATTTCTTTCATTCTCGTTGTGGTGGTAGCTGTCACCAGAAGTGGTGCTATCTTCGTAAGTTACCCGTCTAGAATCATCAGCTTTGTCACTACCTGTTCCTTCCTCATTCTCGGTGACACCACCTTTGGTAACTTCCTCTTTATCACAACTACTGCCGAGTTGCTTCTCCTCAATATCAACGTCTTCATTGTTTAATGTCTCATGAGTGTAACAACCATGGTCGTTAATTTCGGTTGTATAGGCGTTCTCATTATCTGTATCAGAACCTTCACCGTCACCAGTATTGTCTTTACTTTCTCTATCACCAAATCTCCTGACGTCTTCCTTATCAACATTCCCCCGCAGTGACCCGAAATCTGAGCCCGTTTCTTCTTCCTTGCATTCAGCGGCGTGACTCACTAACTCTAATATGGGAAACTCTCGACCACATTTAGGACACAGTTCTTTCTCAGGAGAGTCTTCAATAAAATCAGACTCGTCTTCTTCGCTAGACGAGAAAGTGGAGGCATCATCCTCCTCAGAGACTTCCTCGGCTATCCGCCTCGAAATGTTCTTGCAGTGGCTGACATGTTCCACAAGTTGCAGTACCTCGAAATTTTCTCCACAGTAAGGGCACGCCTGACGGATATTTTCCGTATCACCTGAGGCTGCGCATGCACTCAGCTTGGAGCATTCAGACACATGTTCAATTAGCTCAGAGACTGGTAAAAATTTGGAACAGAATGTGCATCTTTCTTTGGATTCCACTCTCTCAAGACCAGATTCACTTTCAGGTGGTAAAATGGGTGTGGTAACTCTACTAAGAGAGTCGGAACTTAATTTTTGGGCTTTCTTAGCTGGACAAGAGATCTTTGTTACAGGGTTCTCTTCTACTCGCACTTCCTTTTCCCGCCTAGAGTCGCAACTTGTAACAATTGATTTGTCAATGAATTTTGGTTCAGAACATTTTCCTGAATGATGAAAAGACGTTTTCTTAATTGCAGGTGTTTTTTTCTCGCACAATTCATCATGTACTCTTGTCGTTCTTGCAGCCCTGTCTGATTCACGAGTCATACTTTCAACACGAGTATCTACTGTACACGGTTCACCTTCTACCAATTCAACCACGGAATTCTGAATCTCAGCATTACTGTCCTCTCCGCCCAAACTAGTGTCAAGCGGAAGCGATGATGAAGAAATATGATCTTGACTCTTGGCCTCTAGACTTTGACCTTCACAAACTGCTTCATGCAAAGAAATAGTCACACGAGGAATCCATTTCTCACAGTGAGTACACTTAGCACAATCAACGCTATCTCCAGGTGCACCGTCAATACTTGTTCGTTTGGGCTCTAAATGATTTGCAACTTTTTCTGGCGGTCGAGGGAGATCATGTTCTACCGTACTTTTAGGTACTTTAGATACATACGATCCCGAATGACTTCTTTTAGACGAGCAGATAAGGAACTGTGAGGTAGAGGTGTGCACTTCACCCCGTTTTCCGTGTCCTTCTTCAAAATCATTTGTTTCATCAACACTTAAATTTACGTTACTCGAGCCATCTACAGTAGATCTCTCTGTGTCAGTATTTTTGAAGCTAAAATCATTATTGTACACCTCATTCCTTTCTTTACTTTGTTTATGATTTCGATCCGGGTATTCTATCAGGACCTGTGTATTATCAAAGAACTCTTCACCTCGTAACTTAAATCTCACTTTTTTAACACTAGCGGACTGAACTTCAGCTTTTCGCTTCCTTTCAGCGTTATCACCTGTCATGTGTTGTTGGTTTACTGTGTTCCAAAGGTTGTCCCGGTTTGTATGTAAACTTTCTATTTCTTGGAAATGGAGATGAATGATACCTAATGGAGATGGCCACCAAGTTTAATGCAGTAGACTTGGTTAGCAAAATAACATCGCCATCTTCCACTAAAGTGGACTTTCCCTTCTCGAGTTTTACAGCACAATCACTTGTTTTAAAGGAAATCCATGTTCCATTTGAACTGAGGTCTGTTATTAGAACTTGGCTCTTAGCTTCATCACTGCATCAAGTAATAAAAAAAGAAAAGATTATGATGACAAAATCAGTTTGGAGAAAATACTAAAGCACTACTAGTATCGGTCTACATGCCTCACATTAGCATCAGACTAGGATTAGCTAAGTGAGAGGCTTATGTAAATGTTGATAGATGGAAGGTCTGGAAAATTTAACCCAGATCAAGAGGAATGACCTACAAGATGACTGAGAATTAAAGTGGGACAAAGGTAACTAGATTAAGCATGACTGGTAAGGTTGAGAGATCTGGTTGTATAAAAACTTCCCTCGCTTTAAGAAAGCACATGCTGTAACCCTGGAGTCGGAACTTCTGATATCTTCAAATCTTCCTGGGAGATTGTATGCAGCCCTTCTATTTCCAGATTTACTACACCCATTTTGAAATCACTGGGAGTCCCTGTAATCTGATTGCCTCTAATTGGTGCAATTTATTTACGAATGGCACCATCTAAATCGCATCTTTTTCCCAGCTAAAGAGGAGGCTACACTAAAAAAAACAACAACAAATCAGATTTCAAAGCTTGTTTACGGTGACCAATCAAATTGCAGGAAAATGAAAGACAAAGAGTATCATATGGCAAACTTTGCAACCTTTGTTTCCAAAACTCTTACCCCCCCCCAAAAAAAATGGATGAATTTAATTTCAAAGTACTATATAAATAAAATATTTGAACTGACCAAGTCTTGTATTTGGGCGATTTCAAAATGGATGTAATAAAGTGGCAACTGAACCACGTGTCGTGCATGTCTGGTCTGAAATCATACTTGTGATTTCAAATCACGCGTATGCGTTAAATTGCACTCCACTCAGTTCAATTACCATTATTAATTGCAATTTAACCTGACTACTGACAAACTGCCGAATTGGAACTTAAATCAAACGAACTGAATCTATTTCAAGGTACTTAAGTATTATCAACTGAGTTGATAACGTAAATTGGCCACCGTAAAGAGTTCGAAAGCTTACATTTCGAGCGTTAGCCCCTTGTCAGAGCGAATGAAGGGCTAAAGTGCGAAACATCAGCTTTCAAACACTGGCCAATCTACGTTATCAACTCAGTTGATAATACTTAATTACCCTGTTATACCCTCCCACCGACGTGGCTCGAGAATCATTTTCTCTTGAGATGTTCAGGCTACAGTGGACATTACTCACATAGCCGTCTGTTAATGCGATGTTACAGAGAGGCGATCGATCAATCTTGAATGGACCTGTTACTCGAAGATCGTAATCTTTGTACAACAGGGTGAGATTTTCATCCAACATTGAATTTTTTGCTTCACGATTCTTCTTCCTCCTGTGAGTTCTGTCTTGTTCAGCGGCTACGTCTACGGAAATAAACTCATTTGAATAAGACGCATAAGATATAACAGTGGTTCGCTATTGATGACATAGGTTACCATAGAAACTAGACTACAGAGACCACTTTGAAACTTGTGGTGAAAGTCATAGTGAGCCGACAGTTGACTTTATTATCAGATGGCACCCACAGAAAGTCGTGTATTGGCGTTAAAAATGAGCGATGTATATGTCCAAATTGCAAGAAAACAATAGAAGATTGAGATGACGAATTTAAGGAGGTGGATTTTACAAATCTGCGAAATATCAGGTGGAAAGTGCGCCTGTTAAAATTCGTAACGTTAAATATAACGTTGATTTACATGTACCTCTTGTTGACAAATGACAGAGGAATTTGGCGTTTGTGTGAAATTGGACGACCGAGCTTTGCAATATGACAAGCAAGCTTATGCAGTTAATCGAAACACGGACTAAGAGACCGGTTTTAGATGAATCAGAGTTGAAAGTGAGCTCGCACTGGAAACTTATCAAAACCGCTATTAAACAACCGCATGGGGACGATCCAAAGAAACTTGATGAGAAACAGTCTCTACATGTAGGACACGGCGTTCATTCAGTGAATTCTTTGCCGGTTGAGGAAGATCTTTCCTTTGTAGCGTTTAACTCATTTAATCATAACTTTGTTGGAATTGATAAAGATGGAAAGGCCTCAGTTTTTCTGCCAACCGGTTACCGAGAAGATGTGAACAACAAGACCCTTAAAGATGCCATCTGTGGAATAGTATACGCAAAGAAACCTAGATTTTATGTTGCCTGGGGATTTGATGAAAATATTAGAGTAAGTACACGTCTTTTTATTAATGGACAGACATAAATGTGAGCATCTCTTGTAATCAATGATGATTCAAATGATTTTCTATAGAGAACAGCTCACTTTTAGGAGGGCATGGTAGAGTCACTGCGTAGGTGGTAAGCTCTCAGGCGTCAAGAAAAGAAAGTATTGGAAGTTAAGCACTGTGAAGTGCATGTAGGGAAGCAGGAGCATAGTTCCATGGTTGAGTCTTTCCTTCCTGCTGCTAATGATGTGGCCTGGGTTCAATTCTCTGATCAGGCACCTTTACTGGTTTATTTTGTTTTGCTCAGGGTGTTTTTTACAATGGTCTCCAGTTTTCTTCCCTTCTACAATAGTCTCTGTCTGTTTGATTAGAAAACAGCAAATGAGAACTTGCAAAAATTCTTGAATGTGCCTCTTTTGATTATGCAAATTATTTTTTGCCCATCTGTGGGTTAAATTAAATGCACTCAAAGCAATTGAGACTCTAAAGATCACTGCAAAATCCAGTTAGGTGATCATTATTGTCAGATGTGATATATAAACTGAATGAAAGACATATATATACAAGCATTAAATGTATTTTCCACCATATCTGGTAATTTGGTGAATCAGATCTCAGTTTTGCAATGGTTATGTTCCTTAGTGGACTCATTATCTGGTTTACATCACTGTCACATGGCTCTGAACTCAGTAGTAAAGTTCATCTTGATTGTTCTGCTAATGTGCATGAAAAAGCTTTGGAATGTAAATTATTGGATTTTCCCCACTAATATGGTGGCCAGCCTGCTTAAATTTCTGAAAAAGACACAGTTAAAGCTGCCTGCATTTTCAGTAATTGATTAAGTTCATTGGTACATAATTGATGACAGTATTCTCTCACTAATCTTCACCATATTTAAATTATTAATACTACTCCATGCCAGTAGCATGTTTATATTCAACTTGAACCTTATCCCCATTATCAAGTTACCCCTCTACTTTAAGATTTGATGTTCTCCCCTTGATACTCTACCCCACTGATGATAAACCAAAGAAAAATAAACGTGTATGTGAGTGATGGTTTTGAGGTGAAAAAACCTAACCCACACAAGAATACATGTAAAAATAACTGTATTGTCAAACAGACTTGATAGTTACTAAAAAAGATGTACTAAACTGATTTGTACCCATGCAGAGTAATGGTGCATTGCATTAATAACTAAAAATGGTTGTTTCTCTGACTGATATTTTTTTGCTGCAGTTGATGTCAGATGATTTCAAAGTCATAAGTGTGGCAACCTCTGTTAGCAGAATTTTCAGGTAAATAATAATTCTTCTGGGGCTATGCATGTGTCTCAGGTACATGTACATGGTGTTTAAATAATATTGGTAACTTACTGTAGATCAACATTCTTTGAATAAACCCTGTTGTCTTCAAAATTAATGATTAGACATTCTCATATTTACATAAATACACACTTGGAACTAGTATGATTCATGTACATTTGAAGGCTGTGCTTAATTTGCAATTACAGTGTACAGTACAATGCAATTATGATTTAAGAAACCTCTCTGACATGAAGAGCAAATGTTTTGCAAACTACAGCTTAAATAATATGGCAATGGTAAATCAGTTCTTGTAGTTTGTTGGCCCCATGCATATTCTAATGTATTAAAGAATACATTTTGTGAGTTGTTGGTCATATATAATTAATTTGTTTTGCCACTGCTTATTATTCTGCCAATTAAGCAGTCTCATTTTACAAAAATTATTTAAAAACTGGGTAGAATATTTCACTTCTCTTTACTAATATTGATTATGGATTGTTTAACAGAATTTTTTTTCATTTTCTTTTATCAGTGGAGTGTATAACGAATCTTCAAATGAAATAATAACTGGTGGAGTTGGAAATCTCACAGTAAGTTAAACATCATTTATCTGGTCAGCAATTTTCAAGTTTCAGTTTTTCATCAAGAATGTTGTTGAAAACTATTTTGTTCATATTTTAAATCTTAAATCCCTGAGAGTGATAAGCATCTAATTTCTTCCAACAGTATCCCCCTGAATCAAACATTAAGGTTATGAGAATAAAAGGAAATTATTACAAGGTTAAGAAGCTCTTGATTATTGAGCAAATTTTCCTTGTAAGTACAGCTGGAAATGAATAGAGAACAGTATGGAGAACTTGTAAACTGAAGTTAGAGTGCTGGAAATGAATAGAAAACAGTATGGAGAACTTGTAAACTGAAGTTAGAGTGTAGTGACTTGTATGGACCTGGCCTGTTTGGGATCATCATTTTGGTTTTGATTCTGGCTGGTAGAATTTTCCTATGTGTACTTGCTATTTTTGTGGCACAACACAGATTTTATGAGGGATTATATGGTTTAAATACAAATCTGTTATTGATTGATCTTTTTTTACAGTGCTGGAGTTTTAGATATGGAGCAAAATTTCTTCTCCAGCGTAAAGTCCTTACAGTAAGTTGATTTATTTTGTAAAAACAATTTCCATTTCTTTTAATTTGTGAGTTAATGAGTTTCTTGCCTGAGTCATTGTCTCTTAATGATATCAATATGCTGATCAATATCAGTATCTGGGCAACTGCCCACCTACCCCTCCCCTAACCCAACATTAACCCTAACTTGTTATCAATAGACTGTTGTTGGGTTAGGGGAGGGGTTGGTGGGCAGTTGCCCAGATACTGATTTTGATCCCAATATGCAATGCAATGTAAGCCTAATCTCAAAGAGCAAGAAAAATACTTTTTTTTGTCCATTATTTCAGGATTGTATGCCTCCATCCTGCATCATATCTTTTCTCTGCTTGGAAGACACCCCAAGCAGATCACAGAGATGCTTTGCTGTGTATCACAATAATGTGATTATTTACAATCTCCTCAATGGAACATGTGTTGGACACCTCAAAGAGCTGCATCCCAGAGAGATCACCGCTATGTTGTTTTTCAATCCACTTAAGGTACAATTTACAGACTTTTTGTCATTACTGTATATCACAAAAAATGCGAGAGAAATGTTTGCTTGTAATTCACTGCTTTGACTCCCAAAATATGACTGTTAATCTCCTCTCTAGCTCCTACACATTTCCATGTAAATTAGTTACAGGAATTTGGTGGTACATCAAGGTAACAACATGTACCTGAGAAGTTTGATAGTTCTCATTACTTGTTTTACGGATAGTGTATGTGGATATTACATGGAGAAATTACATATTAATCATTTCTGGGAATTAAAGGTTGAAAACAACACAGAACTGTATTAGAAACTGTACAACTTTGGACAACCCCAGCCATTGCTTAAAGGTCTCTGCAAAATTTAGATTTTAACCCTTTAATTCCCAAGATGTGATTGTTAATTCTCCCCTCTAACAGCTGCACATTTCCTTGTAAAACATTTGTGAGAATTAAGGGCCTGTCTACAGGGAGGTGGGGGAATCCAGGTAGGTGAGGTAACTCGCCTAGCTGTGATTAAAAAATAAAATGCATTAATAGTCAAAGTAATTTTGATTGCATCTTCAGTCCAAATATATTTAATAGAGGCTAATGGCATACAAATTCATTTTTATTTTATTTATAAAAAGAAACTGAAGGGCTATATTGTTGCTGTTATCATTGTTATCATTATTATTATTATTATTATTATTATTATTATTACCATAGTTCAAGTCTGAAATTTGAATAGTTATGCAGTTTGTATTGGCATTGCTTTTTTTTCTAATAATGGAGCACTTTGTTGCATTCTACATGAAAATGCTAGAGGCCTTTAGTTATTTGTGTGCTAAGTTAGATAGTACTTACATACGTGTAATAATGCATACATTTCTTCATTTATAGTTTTTTTATTCTGTGGGTTTTGTTCTATAGTATCTTATAACGGGAGCAAAAGACGGTTCAATAAAGGTTTGGGATGACAGAGGAAATATCAAGATCATCTTTGTTGGCCATTTAAAGTCAGTGAACACCCTAGCCGTGTATCCATTTGGTACCTATATCATGTCAGGGTCCAGTGATAACAGCATACGTGTGTGGAGTTTAGACACTGCTGATGAAGTGGATAGAATTGATACTAAAGAAGCTGTACTGGGTCTTGGTACTATTGTAGGAAAAAATGACTTGTATTCCTTTGGACGGAGATCGATAGAGTTGTGGAAGATCGAGCACATTCATTCTGTGTTTGCAACTGTGGGGTGAGTGAAATCTAATCTTTGGAGCTACATGTACAGTTAAGCTTGGGTGATCTACATAGCGCGTTATTCGTGGGGAAACGGATGAAAGGACGCATTTTGATCGAGCATCTTAGAGCCAAAGCTTCACCCAAGAAATTAGCTTCAAGCGCGCGAAAACGCCAGTGACTGAGTCGAAATCGATTTTAGTTTTGGTCAAGTGAGTGGCGCGAATTTGATAAGCCAATCACAAAGCAAAGGGGAAGCAAAGCCAATACAATCAAGGTCGTTGAATATTGTAAGTTTTACACTCTTGTATGTTGATGAGACATTTGCTTACAATTCATTAAGATTTTAACTTGTCGCAAAATTAAGTTTGACAAAAAATATTTAGTCCTATTACAACTAATGCTTCTTACTATGTTAAGCGGCTAATTGGAGACAGAAAACAAGTGCTCTCTTTCCGCCATTCTTGAAACTACATGTATACCCGGGTGTAGCCTAACATATTTAATTTTTTTTTCCTTCCTGAAGAAGCAAAATCAAATCTATCAAGCCTACGACGCACCCAAGAGTAAGTGATACTTTAATCTAACTACATGTGTAAGTAAAGCTAAAGTTAGCCCCTTTAGTTATACAATACGTGTAAATGCATGCATGTATGTGTCAATAAAATCTTAAGAATGTATTGTGAATTGCCAAACGCCATGCGCATGTCATCTCGTATTAATCGTCATACCTACATACCGGCATACTTACAGCTGCACACACACTATACATTGAATCAGATTTAAACAGAAATCTTACTGTTACTTTTTTTTACCATGGTCCGCTTAACTTTCTACACTGTTTGACCACTGTTCAACAGCCGATATACACCGACCGATGGGTCAAAGCGACGCGTAAGAGTGGAGAGGTCGCTACAAGAATTCGCTGAGTTTCAAAATCTGATAAAAAAAAAACTTTGCTGCTGCAGCAAGTTGCAGAAGCTCAGATTGGTATGAATTTGTGACATTACTACAGCAGTTAAAGGAGTCGCAGTGACTTGTGTAAGGAACAGCACATACAAGCGGTTCGTGGCAGCCGCACAGATCTGTGGAAACGACCTTTCGCGTAATGTTTCCCGGCCTTTAAAATTAGCAACTCTGTTGTTCTCTTCATTCCCCAGATGCCAACCAGACTGGTGTGCACATGTGATGACGCAACAGTACGTCTGTTGTCCCCCGGCTCCGGCGAGTGTATCACTACCATGTTGTTACCAAACATGAGTATTATCGCTGATGTGGCTTACGCTGCTGCTGAAAGTAAGACGAGATGAAAATTGATTGTCTTATATCATATTCCAGTTTCTCTTAGACTTACATATGTCAGGGAGGTACATTTACCAGAGGTGCCGTGCTGACAACTGAGAAAGATCGCCTCCCACTGGAGGGCCCTGGGTACGAATCCCAGACCTGAAGTCATGTGTGGGTTGACTTTGTAGTTGTTTCTCGTCTTTGCTCCGAAGATTTTCCTCCAGGTTCCCCTGTTCTCCTCCTTCCACAAAAACCAACACTCATCCCCGTCTAAGTCCTACCCTCTTGTTCAGCTGTTTTTATTGTGTACTAAATTTTAGACGTGGAACTATCTGCTGTAATATTGTTTACTACTGTAACACCTGTTTTGACTATACTGCTAGAGTAGATCAGAATTACGTTAGGCGTAGTGTTCAGAGAAGTTGAGAAATCTTTCTGGTGTGTTTTAATGAAGTTGAACGCCAACTTTTCCACGCCCTGATAGTGTGCTCTTACAATCACGAGGAAGCTCTTTACCTTATGTTTTTCGTTTTACTTTGTAGATTTGATGTTTACTTTGCTCTCAAACGGTAAAATCTTAAAGGCATCCACTCTGACCAATCCATGTAAGAAACTTCAGGAGTGGGATACAAACAGCAATTCAGATGGTACGGTCTTGATTTTTGCTTGTGGATACTTTTGTATACTAAGCTCTAATTTTCTGGCTTAGTAGCGTGCAGTATATGTCTCAATACTTATCCATTATCAACAACTTTTGCTTGTATGCGTTTGGTCTAAAACTGGATTCTGGGAAAAAATTAAGTCCGATGAAAAATATACGAGTATCTTGTACGCAAAATCAGAGGAAACTGGTTTTTTTTTTATGTGATTAACGATTGCTTTTGTACTTGTTTTCAGCACCCTCTTCATGTACTTGTCTTTGTCTTTATGAATATGTTGTGCAGGTAAGATATATTTAAGACAAAAATACTTTCCTATGCAGTGATATTAGCACACTTGAACCAAATCTCGAAATAGCGGTCAGTCATATCCTATCTGCTGGCTTTTTTTTTTTAACGCATTGTGTGAAAATGACTCTGTCAAATTATTTGTCCTGTTAAAATTTGCTTTAAGGTCCTAACTTAAAAGCGCTTTCAGGAAAATTCACCCATTGTGTCCGTTTCAAAGAGAGTAAAACAGCAAACCGTTACTTTGGGGCCGCATGAAGTGTTTGCAATTCCGTAACAGCGAGAGGGTGGGATGGTAGTGTTTGTTCGGAGAGCGTGTAACAGATGGGTTTGACTCATTCGTTTCTTTGGTCAGAGATTATAGTAGTGAAATCTTTAATTGGTGATATTTGACTGTCATTAATACATTTGATGCCATTTAAATCCTAAATAAACTGTTGCTGTTTCTAGGATGAGCTCGAAGGTGACTCTTGGGGAAATTTGGTGACAGCGCTGAAAGCGAAAAAGAGAGCTGAGGAACTTGAGACTAAAGGACAAGCTATGAACGCATATGATAGAACTCTGCTGTTAGGCGGCTCTACCAATGGTATGATTGTCGTGTTTGACTGGCAGAATGACACCAACCCTGGAAAAATCTCTTTCCAAATAGAGGTAAGTTTCTTTGAAACGAAAGCCACATCAGTATAGGACAAGGAGGAGCCTTATTTTACAGGTCAAAGCTAGATTCTTTTCGTAGCAAGTTTCTGCGCCTTTATCGTTTGAAAAGATCAAGTAACTCTTGTTTATGTGCAAGACTAAATGTGTCACATCTTTGATTGCACATACACAACACACCTAAGGGTTTCACCTATGGAGTGACAGTTAAGGGTACACGGCAACGTTTCTATTACATGTAGGTGGGTTCCATATGTTTCTTGTGCAGATGACACAGATGTGAGCTCGATTTTTTCCCAACAGGGGCACAGAGATGAGGTCATCACCATGGTAGCGAATCCAGAAGTTGATCAAGTGATATCTGCTGGTCTGGGTGAGTTGATTTTTTCCGCTCAACAAAGTGTGAGCCGAACACCTGTTTGTAAACGCAGGCTCGCCTTAACGCGCGTGAGCGTAAAACGCACGCGCTCATAACGTTTGTTTGCGTCAGCCGGTTTCATCAATCCTTTTTCATGCGTGCTGGATACTCTCGTATTTGTATCTCTATGGCTTTTTTGCCTTCATTTCATTGAGTCAGAAACCAAAGTCAAAGTCCCCATTTACGAGAGGTAGCATAATCAGATGTCTTTGGATATCCTTCAATCTGCGGGCTGGTGTCGAATGCAGAGACCTGATTTTTCTCAGAACGGTTCAGTGCAACGTTTTATCTTCAATCCATTTAACGTGTAACTCGGAATCAAACGGCTTTCTTCGACTCCCTTTTTTATGTGAACGGACTCAATGGAACCTAAAGTATCTATACCACCACTAAGACTTGATGCGGAACAGTGCATAACTTACAAGCTTCTAAGATCTGCGGTTTTTGTTGTGAAGATTTGAGTATCACAAATCGCCAGCTGGTCTACGACTAGGAGACACTTACTTCACATAATGTTTGCCTGATATTAGCAATTCCACAGCTCTTCGCAAACAACTATCTCGAGGAGGCTAAAGATCAAGTCTAAAACTGAGGAGTAAAGGATGGGATATGCTACAATTTCCTTTTTCTTTATTTTGCCTGTGCTCCACGAATACTCAGTATTTGCAATTTATTTTCAGATCACACCATCAAGATTTGGCGCCTTTTTCCGTTCGCCGAGGAAGCCCTTGCCCCTCTGATGACGTTGTATTGCCATGAGACGCCCAGGCTCTTGTCTGTGGCTCACCACAAGCTATGTGCGGCATTCCACGAGCCGGCTACTGCTTCATATAACATCGTCGTGTTTAAAACTACTCAAAAAAGTGAGTAACAGAGTACTGTAAATGTTCTGAAGTTTGAATTATCATACACGACAGGGAATCGTTGTCACATTTCCGATTCTTTTAAGGAGCCAATGAGATCTTGAAGTAAACTCGTGGTAGCGGCCTCAAGCGTAGAAAAATGAACATGATTAAGTTGGTATTGATTGGAGCATTGATTAAGAATTGCTCAAGGCACCGGTTTTAGTTGTTTTTATTTTGTGTACGGTTTTTAAAGAGTTTCCGAAAGCCCATACAATGTTTTGTGTTCTTTTATTTAAAGAAATTGTGTCTTCAACGAAATTTTAATTTCTCCAACCCAAATGCGTTTCTTTGTCTTTGCCTTTTTATCTTCGTCGTCTTTCTTTGGGAGATTTTAGTTTTGGTGTCGTCTCAAAGCTGATTGGATGTTCCCTGAAATGTTTCTCATGTTAGCGCTAATGTGCCAAATCAAGCTGGTTGCGTTGGTAGATAAATGGCAAAAACCAGCTTTCGTTTTAATTTTTCGTCGAATTACTTTCTAAATTGTTTAACTGTTTTCCAAAACAGAACGATTTGATCACAATAGCGATTGGGATCACATGGATGACGTTACGGGACTGGCCAGCTGCGCCAAAATGAGACTGTTTGCGTCATGTAGCGCAGACGGCTCTGTGAGAGTCTGGGACGAGTCCAACAAACTGTTACGCGTCATCAAACTAAATGCTACTCCCACCAGCATTTGCTTCTCAAGTCAGAAAGGCGACCTGATTGTGGGCATTGGGAAACATCTGCACAAGATTAACTACGCGACTTGTAAGTAAAGAGTACTTCAGATTGATGAATTGTGCAAGAAATTATTTCATTTTAAGCTACCTAGCAACAGTTGGACCCACTGTTTGAGACGTGCGAAAATATTCTCAACTTGAAGGACACTGCAAAATGATAAGTGCATATCAATTAAATTTTTGTACACCAAAAACCGAAACACTTGTAATCTTAATGACCAACCAGATAGAAGGAAGATTAAAGACGATACCTCTAAAAGTATGGGAAAATGCGAACTAAGTTGCTTTGCCTCTAGTAGGGTAAGAAGGTCGTACGAGATTATGAATGACGAATTTGAAATATTTAGACTCAAGTTGCAAAGTCGCTCCTTGAAGCTTCATCTTTAGCCTCGTCCACATTTTTGTGTTCCTTCCTGCAAACGCTTGCTCAATTGTTCCATGCGTAGAATTTCATTCTAGATATTGTGCCAGTCGCATTTCTCTTTTTCAAATATGGAGAGTATACCTACGATGTGATATTTCTCTAACATTATAAGAGGGGTCTTTTAGTTCTTCTCTATCATTCTTTAGTGTTTACCACACGGATGAATAGTGCTTTTCGTGTGCTCTGGTTGGCTGGTTCGGAAGTGATTCGCCAATACAATTCACATCCGAGAAGCCGAAGAGACAAAATCGCGCGCCAGCAATTTAATTTCCGGCTCCTTTTTGGGGATATTGACAGAAATAAGCTCTCTTTTTTCGGTTTCTCTGTGGTATATTAACATTTATTCACCTCCACTTCGGTAAATAATTGTTAATTATTATAAGAAGAAATAAGCCGAGTGTTCTTAGAAACGATTGATTTGATCGGACCCGATTGATTTTGTATCTTTTTAAACTGTCTCGATCGTGGTTCAACTACACCAACAAAAAGAAAAGAAATCAGGGCAACGACCTACCAGAACAATGTGTGCATACTCACTATGATAGGTAAAAATGTCTGAATTTTTATCCATATTCTCAATATGCATATTCCTGACTCTGCCTTTCACAACCTATAGACATGCCTCAGTCGTTTATTTTCCGAATGGTAGCGATGGATTTTCGACGCGTCATCGCTGAGGCACCGATGGATATTGACTCTGAAATCAAGGGCAACCTAACACCTGAGGAGTGTCAGAGACTGAGCCGAGTCAAGTCTTCGTTACACAAATACAATGATTTTCACGACATTTTGCCACAGGATGAGATGGACGAGAAAATTCAGGAAGAAGAAAGGAGAACACAGGTAAGTTATTTCTTTTGTTCACATTGTTTGCAAAAATTTTTGCAAAGAGGTCATTTCAAGTGTTATTGAAACAACTTTAATGTTGTGTTAGCCACGCTTTTTTGTTCGCGTCACTTAAATTTCCATTTCACTGATTTTTTTTACTGGCAAAATTTCGCATACATTTTATGTTTTAAAGTATTTTCAATTATAACCGTAATAATGCATTCCCACATCCTTTCAGGCTTTCTCGAAGATTCAGAAGCGAGAAAACGAGCTAAGAAAACTTAGAGATGGCACTTACCGATTCAGCAGGAAAAGGCCGAATATCGATTCAGAGGCAGTACGCGGAGAAGCGTTTGAAAAATACCTGGAAATATTTTACAAGCGTCCTCACTTTGATCTTCCAGACGATACTCTGGAGGACAGTGGTGTTGATAACGAGGAAGAGGAGGAACCTTACGCTGAAGACAGGGGAACGGGATTTTTCTCGATCAGTAGACAATCGCAAAGATCGAAGAAAAGTCAGTCCTTCCCTGAAAAAACAGCCAAAGCTGAGATTGCGAGTTTATCCATGTCGGAATTTGAGCCTATTAAATTACAGGACGATTACGAAGGGATGCCGGTGCTTCCTCCTGCGGATGAACGAGACGAATTGTCGCCATCTGAGCGGCCTTTTACCATGGAAACTGAAAGCGAGATCTTCTCACACGGTGAAACGAGCTCAAGGGTTTCGCATTCGGCACCAGCTCGCAGATTGAAGGATTTCCGAAAGCATCCGATTGAGCCACCGCTTGTAAATCGGGACCGTGATCGGTACGTTGTCGACGTTCCCAAGTCAAAGCGATATCCATCACCTAGCCAGTCTGTTCAAAAAGTATCACAGAGGCTTTCGCGCCTAGCTTCGTATCAAAATGAGGGCGACGAAGAAGAGATGTTTGTTATTGCTCCCGATGGCTTCATTCCAAACTCAGTAGTTGTAGCCATGTTCAAGGATTTGAGAGATGAAACTAAAGAAGAAACAGACAAGTGGAAGCTGCCTCAGTTGACTGCAGAACAACTGGCAGAACTGGAGAGCAGGAAAAAGGTAAAATAAATTGAATGGTGTAACACGCAAGGCGCTTATTATTCATCATGAACTTACATAAACGTTAGTAACTGACATTTTTTTCTTGAGCCAAAAACGGTGACCGGAGGCTAGATGTTTTTCATGGCACACAGTATGTTGTATTTTGTGTTTTGTTTTTTCTTGTTCGTTTGTTTTTGTAATCGTCTAATTTTGCATGGCTGTTGGATTCCTTTTTTACCTTCAACAAAGACTAAGAAAAGTAAGGTTATCGACAAGATCACGGGATTTTGATCAAAGTGAACTTTGTTTTTTATTCCGTAGAAACTTCCTAAATCTCCAGAGAGTCCTAAAGGCAAGAAAGAGAGGAGAAAGTCAAATTATGCCAGTCAGCTGCAACTGGCTTTAAGAGACAGTCCGTCACCTGAGCCTGTGGACGACACTGACCTCTTCAAATCGCCCACTCCTACACCTCCCCCGTCCCCTCCCCCAGAGGAGCCGACACCGCCAAGTATCCCCTCCCCAAAGAAAGAAATCAAACCAGTTCGACCGATTGAGAAACTGATATCGAGACCGAAGCCTCCAACTCCAGAACCGTAAGTACTATGTATTGATTTCAGAGGATAAATTAAGTAACACCCTTTTAAGACTCCTTCTTCTTCAATAAACCTCCTTATAGAGCATACCTCCCTTGTTACAAAGACCCCCCTTACCGCTGTATCGCAGCTACGGTAGCACTCTTGTGCGTTAGTGTTGGTTAACATTTCAATCCATAGTATGCTTGTATTTGAACAGCTCTATCAGTTTCTCTCTGAAATATTGTACACAGTATGTGTTTCTTTGGTTGGCTCTCAATGACTTTTTAATTACTTCCCTTCCCCCCCCTCCCCACGTCTCTCCAAAAAGCGCCCTCTTCGATATGCCCTCCCCTACCCCACCCTCTTGAATTCATGAACCCTGCGTGGATTTAATCGGGCCTTTACGGCAGATGTGATCCGTTTAAGAGGATTTGCCTTCGTAAATCTCCATAAATCTCCGTAAATCTCGATCAAGGTAACTTTCAAAATGCAAAATCTGAAATGCGCACTCCGTTTAAGAGGATTTGCTGCCATGAATCTCGATTAAGATGACTTTTCAAATGTAATTTTTTTGACGCTCTCCAGTAAATGACCGGAGAACGCTTACGTCGAAGCTCATATTACTAGAGAACTATTGAAGTGTCAGTTAACGTTTTGATTTAAAATTCAAGAACTAAACCTTGAGTTAACTGTTAATCACACGCATACCAGATTATGGGCTTGTTCGAAAGATGAACTACACCTGAAAAAAGATAATCTTTGACGGTTGTGAATACAGCACTAAATAATGCTGAGTTATTTTGTTGCACACGAATCAGTTGTCCCATAAACCTTACTGTAATGAGGGATTTAAAAAAAAAAGCCGTAATCCATGATGAATGCTATCTATAAACCTTTTTTAATTTATCGCAAATGTAATTGAAAGCGAAGAGGTGCTTCCTTGTTTATTTAACTGAATTTGAAATCAACCGTTAATGACAAGAACCTGAGAACCGCGCCGCAATGCCGTGTGGTAGATCGAAGGTTCCCGACGCAGACCAGACCAACACTCGGGGCCTCATTTAATTGAGGAGAGTGTGTTGCCTTTGCTATGACATCTGCAAATGGTTAGACGTTCTAGTCATCTCGGATAAGGACGATAAACCGTATGCCCATCCCCTGCATTTTCCATGTACTGTACTGCAAGGGACACTAAAAGAACTTACGCATTTATCGCAAAGATTAGTTTAGATTAGATTAGACTTGTTATTGATTCAGCTTTAAAGCTGAAATGAATAAATAACTTAATAAATAAATAAATGATGTATTTAGTGAACTCCATTAAAAACACCCTTTCCGTTTAAAGACCGCTGCCCAGAAGTCATCACAGCATATTAACCATGACTGATCGGACGTCCTCTTTCGAGCTACCAATTGAAAATGAAGTTATGCATGTACATGAGAAAAGAAGTGAAATGTTGGAAAGTCCTTCTTTGGTAATTGAGCTTATCTCGCGTGCAAATGAAGATATAAACAGAGACACGAAAGCGCTTAAACTAAGGTAAATTTAAACGTAAAAGTCTCTAACCCTGAAGTATTCAAATTAAATAATATGATACAAATATAAGTGTGTGTTAAAATATAGTTGCCATTTAAATGCCATGAAATGCGAGGAAAGTTGGTTCGAAATAATGAATATACAAAAATCCAACTTTTAAAATCACTACCCCACCTGGGCTAGCCAATGAAATGCAGAATTTCGAGCCTCAGAACCTTACATATGTTATTGCGGGTAACTTTCAAGGTATGTCGGGCTTCATGACGAGATTGACTCTGGAAATGTAAAAATGTAAACCAGTAATATAGTCATAAGAGTACCTGTCACTTAGTTTACTTATTAAACTACTTGTGGGCTTGGAGAGTTTAAAACCTACAACTAAATCTTAGCATATTAAAAAATATTTGCTTATTTTCCAACTTCAACCGTCGCTAACTCGCTAGTTGATTGATCGTAACAGTGTAGCACTTTTTCATGTGTTTTGGTCTTTTTCTTCTTCCCCCCCCCCCTCCGAAAAGTTCTGTGGGTTCTGTGTTTCTTTTACTAATCCATTTTTCTCTTTTTATTTTTCAGCACACCTTCTCCTCCTCCTCCGACCAAAGAACCAACTCCAACCCCTCCCCCACCCCCTCCAACTCCGTTGCCATCGTTTATTACTCAGTTTAAGGGAACACTTTGGTTTGACAAATTTTTCCCCGACGCAGACTCAGAGGTATGCAGCTGAAAACAATTGTTTAATTTTTTTTTTCAATAGTGATTTGAAATATGTTTCATAGAATTAGTCGTTTAATCGATATAGCCACCAACTGGTTGCCTCAGGTATTTTAATAACGGACTAACGACCATGAGGCTTCAGTTTTTTGAAGTAAGGATAACGCTATTCATTGGATAAATCTCTCTAAATATATCTTTTGCCAACAGTTATCCGCTGGGTCGCGATTTACCTGTTGGATAGCGTTACCCGCCTTTAACCGGCTGGGTCGAACAGTATAAATTTTAGACCAGATCAACAACACGCAGGATGTTGAGTAGTGAAACGATGGAATCTTGTTATTGTGCACAAACGAGAAAAAACGAGAAGGAAAGTATGGTTTAATAGTTGGTATAACTCATTTTCAGACATTTCCAAGACCTTGGACACCAGAGAGCTTTGTGGAAGTTTTACTGACCCTGATTCAGAAGACAAATGACCATGAACTGAAGACACAGATTTGCGCTGTAAGTAAAGTATTGGCGGCTGTGTTTGGCTTGGTTTCAAATGCAGAGCCCTTTCATACTTAATTTTATACTCTTTTTGTATTGAAAAGAATGTTACATGTAATAGAATGGATTGGCGCCTGATAAAAGTTAATTGGTCTGCGTTTGGAAGATCAGCGTTAATTTTCATTCTTTGAATGACGCATGCCGATTGCCAAATTTTTTTTCCTCTTCATGTTTGCAGGCCATAATGCTCTTATATCGTCAAGAAGGTCTGGACCGAGACGCGGCCGAGAAAGTAAATCGAACCACAATAGCTGAACTGAATATCCCAGATCATCCTACTGCACATGGCTCGTCCCAGGCCAAACAGTTTTTGCGCGTGGCTCTACAGCTTTCGCACACAATGAAAGTGTATGAAGTGTCCTTTGTGGCTGAACTCATGGCGCAGTTTATTGATGGTGATGAGGAAATCAGGTACGGTAGCGTACAGAAAGAAACGTTTGTCTGCAAACTGTATTTTGCCATATTAGCCAGCAACAGCCAATATACATGTCACATGCTTGAAGGGAACTACCTCAAAAAGTTTATCAATTTTGCGATATGATTCGCTTCGTTATTTTGTTTCGTGCTTAAAATCATTTCAGTTGTAGCGTCTTTCTTAACAGCTCGCTCACATGAAAACACAGTGTGTCTTTCTAATAAGTAAAGCAGTGCTCCAAAGCTTACACAGTATAATATACGTGTAATCTTTAGAGTGAATAAGTACACGCACGGTAATCCGTGGCAAATGCTTAATAGTAAGTTCAAAATTTATCATTTTTGTTGCCTCACATTAGTGTATGCACACAGTTCGTGTTCGATATTTCTGATCCTAGCAGTATGCAGTACGCCTTTAGCGTATTTATCTAACATATGCCTTATTGCAACTCGACAAAGAGTAAGCGACTGTGAAATGAGAAAGCCATGTGACTCGGGTCTAAATTCTCACTTGCGACTCGGAGTTTTTTTCGCTGTTATTTTTTTAACACCTTACTTACATATACTTTTTTTAGATTATCGTATGAAATTATGATTTATAAAAAAATTGTTGGCTGATTTCTGTGCATTTTTTGGACTTGTAGGAAGTTTGTTCTAGAATTGCTAGCTTCTATAGGAGTACCAGACACTGCTAGGTACTTTGTCAAGGAACTGGACTCATTCGATACCACGGTACGTATACAAATTTATGTACGAATACATGGTACATGATCAATAAAGAGAAGCTGCTAACGGTAAAAAAATAAACTTAAATGTCTCACTATAGTCACAACTAAGTGAAATATACCCTGCCTATAAACTCGAGTAAGCGTTCATCTGTTTAATCCAAGCTGAGCTGAGTTGTTTGAAGCACAGTTAGCACTGATTCCAATTCTGTCGCCATGGTATTCTCTCTGCCCTTAGAATCAGTGGTCATCGGGTTTTAAGAAATCCAGCCCCAGAGGATAGTCAAACCAGTCAGTTTGGTTAAGTTATTTGATGAACGTGCTGGCTAAACTATGCAATTTTTGTTTTCCTTTCCTTACCTACCAGAGTATCCCTGGAAACAGAAGGAAGGCTCGTGTAAAGGACATGTGTGTCCAGTGGCTAAACAAGTGGCTCGGTCAGTTCAGACAACACATCCGATCCTTGGCTGGCAAGATCAGTCGCGCTCAAGCTGGCAGTGTAGTCAAGTGAGTCTGTTCTTATGTCATAACTCCTATTTGATATACATCTGAATATATTGTCATTAATGGAAAAATTTAGTCGCTGCTTGTGGACGGGTTCAAGGGAAGCTGAAAGAAGATGTCTCTCACGGGTAGTATTACGTGGGGGACAGGTGCCATTACAACAAATAATGTCAGACAGTAGTGTATCGAAACATTCATGATGAAATTTGTAGTAAGACGTCTTAATTGGCTGTAGAGTCTGGTGCGACTAAGTTTAGAGAAGGAATGGCAGCTGTGAATTGTCTTTAGGTCCAATTAGGGATTGGGAGTGTGAGTTATTCAACCAATGTACACTAAGTTGTCTTTCTCTACTGAATACTTTTTTTCGTTTCGTAAACCTAGAGGAACAAAGACGCCAAAGACACCCAGCTCTATCAAGGGAATTTTAAAGACAGACAGCTCACAGGTCTGTTTGATTCGTAATCCTTATGTTGTGGCAGCGTGAAAAAAAGCCTTTCGATGTAATTGACAACTTCTTGTTTTTTGTTTTGTTGTTTGACTTGGTTTTTTTGTTGTTTTTCTTGTTTTGTTTTGTTTTCCCAGAGGACAACGTCCGAGATGTCCAAGCCGACGACCAGTAAGTATAAACTGAACCTTATTCTCTTGGTATATGTGTCCTGTTCTTTGTCTAAAATACCATGAATATTGCAATTGTCCCAAATACCGTACAATTATCGCAGAAGTTATTCTTCCTACCCTTAAATCAGAGTTATATTATGAAAGAAGGTACCTTTCGTTTTAATGACAATGTACGTGTTTCTTATCTTTTGTAGTCTCTTTTGACCTTGAGGCCCTAGGAGGAAAAGCCGCTGACACGGCGATGCCTGCAGAAGCGATCAACTACTTTTGTGAGATAAGAATGGAGGAGGAACTGGAAAGAGCGCGAACGCGAACGCGAGAGAAGACTCCCGTTCAGGCCCAGGACAACTCTAGAAATACAGTGCTTGTCCTGCCAAAAATACACGGGTACGTGGCAACCTCCGGGTAGGGGACTGGTAAAGAAACTTAACCTAAACTTTTCACGATTGAAACCGAAAATTAACTTTTTTTTCTATTTAGCAAACGGAGTCTGGCACGACTTGGAGAAACGCATTGCAGTCACTGTCATCCAGAAAGAGAAACGTCTCTTGCCTTAGGTAACACTTTTTTCTTTTTTTTTCAGTGTTTGGTATTATTGATCTTTCTCGTTTTCAAAAAGTTTCGTTGATGTCTTTTTTATCGATGGAACATTTTTCATGATGTTAACTATGTTTCTGATTGGCCGTCGTGGTTACTTTGGTTGTTGGTTTTTGGTACTAAATCGAAAACTGTTATCTTTACATTGCCCAAAGTTTTGGATCATTTTTCGCCATCTTTTGCTTTAAACCTTGAGAGAGCAGTGCGACTCGGGCGAAAGAACGATCTGTTTGTTAGATTGCTCTGTAAAATCGCTTGAATCGAACACTTTTTGCGGTTATAAAGAAGTGATTTTTATTTTGCTTTTTCTTTCTTTACACCAGCATTTCCTCTACCACAAATCTATCAAACCCGTCGCAGTGTGGTGTTAAACAATATGGTGCTTCACCTTAAAACTCTGACACTAAACCCGTTTCCGGACGAGGGCGATTTAGCAGTGTATGAACCGTACCAACAGTCCAATCTGTTGACACTGCGTTCGTCGCAGAAATACTTCATCCCTGCTCAATCCTACGTTGAAGAACGAGACACTGAAAGCCTGGCTCAACAGATAAGAAAAGTCCTATTGTAGCTAGGTATCTAAACTCGTTGAATTCAAGACGATTTGTGACACTACGATGGGGCGAAAAAATTGAACTGTAGACGGTGGAGAAGTAAAGCAATGATGAGCTGGTTAGACACTCGCAAGATCATCGGAATTACAATATACGGGAAAAGCCTTTTTTCTGGGTTTTGCTGTCTTCCACGTTTTGATGCCATGTTTCGCCTCGATTTCTGTCTTCTTGCGAGACAGATTAATCAATTACGTATTAAAGTTTTATGCGAACTGCAAACAAGTTTCAAAAGACTTGCGGTTGACTCACTTCCAAATACCTAGGAAGGGCTATGATGAAGCCAATTCCTTTAGAGATGGAAGTGATTCGGCCTTGAAGGAGGGATTGTGGAAAAAAGTGTAACTGCGGTGAGAAAATATTTTTATGATCTTAGGGACAGAAATCCGAGCTGTTATAGTAATATATACTATTGATGTTTTCTTTGATATCAGAATAAGTTCATTTTATACTTGTCCTAATCCATGGCTAAAAATGAGGAAATTGCTATGATTTTCGAAGTCTTTTAATCTGATGTATATACCATAACTTTCCTTAATCTGATTTATGTACCATAACTTTCCTTGTAAATATTTCCAAGAGTGTATATAAATTTTGTCAGATGTACAGTAAAGAAAGAGTGAAGAAATATATTTTTGAATAAATCATTAGACCTGAAAAAATGTGTAGAGATGAAACATTGTCATCCGAACACGCTGTGTCAGAGAGTCTAATTTTTAACAATTAATCAATTTGGTCAATTTATGTATTTGCGCATATGACAGAGTTGATATTCCTGTAATAGCTACTACTTAGATTAACTCTGAAACTACGTTTTCTGGCCTGCACAGATAACTATAGGAGGACCAGTTTCTTACGTTAAGTAGCAATATGATCTCTGTTAAATAAGTTTGTTTGTGTGACGTCTATTTTTAACACGTGACCACCGGAATGTAAGGCCTCGAACCAAAATGCGGGGTCTGGTCTCATTATTATGAGGGTCACAAGTAGGTACAAAAGAACTTTACTTGTTGTGCACAACAATCGACACCTGGTCACGTGCTCGTGCGTGAGGTATTTTGTGAGATCTCCTGGATTTAGATCGTCACTGAATGTTGGAACGGGTATGAATCAACCAGCGGGTCGGGTACGAGTAGACGGAAACTGGGCACGTATCGTATGAATGTGGGTAACGAATGGACTGGATACCCGATTCCACACCTAGGACGCAAAACACGCAGAAACATCTTCGTTTATTTCTTTATTATTCAACATATACCAACAGTCAATGATACTTTTAATCAACGGCGATGTACAACGCATATAACTTCTGACACTACGTAAATGTAATTGCTACTGACTGGTATTGTTACTGGCGTATGAAAGTGACAGACAAATCTCAATCGATAGATTGAAGCTACTTTAAACATCTATAATTGATTCGACTGTTGGTGCACTGATTTCAAGATAACAAGAGATCTGCAAACATTGACTCAGCGTTCCTAGCAATTACAGGCCAGCGAAAGCAAAAAGCGGCTTATACTAATTTCTATCCGAATCACAAGATAAAACATCACAGCAAAGGCCGTCTTGCCAAAAAGGAAATACATCAAAAATGACAACCTTTTACACCCTAACATTAGTATTTACATTCTCTCCACTGTTCTCTTCACGTTTCCTATAGTACTGATTAGGAGAATTTGACTAACAATCAAGAGCTTCTGAAATTGGTTATCATTTCCTTTATTCTCATGACCTTAATATTTGATTCAGCTGTGATACAGTAAAGAGAAACTAAAAGCCAGTCACTGTTTGGGGTTAAAGGGTTCAGTGTATGCATCTCTCCATATACACTGATCTCATGTCAACTTCAGATTGTAGAACACTGCATCTATCAGATGACAAGAGATTATAACTTCTTGCGAATGATTCGTACTAGCCTTCTCCTCAGCTGCTCTCCACCGGCCCAACACGCACACCACTCCCTACTCATGTTTTCACTATTTACATTTGTTAAATGCGCCTCAAACGAAGCCTTAATGAAGCAGATCACTCACTTGAAGACAATACGTGGTAGTGTTAACAAAACAATCTTCTAAACGACTTTAAACAGCCTACGAGTAACTTCGACAACGATCGCACAATTAGAGATGCTGCAAGGAGCCTGCTCCACGTTCGCAGGGAAAATTATCATACGCCTTCCAACTCGAAGGCTACAAGGCGTATGACGCGCACAGGTTAAAAGAATAAAGTCCTTATACAATGCTACAGGAACCTAACACTTTTGGTCTAAAGTTTTGAAAGAATGTTTTTCTATGGCTGGAGCTTTTCTTGCGTTTTCTGCCTTCTTTGGTTAACGGCCTTAGTTGCTCTGAAAATTCTGTATGAGAGCTGGACTGTGTAGAGGATGATCTCACGCTCGTTTGATGTGATCCAGGTCCACGAATCTGCAAGTGTATAGACAAAGCTCGTTAGTAAGTTAATAATGTACATGAAAAAATTACGCGCTTCTGATTGGCTGAAAACGAGTGCCTAGTTGTAAAGACTACAAATTGCACTCGCCCGACGGGCTCATGTACTAGTGTTATCTTTTAAAGATTCACTCGGGCTTATTTACATAAAATTGCACTCGACATTGCTACAATACCCATATTTCAGCCTGCTTAACCCTTTAACTCCTTGGAGTGTTTAAAACAGAATTTCTCCTTTCAATACCAATACAATAGCAGGCAGGCACGTGATGAGCATGAAGAAAAATATCAATTATGGGATTATTAGTCAGTCCAATACAAAGTTTTCCGAACTAGCACCACAAGAATTGTATGACAGACAGTGAAAAGAGTCACTTATGAGATCTTGAGAGTGAAACTCTTTTTTACGATAATATATTTTTACTCATATCCTTTCTTAATATCGATTTTATTCTTAGCAAAACTGAATCACGTTATCAAGTTATCGCCCCACGAGAAAAAAACAAAAATTAAATTTTTATCACGGTCTCTCGTTAAGGATGTCCTCTATAATCTGACCTGCTTCCTGATTTTGTTCCTATTACGCTGCACTTAGGAAAATGAATAGAGAGAAATGGTGGCGGAATCAGTTTTCGTTTATCGCTTAGAACGATATTTTGTACATTTTAATCCAGTCGGGGATTCTGTTTCAAGTTTTGATTTTTTTCAATTATTTATTTTTTCAGGTTATTGCTATCTTTGAGAGTTAAGTGTATGACTTACTTTCCGAAGGTGCTGTCAATTTCAGTTTTTTTTATTTTAAAGAGACTTAAGGACCGAATGGAAATATTAGGAAATATTTTCGTTTTTACGCAATAATTTAGAACTGCGTTTCAGGGGTAACTTTTATATATCAGAAGGTGTCGAGCTCACAATTTTACAGAAATGATTGACTTATAGATATTAATTACCACGTTCCTGTTTTAAAATCATGTAAGAAGCCCTCACATATAATAGAGTTGCAAAGAAACAAGTAAATTTAGCTATTTTGAAAATATTTTGCTCGCGAGGGCTGAAATGAGTTCCTCGCACTTCTAAAGCAAAAACTCCTCAAGGTGCCGAAATGGTGACAGAGATCGTACTTTTATACAATTTATGGGCAATCCCAGAACCCAACGCGTCTAGACCCAGCGCAAGTACTCGTGCGATGAACAAGCAAAAGTTAACCTGTTTTTGAAATTCTAATTATATGCGAGAGCTTTCTGTTCAAAAATTGTTTAAAATTATCCATTTACTCACGGGTCAGGAGACGGACAGTTTAACGACCAGCGGCCAGAATCAGTGTCACCGAACTAAATATTGAACATGATATGTTACAACATAACAAGATTTGAATGATGATAGAGCAATTTGTAATTGAGTGTTGAAAGTAATCCAATTTAATTCGGTATTGCTTTTGTCGCTTTGTGATTGGTCCAGAAAACTTGAACCGCTTTCTCAACCAATCAGATTTAAAGCTAAAACCAATGTTGCTTTACTTTGAATTCTCATTGGCTACTTGTGATTTTGTCCTTTGTTTTGATTGGCTGTTATGATACAACACTCAATCGAAAACGGCTCTATTGCGTGATCTACAAGAACAATTTTAAAACTTACTTTTGTATTTGTGAGCGTTTATAAATGCTTAAAATGTCAATTTCATAATTAATTACTTAAACAATACAACAATGGTGTAAAAAGTGCATTATTAGAAATAAAAAAGGAGCGATCCACAGCAAGATTTAGTTCAATAAAATTTAGAAAAAATACAAACTTATAAAATTGTTGACATTATAAATATTTTCCATGAGTAAGAATATAATAAATCCACATGGTATTATTAGTAAAAACCACATTTTCCGAGAGTTAATGTGGTGACTCATAATTTAGATTTTATATTTTTAATAAGCATTGTGCAATATTATGACACGTGAAGATAACGCCCAGCTTTTCCGTCAGCAACGGTTATCATCCTTATCTGTTACGTTTTAAAATCACAACAGTGGCTGAGCTAAAATTGAGTTCTTAAGTTTGTTTATACTTAACCGTTTGCAAGGCCAAGTTGTCCCCAGAAATCTTCACATCTGGAAAAAAGGAAAAAAAAAAACAAGAATGGAGGTAAAAAAATTGTTCATCTTCTGCGTGAAAAAATGAACATTTAGTTTCAACAGTAGTTGCCGCAGTTTATCTCATTTTCTGTAATAGAAAGCGATTAGGTGTATTACTACTCTCCCTGGATGGATGGCGTTGCATCGCATGTAGGTCATGCCTTAGTTTTGCAACGGTAAAGTACTTTGTACAAGAACACAACAGGAGAACCCCGTGTTAACCTGAGTACACGGTATATTTCGATCCTGATCAACGTGGTAAGAAGAACATATTTTGTGTAATTAAGATCGAGTATTGTCTTTACCCGACACGCTTCGGATAGTCTTAGTAACAATGATGTCATCATCCCCGGTGAAGTTCGTCTCGTGAGAGTCCATTCGTTTCTTTGCCGGCTGTGAAACAGAATGCACAGAAGAGACATGTAACAATTATCACTCTCGTTTGAGCGGTAAATGACACCGCGCGGGTGCAAATAAGCAGTTTGCCCTCAGAATGCTTGGCGATTTTCACCTATCGCTGTAAATGGTACATATATTACCAGCAATAAACAGCTGTTCTTGTTTTTGAGATTATCATCACTGCTTCGAAACAAAACGCCTGCAAAGTCGTCATTGTAATCGGATTAGGCGATTTTAGCATAACGTCAAAGAGAAACGAGGAAATATAGTCGAAGAGCCAAGTCGTCGCGATCGGCTGAAAAAAATCGCTAATTGTGCCAGTATCGATCAAAGTCAACATCCCTCGCCATTTTCTTTGTTGATTAGACTGGCGGGGATTGCCGTTTACAATTGAGTTGCGTTTCTCCAGCTTACGCTATATGTTTGTTTTGTGTATGCGTTTGACTTCTTACCCGACTTGACATGTGGTGTGTTGAAGACAGAGAGTGTTCAGGAAGGCTCTTTGCCAAAGTCCTTTTCTCATGGAGTCTTTTGTATGCAACTCGTACCTAAGATTAAAATCACGGGTTACTGACTGGTCATAAAACTGAGTATTTACGCTAGCAGTGTCTGAAATGATTAATTTAAGACAAGGTGAAAATTAAGCAGGACATGTAATTTCATACCTCGGTGTTTCCGATACAGTGGAAAGCAAAAATGAAAAGTCCCTGTAGTAAAGAAAAAAAAATTAGTAAATATTCTTGCGTGGAGCTCGTCACCGATTTACTTTTAGGGATGTAGTCATAAACCACAAAAGTACGTGAATTTCCGTGATATGTCGAGACGTTTAGTACTATCAAGAATCCTACAGGAGATGATATGAACCAGCTCTCTATTGGAGTGCCTGACACTCAGGTTCAAGGGTATGGAAACCTTGGGACATTAATGTAGTATCTGGGCAGAGAGCGAAGTTTAAATTGTATATCTCGTGATCATTGGCAATTCGATTTTTCATCGACATTACATTTGCTACTATCAGGGGATCGCTGAGCATCAGTTGAGGATAGGAGATGGTCAAGCTAAGAGAATGGATTCCCATTTAGGACTTAATCCCAAAAAAATTTCTCCGGAGCGATTTAAAAAAATCTCGTTTTCCCATATCCTGGCTGGATCGAGCATAAGAATAAACAACCCTGAAACCACAGACAGCATTATAAGTTCCCACCGAAACATGAACCCAAAACGTGAACGTGAAGTACATTTTATTGTAAAATTTTTTCCCAGAGGAAAAAATAGCTTTGAGTCTAAAAGCAATTTGAGGCGGATTCTCCTCGAAATGGAACTAAAAAAGAAGACTCTTTCCCTAAGCTTGAACCTATATTGCTAGGACGAAGATTTCGGACCTGAAGTGAATTGAGGATGGCAAATAAATACTGGAAAGCAATAGTGTCCTTATTGATGGCCAAAAGTCCAAACACCCACGTCAGACCGAGCAGAGGCAGTAAAACAATCATGCCTTTGACGCCAGCCCTACAAGAAAAATTGCATACCATGCGTGAGGAAGACCTATATAAATCATGGGGATTGACGATCAAATTAAAAGGATACACCAGCATACAAAAAAAGATATTAAAACGAACAGGATCAAAATAATGAAACAACGAGCGCACGAGCGCACGAGCGCACGAGCGCACGAGCGCACGAGCGCGCACGAGCGAACGAGCGAACGAGCGAACGAGCGAACGAGCGAACGAGCGAACGAGCGAAGCGAACGAGCGAACGAGCGAACGAGCGAACGAGCGAACGAGCGAACGAGCGAACGAGCGAACGAGCGAACGAGCGAACGAGCGAACGAGCGAACGAGCGAACGAGCGAACGAGCGAACGAGCGAACGAGCGAACGAGCGAACGAGCGCATTAGCGAACGAGCGCACAAGCGCATGAGCGAAAGAGCAAACGAACGAATGAGCAAACGAGCGAGCAGGCGCATGAGCAAACGAGTGCACGTGCGAACGAGCGAACGAGCCAAATAGCCAATGAGCGAAGGGGCGAACAAGCTAACGAGCGATCGGGCGAACGTTCAAATCATTGGTGCGTCGTGGCATGACAAGGAAAGTGAGCGTGAACACGCGAGCTACAAAGTTAAACTGCGCAAACAACGACAGAGTAGGAGAGAAAGTCAAGGAAGCAAATGGACGTAGTTAGATGATGTAATTTAAAACAAAAAACCACGAAGACGTAATAAGATGTACGTACCTGACTTGGGAAGCATTGCCAGGATTCTGTAGTGACGTTACAGATGCGATGATCACTCTGATTACCATTATCATAACCACAAAGTTGATCTGCAAAACCAAAATGGTGTGTTTGAGCATGATGTAGATAATGATGTCCTCAGAAATCGATGTAGGATTCAAATGTCGTACCCCGAGTAAGCAGGAAAACAAAAGCTCAAGTGTTAAGTGTTCAGTAGCGACATTTGGTTTAACATTTGTGTCCAGGTCATAAACTTTTATATTGCTTTTCATATCATGATTTTTACTTTGTAAGTCAAATTACGAAAATTTCCTTGCGAAATTTTGCAGTAGTTTTACTAAAAAGAAATGGAGGGGGTTGGTGGGGGCAAAGATTGCGAAAGACCTCTCTCTCACTCTCTTTCACAAACTCGCTCGCCTTCTGCAAGAATACGTAGTTCCAGTGCACTAAGGAATTTAGCAAAGGACGCAAATTCATGTTGGAATAACTTATGAAGATAAAATTGAGAGACTGAAGCACCTACCGTCATCACGATAAGAACAGGAGCAACAAAAGCCCAAATAAGCCCGTCAGTGATTGAAATCCAGCAGCTGAAAAGTAAAAGCAAACGGTAAAGCAAAGTTGTGTAGGAACTATCATTTTATGAGAGCATCGCTAAAAGACGAGATAAGCCTCGACAGTTTGAGTAGTTTTCCCTGCGAACTAAAAAAATTGCCTCAAAAGTATAGGAAACCAGAAAATCTTAGATTGGCGAGATGTAGGATCACCGTCTGGGGGAGAATATGTCAGTAGAGAGCAAGGGCGGTCGAGAATGAATGGGATCAGTACGCATTGGAAATGGTAACATTTAGAATCAATCTGTCAAGAGGTACAATCTAGGCCGTAGATTAACTAATACCCATACGTACGCTCGCTCGTTCCCATATCCTCCCCAGCGAGAACAGGCGGAAATGAACACAATGGTCAACGGTAGACCTAGAAAAAAATGGCACAGTTTTAATTTTTTCATTTTTAATTAAGTCATGTTCGCTTTGTATCAGTGCTCGACCAGCCAAGAGAAAATTCGACCTACCCCAGCCTAAGGCGTAGTAGTATTTCATCTTAGATCCTTCGCTGAATACTTCTACCACTTTGCTGTACAGATGAACTCCTTCGCATAACATCCACGTGAAAGCCGCTGTGTATAAATAGTGCAAGAACAAAGCAACGGCTTTACACGCAATCTGCGGAAGGAGAAATGATTGTTGTCAATTCTGTTGTATTTCAAATGAGAGGGGATCATGCGTTCACTCTGAGTTGATCGCTCGTATGGGGCGCAAATAAGGGAGTTCGGGGACTGTAATCTTCTAAAGTTGGTTAAAATGATTTGCTAATCTTAGACCTAACACTATCATTACTTAGCTACAAGTAACTGGTTCTTAACTGAAAGTCATTCATAGTTACTGATACTCACGGGGTTGTATGTGGCATCTATGCCGGCCAGGAAAATTATCTGCGCGAGTCCAATGGCTACCACAAGATTCTTGTGAATTGAGGTCCGTTCTGAAGCTAACGTCCTGAAATAACATCAGCCTTCAACTTATTGAAAATGAGGGCAAAAAAAATTCAATGAAATGATGAAGTTATTTTCAGGAAACCAAAGTCAACGATGATGCCTCACGAATGAAGAGAATGTCTTGGATTCATCTACGCCACGCTTATAATTCACTACTTCAGGGGGAACAAAATATTATAAAAACGGTTGGAGAGGTTAAGCAAAGACAAAATTAACAACAACATCAATAATAACATTAACGAGGAGAAATGTCTTACTCAAGTGATAAGAAAGTCGCCAAAGTGAGCGCGAGTCCAAATAATGAAACTCCACATCCTACGTACGTAATGACTGTCAAAGCTTTATAGTGATCCGGTTCAATCTTAAAGACAACAAAAAGCAATTGTTAGGAAATATAAAAGCTGTTGATGTGTTCTCTTTATAAGGGGTCTAGACATGGGATCTTCATGTTCCCTAATACGAAAAAGAAAATGTTATACTTTGGGCCCAAAAGATTTACGAGAGAAAATTTGTTTTGATGATTCCTTCATTTTGAGTTTCTTCAGCCGATTTAATCTGTTTGATTATCAAATCTGAGAAGTCGTTCATAGGGTTTCCCACCGCTGTTAATAGATCCTTAAAACTAGGATTCAGATTTCTTATACTCCAGTGAATCATTGCATACAGAAAACAGAGAACATACTTCAAATTCCTTCACTTGCATCAAAATTGCAAAGTTTGTGAGATGATCGCAGGCGCACTCGACATTCTGGTCCTTTTCCTTGACCACGCGACATCCCTTGTGTGACCACGAGCCCCTTGCGCTATGTATAAAGAAAACGTCACAGATATTCAAATTTTCTAAATCAAAATTCCACAGCAAGAGAATGAATATATTAGATCTCAGAGCTATAAAAAGGTAGCAAACTGTAAACTGTCTATAGATCAATGGTCAGTGGTTTATTTTCTTTACCTCTTGAAGTCCACAAACGAACAGGAAGGCTTCGTAACATTTTCGCCCTGAAATTGAAAGGACGATGGTTAAGTCAACAGGCCCGATCTGTGATTTTTGGAAATGGAGAATTCAGGTTCTTTTTCACTCAGGTGTTTTGGTATTTTCTCTCAGAACGGGTTCAGATCATGTCGTTTTTCGTGTTTTTTTGGTCCCTGGTGACATAGGGTTGAAAACATGCAGGTATTTGGGGTTATTTTTTCAGTAATTTAATATATTTTGGTATTCAATGGGGAAAAAATAAGGTGAGTTAGTATTTTACTAATCCCCTTCAGTCAAGGGTGAGAAATTGTAGACATCGTTTTCAAGTTTAATCAATTTATAAATTGTTATTCTTGCTATCAGTGGAAATAAAACGGAAACAAACCTTCTCCAATTTATCAAACCATAGTTTAATAGGTGTCTTCAACGGAGTAGGAAGTTGCTTGTTAAACTTTAGAGCCAGAATTCGGGAGTTCACAATTAGACTCTCAGAGCTGATAAGAAAATGAAACAATGAGCGTTCTCTTGAAGTCAAACTCGGAAACTAGTCTTTTCTAGATTTTAGTCAAAAACAGGCCTTTGTATGATTATGTTTTGGGTAGTGCTTTTAATGACTTAGTGAACAGAGAAAATGCATCAAAAATATGTTAAGCAAATAAATTCCTCGTTGTCGTACTCTGATCAGTTGTAGATTGTAGATGACGTCAAAATGTAATAAAAAAAAATAGCCGCTGAGTGAGGCAGTGATGTTCTCACCACATCTTGACTTCCTCTGTGATCTATGACTGTACAGGCACACGGCAATATGGAATCTATTTGTCTTATGTGACTAAAAACTTTAAGACTGTCAATGGTGACGTCGTTTCGGGTCTGTCCTCCAAGAGACCATACGAAGGAACCAATCAAAATGCGTGTATAAATCAGCTTAAGATATGATCATGTATGATTCATGCTTTGGGAACTGCTTCTAAGGACCTAATGAACAGTGAAAAATTGTCAATATATCTTTGTGTGTGATAAACTAAGAAAATAAATAAAGAAAGTAAAACAAAGACACCATACCTCTTTTTGCTGATTGTATTCGTAGGGAAATGCTGGCTGACTTGATTGTAAATGGCATAGACAACTGTTGTTCTTGAGCTGTTATCTACGAAAAATGCTTACATAAGTAACGTGATCTTTCTTCAAAATTGTTTTCAAAATGGCGATCTAACATACCAAACTTTGTAGAGAAGAGAATGTAATAGAATCAGAAGAAATACTTGTAAGCCACTTGTTACCTTGAGCAAATTGACAAAACTACTGACATAAAAAGGTAGCAAACTGCAAACTGTCTACAGATGAATAGCCCCAGCTCATCATTGACATTATCATCAGGTGACGTTTTTCAAAATTACAGATAATTGTCCAGAAAGATGACAAAAGTAAAATTTCTGCAGATCAATGGCAGCAGTTGATCACTGACATTATCATGAGGTGACGTTGTTCTAAGAATAAAAGAGCGCACATCAAAACCGGACCGACCTGCCGCCATCTTGTCGAAGAGTTCTCTATTAACAAATACACGATCCTGTCCTCTCCATTCTGGGCCGAGTTCACCATATCTTGGATATTTCACCCCAGGGGAAGACTCGTCAGGTATCTTGGTCTCTACACCCATAGCTGTATCGAGAACGTAAAAATGGCAACTAAACGCATAAGTACATCTTACTCAGCAAAAGTACATCTTACATTGCACCAGCTTCGAGGGGCATTAGCTGTTTGGTTTGCAATCGAGTTATGTTGTTTGGAGAAGACAATTGACTCTCGCAGCGCCTCTTTCCACTCAGGAGTGTAAATGGGTATCAACGATCTTTCAAGAAAACCTGACAAAGCTCTTGGTTGGTTGAGGCAACCTACAATCTCACCCAAGGGAGGTTATCTTCTTCTCATACAACTCATACAACGGACACCGGGATGAGTCTCGTTAACAGGGTAGCTACTTGCCTCGTGTGCGGGTGACATAGAAACTTCTCATGACTCCAACTTTAAATTGGAGACTAAGCTCAAACATCTTGCTACATACCTATATTTTCACTTTCTACGACCAAGCTGTCGTCATCACCAAGTTTTTCTCCAATTTTTAGACCAATGTTTTCTATAACTTCCAAAACTTGGGTCTGAGAAGTCACCTAAAGAAAAACAAAAATTAGCTATAGCGTAATCAAATTCAAGTTCTTTAGGGGGAAATGTTAGTGTCATCTATTTTAGATTCGTTAACATAATTATAACATTCATAGAAACTCTACGTTTTGCTAATCGTACCAACCTTGTCCGTCTTATTTTCGTTATCTGTTGGTACGCCCCAATTGGCAGCGTTTTCCCCTGACAAGAGTGAGCTGGCAACATGAAGAATGCTCTGAAAGAAAAAAAACAGATAAACTGCCAAATTGAATTAGGCTGTTGGCGTATACATATTGTGTTTTTTGAAACCTGCCGCTCTACACAAAAGCTGTGCGTTATGGAGCTCTTTGAGGTACACAAGTGCTGATCGTGCTTTTAACGACAGAGCCAGGTTATTATAGCAATTCAGTTTCTGTGATTGGTCTGAATTTCATGATTTCTTGCTATAATTACCATGCACAAGAGCATTGCAATGGTGAACAGCTAACTTTCAAAATGGCCATCTTTAGATGTGATTTCTTCGTGTAGGGTAACCGAATGAAATGAAAGAGAATCTAAGAAGTTGCCTATCTATTTATATCGGGACTATTATTCTTCTCGAACTCAGAATTTACTATGACAGAAACTCCCACAAAATTGACTTTAAAATTTTTCGGGTAATCGCGTTTCCTGGTTATTATGGTTTTTCTCATCGCTTTTGGCGTCATCATTAACATTGTCATCATCACTACCATCGTAGTCGTCATCGGTGACATCATTGTCATTAACATCACCCTTATTATGGTCATGATAAGTATCATCGTCATTATCATCGCTAATCTTCCCCCTGACCTGTCCTATTTTCTGCCGCCCAGATTTGTTTGCGGGAAGTAAACTGTTGTTTGGTGATTTTCTGCAGGATTCCCAGGGCGACTTTCGTGTCTCCACCATTCATGTCTCCCTCTTTGGTGAGGTTTTTGAGCTGGTTTACAACTTCAACGACGTTTTCGTCTGTGATTGTGACATTTGCAATGTCTTTGAACTAAAAATTAAAGAAAAAAAGACAATTTTTTGTCTTTCAAATGAGCTTGTTTTCGATATGTAAGTATGTCAGGCTAAGCTGATAATCATACAAGACAAAATACCTATGCAGAACGAAGAATGTATTCAATATGCATGTCACTGTAAGATTTTACACTATTTACGAATGGAGGAGAGACCTTTCCCCACCGCCCTTGATTCCTGAGGGATATCATTCGTGTCATGTGTACTTTGGACAGTGGAAGCCAGTTAAACCATAAACAATTTTACTTTGTGTATGGCAACATTTTAAACCCCTAGTCTTCCAACAATTGTCAACATGCCTCTTTTAAAATAAATTCACCTTTTCCGATGGTTCGTCTGGGGGCGTGGTCGTAGGTTCATCGGTAGGCTTCGTTTCTTCGGTAGTCTTCGCTTCATCGGTGGCATGAGTTGGCGTCGTTGGCGTCGTTGTTACCTCTACAGTCTTACTTGGTGAAATGGCATTGACCACTAATGATGTGGTGGCATGAGTTGGCGTCGTTGGCGTCGTTGGCGTCGTTGGCGTCGTTGGCGTCGTTGTTACCTCTACAGTCTTATTTGGTGAAATGGCATTGACCACGGATGATGTGGTAAAAACTGCTAAAGTTGCAGTGGATATTATAGTATATGAAAATTCAGCGACGTAGCCTGAAAACAGATAAGCATACTTACTCTGTTAACAAGAAAAAATTCTGGCGAACAGATTTCTGTATGATTGTAGTGTTTTATGATATCGCCAATCAGCTGCTGACACGTCACTCGCCTTTCGCGCCATTCGGTCAGGTCGATGAATGAACGGCGAAGCCTTCACCAATTTTAATCCAAGGTAGTTTGTTGGATTTTTCTCAGATTACAGCTGCTAAAACACTGAAAAATCTGTATTTTTTGCAGACAGTGACGTTCAAACTTTCCTACAAGGGGAAGAAAACCAATAAACGAAAAGAAAAACTGAAAATTACGTATTCAGTGGCTTTGGTAATAGCATTTCTCGCGGCTGAGAACGAAAATCGACAGCTGGAAGATTAGCCACAGGCCGATTTGGCCGTCAAAGATTTCTTCTGTCAGTAAGGACAAAGTCAATGAATGGGAATTTTGCAAATTGAAAATTCGCCATTGTTTTTGTAACGATTTTTATTCGGAAATTGTCCATTACTTTATTTTCACCCATTAATGAAGTCGGCTTTTCTTGTCAGTAAAGGGCTGTTGTGTTTATATGATAAACAAAGTAATACATGGTTTCATGTTGATATAAAATTTCTCTTCTCGTGTTCAACTCGACATCTAACTCGTGAGCTATCGAGTTAAACACTCGAAGAGAAATTCCATATCTACGCGCGCCCATGTATTATTCTCTATTTTTATTTTTTTCATTTATTATTTTTCTCTGACTTTTATTTTTCAAGATTCCCGTGTTTCGACAGAATAAGAATTTTAATTATAACCATTACGCTCTGGCAAAGCTTTGAAATTAAATTTCAAAGTTTCCGAATAACGATTTTAAAAAGTTGTAATTATAACCATGATTTTTTCGATCGAGTGGCTTTTAATCAAAACCAAAGTAATCGCAACGGCCATCGCAGAGCAAAGAAAAAACCAACAATAAACCAACAATGTCTCAAAGCAAAAGAAGCAAAGAGCCTGAAGCGCAAATAAAATGGTGATCTACTTTTATTTTGTTATGGTCAGTTCTATAATTGATCAATTGTGAGGGTAACATGAGTTTTCAAGGCCCACAGCCGAGATTGATAAAGAAAAACCAACGCAATCCTGAATTGCTTTCGATGCTCAGCTCAAAATTGCTCAAAAATTGTTTTTATTCAGATAATTATGCCTTTTTAAGTCTTTTTCTCTTTTTTTTTGTATTATCTCCGGCTTCGAAGTCCTTCTCGCCAACAAACAAACGCAATCATTTTGGATCAGCCCACCACCTCAGTCGTTCAAGCAGAGAATCGAAAACAAATTTAATCCTGAAAATGTTTCAAGTTAGATTTATTTGGTTTATGTAGTTTCACTTTCATGTTTCAATTTAGATGACTATGCCTTACAAAACAAGATAATTGCTATTTAACGGGGCGAAATCATTATCTGCGGTATCAGTTTCAAAGAACGCTTTTATTAGTTTAAGTTATATTTATTGAGAAATGCAGTGCAATTAGAGTCTGGAAAGAAACAGTTAATATTTCCAAAAATAAATTAGGTCTTCTAATATTCTATACTCGCTTGTGCTTCTTTTCATAAACATCACTTTTCATAAACTCCCTACAAGTCCTAGGGCGTTATTTCCTGTGTTTTTAATAAAAACTACAAAAACCAATTGAAGTGACCAATATCAACATCACAAGGTGATCACAGCATAAGGCAAACAAATATAACGAGCGCACTCCAAGCGTGGAAAAGCACCTCATTATGAAGTTACTTTTAGCTCGCATGCAGTATTTTATTGGTTGAGACGACAACGCAATTTTCAAGAGCCAATCATAGAGCTTGTTAAACTAAAACGACGCGAATCCGGATTAAAATGTATAAATCTGTGTGATGTCTCTCTAATTTTAATTCAGAACCTTTCTATCCTTAAAAAAATTGAGCCGCGTATTATTCCCATGACATTTCCAGATTTTAGCAGATTGTACGCTACTAAACAACGTAAATATGTACGAAACTACCAGTCAAGTCAATTGCACAGAGCGGAGGTTTCGATATGTAAATTGCACTGGCGTACATGAATGAAGCTTGACTAACGCTTCTCAGAGTGATGACAAACACAGCTTTTGTGGGGATGACAGAAAGACACGACACTTTGTAAGCAAAGCCAAGAAAGATAGCTTCCAATGTCTCAGACAAGTTATAAGAATTTATACATAACTCTTTACTATTTTCCGCCACACTGACATTTCATTACAATTATCACATCAAAGCGTTGTAACGTATTACTCTCATAGAAGAAAAGCGCTTTCAAATTGCAGATATGTTTTTGGAAAATATAAATTATGGTATTTGGTTAGCTGTTGAGAGCGTGAAGTTCTCACCCACACACCACAAACCCCTAGTGGTTCTTTTTCAAGCTTTGAAGATGAACTAAACATATCTAATGTATTCAAGGTTTACATAATTGATATCTTCTCATATCAGTGTTACATCAGGTACCGCGATTGCTCCGAAATCCAAACACTTCTTTAAGTGTTTTCTTTACAGCTGCGCGAAACTCACGTATTCTCCAACAAAACAAGATAGGATTTATGCTAGAATTCATGAACATTACAGATGTTGTGAAATTGAACGCGAGGTGCATAGAATAACTACGCCCAATCAATAGGAACGATATAGATGTGCATATGAGGGGTAAATAGCACAGTAACATGAGAAACCATATAACAAACATGTTATAAAACGACTTCTTGAACTTTCTCATTTGAAATTTTTTCCTTCTATTGACAATATTAATATCACTTTGCTCGTTGACGTCTGTATTGGTCCTACCATGGCCAACAATGGTGACACATTTGGCAGTCATTTCAAGTGATCTTTCTTGTGTTATCTGTCTAATGGAAGGTGCTTCAGTTATTAACAAACAATTCTGATTTTTTCCAAATCCCTCAAAATTAATTTCGCCCTCTGATGACCTACTTTCGTTATGCTTCTCTGGGACAACGGAATTCTCTCCTTTCATTTGATTGTTTCGAGTATTATTTCGATCTGCTCGCAAAGTACTCAAAGCCTTCATCTCGATTGGGCATTCGTGGTTCATTTCACTGCTTCTTTTTCCATTTCTTCTCGCTTCATTCACTTCTACTCTAATTAATTTTTCTTTTCCTTCTTCGATTTTCTGTACATCTATTTCCTCTTCTCGTGAATGGTCTAGTGTCCTTTTCCCAAGTTGAGCACTTGTGCTCCCGAATTTTAGATGCATTTCGTCTTCTTCATGACCTTTATCTTCAGCAATGTTCATTTCACCACCTACTCGTAGACTTTCCAAGTCTTCTTTTGAAGAAAAGCATCCATGATTCTCACGGGAGACAAATGATACCTTCGTCTGCAATTTCTTGTTGTCCTTGATATGATTTTCACCGTGAGGTCTTTGATCTTCACCTTTGTCCACCATTTGTACGTTATCGCTTCGCATTTCATTTCGTCTATTTCCATTGACGTCTTTAGTAGCTTCTCTTCGTTTTTCCCTTATCTCCTCTCCCTGAAAGGAGATACCCGTTGAGTCCATTTCCCCGCCGTCGGTGAACGATGATATTTCGCCAACCTGATGACTAGAAATTTGTCGTTGATGGTAGCGCAAGATTTGGAATATCCTTACGTAAGACAACAATGCGATGAGCAAAGCGAGAGAGTTCGCACACGCCAACACAGTGTTCTGCTCGTCGATGGCCCATTCAAACATGGAAGCGAAAGCCACGCTTAATACAAGCAAAACAGCAATCAATATAACAACTCTCTGCTTGGTTACGATGGAGGTATACTTCAAATGAAGATGAAGGGCCATCAATCGATCCAGAGAAATTGCTGCTGCGGTCCAAAGCGATAGCGACGTCAAAAGAAAAGAGACTAGGTTAAACACATACCCTGCGTAACAGGACATTACAGAGAGTGGATTGAATAAATAAGATATTTTGTATATCACGTAGAGAGGTTCGGCTATAAACCCAACGCACAAATCGGCAACAGCCAAATTGAGCAAGAGAAAATACGATGGCTGGCGAAGAAATTCAGGAGCTCTGCAAATCGAAACCAAGATTAATACGTTCCCTATTACAGATGTTATACTTAGAAATGACATAATAACGCAGTTTGCCAGATATGGGCCGAGCAATTCCCCTTCTTGAGGTACAACTTTATTGAGGTTTGCGCACTGTCCAGCACCCATTGCCACCAGACAGTGAAGTTCTTCCTCAAAATCCGCTTGCTGTTGTCAAAATTGCACAAGGATCAGTTTTGAATTCGGCGTTTTTTTCTTTTGAAAGTGTGCCAAGAAATGACCCGCTTCTTTGTTGACGCCGGGCTATATATGAATGCAAGATTCAATTTTCATTCAAACTTAGTATCCGGAAGATAATGAAATCTATAGGAGCTCTTCGAACAATGTCGGTTCCCTTTCCTGATGTGTGCAATGCGCCCACTAACAAACAAACATTGTCCGTGTGTTTGATACTGAAAAGTGGAAATCTTCGCTATTATATCCAAAAATCTTCGCGGTGAATCGCGATGGCTTGATTCTGATGAATTCTACCTTTCAAATTGAACTTTGTTTTTGCAAAACTGTTTATTTTGAAGAGCGATCTTCATATCCATCAGTAAAAGAGCTTTTAGGCTTGCTAATGTAAATCTAGAGATTTGTCTCTAAATTAAATATTCAAACCTTCATTTGCGATCCACAATAGATATGAGTAGTTAATTATTGACGAAGAAAAATTGTCAGTTCGCAAGATCGTAGGGCACAATGATTGACTCATATTTAGTTGCACAAAATCCGCAATTCCCATCAAAAATAGATTCTGTAAAACTTAAGTTTCCATGATATCATAGAATCAGAAGAGGTCATAGAAGATATTACATCAGAAAGATCTACCAATTTTGCTTAGTCCAGTGTCATATGACAGAAACGTCAATCATTGTCAAAAATTGGATAATTAAAACAGCATATAACTGTTTTAGACTTTAGAGGTTCAGCTCTCCCTTAATTCGTGATTGTACAGTATGCTTCGTTTTTTAATCCTATAACTAAAGCTAAATACACGACTATGATTTTTTTGCAGATTCAGATTTATGAAAAAATGATCCCGCTCCTTCACCTGCAACAGTAACAGAACACCAAACTCCACGGGATTCGCGACAGAGACAAGTGAACAAGAAATATGAATTTTGATTAGTTCAAAAAACAGCTGCTATTGGTTCTCAACAATATCTTACTCAAATATAACCCTCGGAGATTCACCATCTCAACCTTTTAACTGAATAATTGAATAAGCACGTACTTTAAATCATATGGGTTTAATCAATTATTCTCTTTCTCTGTAGTTTTAATCTCTATTGCAATTGCTGGTATGTTGTGTTTCCGGCCTTTTTTGACATGATCCCCTCATAACCTTTCTTGCCAAGTGAAAAATACAGAGAAGGCTGTCTTCTGTATTAGTTAGAAGCAAGGAGTGAGCAGGGATACACCCTACCCTGAGGTCTATGTTCTATGGAAATTAGTTCTTGTTCACGTGATGACGTAAGTGTCATCTAGATTCTTGGACCAACAAGGACTAGTCAAATCTATTTGTTTATAAAGCTTAATCCTTCAGTAGTAGTTAAAAATAAGGAAAGTCTCAAAGTATCTTTGCAACCAGATTTTTTTGCACAAAGGACGTTTCCGGTATCGTTTCTCTTGTTTTCTTCATGGTCGCGTGCATCAAAGTGATTTTCAATTTTAAAAAAAAAAGAGAAAACCTTACTTAATTATAGTATCACAAAATTCGAAAACGGGGTAATTCGCTGGTAACCCGGAGGCAAGCTCAAACACAGTGAACAGTTTTGCCAGCAGTTTTCATAAGTAGTAGTTATTTTTATCCAGGTATTGTCATACTTTAACTATACGAAATCGAGGGAACTTTTTCATGTGGCAAATCCACTCCACCCAGGTGAATGAGGAACTAATCATCTAAATAAAACCTATCGAGGGAACATGAGATGCACGCAGCTCTCTTAAACTTGCCAATGCTAACTCCTCCTTGATGGACAACTACTCCTTGATTGCCCTTGGGGGCCTTTTCCAACGTAAACATTTTCAAGTTACTTATGGGACCATTGTCTCCTTTTAATGACACCACAGTATCTTACGGTTACTGCCAATAAAGGGCCATTTTACATGTCACGACACTGGACTGGTTATATCTGGATTGTCATGGAGCCTCCGTAACTGAGATGATATAGAAATAACTTAATAGAGATTCTATAAGAATTACATCCAGTGGGATAATAAAATCCCTTAACTGCATTTTTCCTGCTGGAAACATACTGAACATATGGTGGTAAATAACTGACTTACCTGTCTTGTATGCACTGAAGGCGTCATCCCCATCGCCACCACAGACAAGTGAAGAATTTGACCAACATCTTTTATTACACTTTTCAATAAGCTTAGACGAGGTTTGGCTGGAGTTCGAGCATTTGCAGCTTCTCTCCCTTACGTAAGCCCATTGGGATTTTCTTTCACGGCAGATCTCGATGCATTTTGATGGTGAAGCTTCATGGGCTTTCATAGTCACTGTTTGGGGATTGGATATATTGCTACCATTCACACATCCTTCGTAGCTTTCGTTGACCTCAATAACTGACGAAGAAGAAGAGAAAAACTTAGCAAAATCTGATAGACTGTAATGAACGAGCTCGTGTTTCTTCATTTGTTTCATCGTTAAATAAAGATGCTGATCAATCCCCCAATAGGAAGGAAGGAGGACACTAAAGCCTGGAGGGAACACATAAGTATGGTATAGGTGGGATTAAACCGACCAGGCTCTTGAACTATGACCCTGACAGGGGAAAGGGGAGGGAAGGGGGAGAAGGGAGGAGCGGGAAGGAGGGAGAGGGGGGTAGGAGGGAAAGGGGAAGCGATGATACATTCGTTCTTAAAAAAAGTTTCAAATCATCATCGTAAGAAAGTTGTTTCAAAAGCCGATTAAGTTCCCGTAATTTCTTTGCGACCGAGGGGGAGAAAAAGAATAAAAGTGTGCTGTGAGTAAAATGTCATCCTAGGGGATCCAGTTCTAAGCAATAAACAACCGAAAACATTTCTTGATTCCAGCTCCACAACACCACTCGTTCTACCCACAGCCGTCAAAGTAAAGAAAAACTTTATTCGTTTTGCCACGAGCGTGGGACAAAGAAAAAGCGTTTGTACAGTATCTTTATTTATAGTTTCCACGAGAATATAATTACCTTTCGCTGGATATCCGTACTTCTTGAAGCCTGTAAAGGATTAAAAGAATTTAATGATTCATACTGTACTTATCACAACGGCGCTTTAATATTTCCATTGAACATCTAACGTCCTTTACTCCTGCAATTTAAACTCTATTCACCAAAATTGCAATTAGCTATGTCTACAGAACAATCGGCTGAAAGGCTGAAAGTGAAAGATCAATCCTTGCCGTTTGCCGTTCGCCGTTCGCCGTACGCATGGAACATGGAAATCTGAGGCTACCCATTAAACGTAATTAATGGCGGTTAAAACTTAAAACTGATGACATACCGTTAATAACCACTAGGCCGTTATCTCCACTAGTGGAACCATTTCCCCCCGCAGTGTTTTCATTCGGAGATAGTATTTCAGTTCCAACTGGTTTGCCTTTGCTGAAGATTGCAATTACCCCTCCTCCACCTCCCCCACGGCGGATAGAATTGTCACCACCTTTTGCATGAGCATTTGCTCCCGTGGCTTCTAGCCTCGCATTGTCACCAAGGATCACATGCTATGAAGTAAAGAAACGGAAAATATGAATTCTGTCAGGTCAGAGTCAATCGTTTTTCAATTTCAGTCAACAATATTGTCAAGAATTATTGTCAAGGTAAATCATGTTTAATTTTGATAAATTTTCATGGATTGATACCTGTATACACGTCAACCCTCGACAAACAAAGAGGAGACGCCCATTTCATTAAGCAAATTCTTGAAATAAAACCCCGCCCACGTCAATTTCTGTGTTTGTCTCAGTCAAACATAATTAGTCTTTGTGCGTCAATTATATTTTCTACTTATTCATTCACCTTTTCAGATCTAAGAATAATTGTTCCCCCGCTGCTTCCACCCATACTAGCCATTGATTCAAGTGTAGTTGTCTCACCATTAGCGCTGATCACAGCATCTGAAACACAAAGAAAACAATCGTTACCTAATTATCTAACAACTTTTTTTAGAGGTGTATAATTGCAACGCACATTACAACACTGCAGGCACCTGCAACCCTCAACAAATAATATGAAATGTTCATGACTGAGAACAATTTTGGCGCAGTTGCCAATTTTAAGAGAGAAATCGTCTCAGGAGCGCGAAAATGTGCCAATTTGGGTACGACCCAGCAAGGTTTGTTTAAAAGCCCTACTAACATCTTGATGAAAAGCTGTCTGCAAACGGCCAGATTTTCTAGCTTCCAATATTACTTTTATATAAGAGATAAAGTTAAGAATGCTTAAGGCGAAAGGGGAAATTAAAGGTATAAACAATGATTTCGGCTCAGTTTGCGTCAACAGCGGTTCAACATAAAAAGTCTATGGCGAATCCTTAACTAATAGGTAAAAGGTAATCCATCTCATGTTACTTTTCGATTCAAGAAAGTGAATGCTTTGGTTTTGCTTCACTTCGCTATGTTTGGTTAAGAAACTGACTCGCGTCAACCTCTCAACCAGTTAGAGGATTGGTCCTTTAGGACTGGATTTCGAGATACGATCGTAGTCTGCCTCAGCATGAAAGATATTTACCGATTGTTAAGTTCTTTTCTGATAAAATTTCAATCGCTCCGCCACCACAACCTATTACCAGACTGAAATCCTCGGTGGTACCTGTAAAAGATGGTTGAAGTTAAATTGGAACGCACAAATTGTGAAAGCTCCTTTGTGTGTCATGAAGCGCGTGTTTGGAGAGCCGAGCGATTTTAAAAACACGTTTGAAACTCGAGTTAAACATTGAGCTCAGGACAATTTCTGGATACTTAATTTTATCTCTGTATTAGGTTCTCAGTTCAGGCTTTTATGACTATGATTCTGGCCAAAATTACTCGAGCCAATTTCGAAAAAAACCCTCAAAAGACACAACTTCGAGTTGCTTCTTTTTCTGCGCACAAAGGTAAGCTAGTTGCCAATATTTACATCCGTAATTACGAAGTACATCACATCGGAACGAGACTTGCAAAGTTGACTTCTTGAAAAATCATAGGAATTCCACCATATCCCATATCTTGATGTTTTGTTGTTGTTGTTTTTTTTTCGATGTATGCATTGGAAGGACGAATTGAACAGTAGTTTGTCTATGCAATACAGGAAAAACGACGTAAAGAAGTAGCCAGTGTTTGTCTGTGATGGTCACTTACAATTATTTGACGAGCAATTTGACGTTCCTGTAGTTAACAAAGTTAGAATTAGCAAAATAAACTACGATATCTGAAAACAATCCTCACAAACAATCAGCTAATTATCTGACATTCAGGCTGACCTTCCAGGCTTAGTGATTGCAATTGACCAACCAGCCGAATAAGTGATTTAAGAATAGGTTAAGGCTTCATTAATAGTCCATGGACAAATTATCAAACGGACGAACCAAAGTAAAAAAGTGCATCATGATCAGAGTCAACAACCGCCTCAACAATTCTATAAACGACTGGCTGACATGACAAACTAATCACTTACGCGGACACTAACTGACTACATTAACATTACTACATTTTTAGCACTATCGACCTCCTTAGGTGGGCTACTGACCCTAATATCGCAATACATTCGCGGCTGAAAATGAAAATAAAAAATATTCTATAGTTCTTACCTGTACTTCCACCAATAAGATGTACTTCAGGCTGTATTCCATATGTTTTACTATAAATGAAATCGTTATCATCTTCAAACAGCAAGCCGCCCTTTCCACCATGCCCGGCGCCTGCGTTCTTGCCAGGCTGCCCTCGGCCAGGGCCTTTTCCGTCTGTTCAAAGCGAAACAAACGTGATACTTACGTTCATAGGGAGTCGATTGTATAAAAATGGTGAGGATAAGATGAAAACAATCACATAATAATAAGTTTCCTCATAAAGGATTAAATAACTTCTGACGACCCTGTTAAGCCAAAGTGAATGAAAGCATGATCTGAAAGTTGACGAGCAGGTAGAGATATATAAGAGATTTGAGAAAAAAGGCCACTAAGAAACGGGTACCAATCAATTTGCTTTTGAAAAATGAAAAAAAACAGTGGAACTAGGCAGAGAGAAGGAGTTGGACACAGTCCAGCGCCGTAATACAGCACAAATGAGGGTTACCTTCCTGTGTGGACCCTTCACCTTCAAGCTGTCAGAGGCGATATAAATGAGGACTCATCTTGTAACGTCAGACATTAAAAATTAGCCGACAAAAATAACCGAAAAAATAAAATTCGCTTGGCTTATTCACAAGTAGCGACAAGGGAGAGGAGCACCAATTAGCCATGAAAAAGTACAGGGTTGGCTTCTTATGCACCTGTCAGAGTTCTTACCCCGGCTTTTTCGGAAAAGAAATTTCCAGGACTCAAAAGATTCAGATTAACCCCTCTACTCTCAGGAGTGATCAGATGTCTTCTTACAATATCAACTTGATGAGTCATGAGAGTAACGAAAAGTCTGGTGATATGTCGCCGATGTAATAGCCGCATTTTCATGTAAAGTATACTTGTATATTAAATCGAATGATACATGAACACCGGATTCCGAACTTCCAATACTTTCAAGGACCACTATTCCTTTACTGGGAATTTCACGTTGTGGATCATTCAATTAAAAAATTCAACTTTCCAGTTTTCTAGGACCCCCCTGCGAACCTAGCTTTTCTTTTTTTGAGTCGATAAGTCAATAGCATCCCTTTTCGGGATCATGAAAAGAAAAGAAGTTACCTGTTCTGTTGCTGCTCGTGACGCAATATCCACCGACTCGTTTGCCCGATGTTGCCTCGGACTCTTTCAAATTTATATCCACTCCTATGTAGATACCCTCCATACTCTCCACCAGAAGTGAGTGTAACCCGAACACGCTAACCTTCGTGGAGCCATTGATCAGAATCGGTGTCTGGAACTCGAATTTGGAAACATTATATTGAAAAGTAGGATTTAAATTCCGTGTTTCGAATTCGCCATAGTACGAATATGCCATGGAACCGTTCATTGTTGCCAACTTGTGCATCCACCTTGCGTTAGTGGTGTCAATTTCCAAATATCCATCCTGAATGTACTGTGCTTGATTCGTAGCTTTCGTGGAAACTGAAGCAGAGAAACATATAGATTAGGTATTGCGTTCTCCTTTTACTTACATCATGACCGAGAATTGAAGTAGCAACGTGATAGCAAGTGGGATTGTCTATAAGCTTATTTCAACTTTGGTTAGGAAGCTGCTATCCTAAGTAAGACTCAAGGACGTTATTTTCAAGACGATATATCGTGTCCGCAACATAACGGCGTTGTCAATGGTGTACGCGCGCCCAAATCCTTTGGCGGAATTTAATGAATTCAATTTTTGACCTACGAATGAAATTTAAATGCAGAAATGATCCTCGGAGGTGAGCTCCAATTTTAGCACTTGCAGAGAAGGGTACGAACGACGCAGAAAAATTCGCCACGCTCCCCACTAGCTCAGTTGGTAGTAGCGCCCAACGCACTCAACGTGCGCAACGAGTATCTGGGGGCACGGGTCCGAATCCCGTCAAAACTTGAATTTGATCAGGCCTCTTATCTGCAATTGCTAAGATTGCAGTTCACCTGCGGTGAATATTTCTGCTCTTAGTTTTTTTATACTCACCAAGGATGTTAACAAGACCAAATGTCTTGCCAGTTACGTTAAATTTGGATTCGCACAATCCATCCACATCAACAACACTCCTCAGCTGAACCACACCTCCACCTGCACCTGAGCCGCGAGCTGTCAACAGAGCTTTTCTTTTCAGATGGATCTGGTGATAAAAGAGAAGTTTGTATGCCAAACTGCACTTTCTCTCCATTGAACGTACTGATTTAGACGCATTCTATAAATATTAATACGTGTTCTACGTATTAATAACTTTTCTTTTGAGAATTTTTCGATTGAGTGTCGTAAGACCAGCACTGAGGTAATCACAACAGCCAATCGGAAAAAAAGGAAAATATCTTCAATAGCCAATGGGAAGTCAAAGTAAATACAACCAAACTACCTAAATTACGGCAAAATGCGGGCGACCAAGGCGTGATTGGTCTTAGTTTTTGACTTGACTAAATGACAAAGTGACGCGAGTCTTTCAGACCAATCACAGAACGAAGTAAAAGAAAACCGAGGCAATTCCGGATAACTTTCGACTCTCAATTGAAAAATTCTCTAATATGATTAATCCTCGAACCTCATTGGCGTGTAAACGAATAGTTCCACCCATGGCACCGGCGTTACCACTGTTATTAGAGAAACCATTTGCAGAAATGATTTCATCTGCAGAGAGAAAAAGTCAAACTCATTCATTCATTCTTTAGTAAATTCTTCCTTTCTTGCTTCCCCTCTTCTTCATTATTTTTCATTCTCCACTCTTCGTTCCTATTACCATTCCTTTCTTCATTCATTCAATCATTTATTTATTTAGTCTTATATGTATACATTCTTGGCTTCGTAAATTTCTCACTGAAGGTATCCAAGAACCTTTACTCTGTCACCCAAAACTTAGTTCGAGCATGTACATTAATAAGTGTTGGTTTGCCTTCAATTTTGGCAACATGCAGCAGGCTTAACTAAACATATTTATTGCTTTTTTCTCTTATTTTACTTCCTTACCCTTCAACGCAGTAAAGGCCTTGAGAGAGATCAAACGGTTTTTCAAAATGTTCATACCTATGACAATTGCTCCAGACTCTGCTCTCAGCTCCAAAGCCCCTCCTCCGACAGCCTTAAATCCTTCTCCACTGTTGACTGTGAATTAATAAAAAAGACCCTTTAGACAGTATTTAGCAAAACAAAACAATTTCAAGAGTTGTAGATGAATGATATGGGAAAAATTGCATCGAGCTCCTTTTCGTTGTCTGTGGGGTCACTATCATAGGTAAACACTCAATTTGGTTGCGGGGATTTGTCGTGTGAAAGGCTCACAATTAGTTGAGTATCGTCATCATTATGGATCCATAATGATTACAATAATATAATTAATGAAATGATATTGATATGGGATAGTATAATAATACTAATGGAATTAATATTAGTACTATTACTGGTGTCATTATTACTATCAATATGATCATTAACATCGTCGGAATTCATTTTTGTCATAGTTATCATTAGCGAGAAATCCCCATTTACTCTCTACACTTCATCAAAATTGCATTTTCAAACAGAATTTGATTTCACTTACCTTCCCACGAACATACACTTCCGCCTAACAAGGAATCAAAATCTCGACCATACAATTCATCCGAACTACAGTTAGGACCAGCAGGACCTTTGTGAGCGAAACGAAGCAAAACTCGTCGAAATTATTGACTCTAAACAAAACGCAACTTAGAGATGTTTTTCTTGAAAGATGTACACTAATAATCAAACATATAAAGGCACCTCGAAAGTAAGAAAAAGTAAGTGTCGCAACATTGAAAGTACCAGGAATTTTATGTTGAGATTTTTGTCCCCTTAAAATTAGTCTGGGATGGTACCGGAAATAAAAAGCGCTAAGAGAGTAGTTTTCATTTTTCATAGGTTGTCTCTTCAACGTCTCATATCTCAACTGGTTTTGATCGGCCCGAGCATACCTAACAGAGCAAAGGTGGAAGTAATCAGAAGAGCCATTAATAGGAAAGGAAAATGTCACAAATACATTGTGTAAAGCGCGAAAAAGTCGTGCGCGACCAAGCCGCGAGTAGTTTATAGTTTTCAATCTGATTGGTTGAGAGGGTGGTGCGAGTTTTCTGGACCAATCAAATGGCTAGGTAAAGCAAACCAAAACAGTTGAAAATTGCATTTATAGGAGTCAAATAAGATGATATCATCGTCGTAGTAACGCACCGGCGGGTTTGTCATCATGGGACACTTTTACGTATCCTCCAATGCTTGTCTCAGAGAGGCTTTCATCCGAATGTTCCGTGGCGTCGATATCTATCTGGGAAAATATCTCAATGCTTCCATGCATACTGATCAAAGATAAAGCTCTCTTTCCACTGATTTTTACGCTCACTTGTCTTCCTATACGAATTGATGAACTGAATTCGATTTTGCAGACGTTGTAAGCCATTTTCTCGAAAGTCCTTTGCTCGATTTCGCCAGCGTATTCGTGATTATTAGTCCAGGACATTTTACAACTTGTTGTGTTGATCTTTAAATCCATTTGGCGGTCGAAGTACACTGCAAAAAGTTATTCAGATACTGTTTAGTTTATTAATAACTTTAATAAGACCGCTTGCTCGAGCGGCTTTCAGTATAGTTAATATTGAATAGAATAGGGCTTACACCGATAATAAATTGTTCCACTTCACGTCTCAAGAACATGTCAAAATGTCAAGGCTGGAAGCTTTTCTCAAAGGGACTCTCAGGTAAATAAGAAGAATTTCAGAAGTCCAATAAGTTTTAATCAATAGACGTTGCTACTGTTGTCATTTCCAAATGCCGAAGACATGTCATGGTGTGGTACGCCCAAAGGAAGGCGTCAGTTTAAACATTTGCTTTTTTTAGCTTCATCCTGAGTACGATAGGAAGCTAACATTCGAGTGAAAATTTGCAGTTACAACGAAAACTTAAAAATGCCAGACGAAAAGGGAGATGTATTTTTTTTGGATTGAAAAAAACCGACGGCCACTGCCCACATTATATGTAATGTTAAGACGTTACAAACTTTCTTTGCAGAACTGTCACCTAAGATAGCTTTCGAATTCGGGAATGATCAGTTAAAAATCTCTCATTAAAATTCACAAGTTAATGAAATCTTTTGCGTTCGCCACGTGCACTCAACAATAGTTTTTTTTTTCATATTTGAAATCTTTTTCTGTATCAGATCAATAACAACCTTTCTTCGCTGTTTCATGTGGTATTTATTTACTCGTTCATCTCGCGCAATTATGCACTCATCAAGGTCATTCTCTAAATATATAACACTATCCCCTTGAGTTAAGTGCACCCGAAAATCCATGAAAGATGCGCTTTGATGCGCAAGCGATCAAATGCAACGAATGCAGATTGGAGGTCAAAGGAAGTGGACGGGAAAGGATATGGAAAGTATCTTGTTTGTTCGTTTGCTTGTTTTCTTTGTTTTTTTTTTGTTTTTTTTTTTCTTGAGGCATATTCTATCAAATTATTTATAACTAATGAATGTTTTAAAGAAGAGTTAGCACGATTTAGATTTTTTGTACGGTCATTGAGATACAACGAATGAACACACTTTTTTCGTAGGTAACAATTTACCATGAAGAGAGCTTTTACACTTCCCACACGCTTAAGAATAAAAAATCGGTTAAATATCTATATTTCAACGCTACATATGTAGCATTGGATTGCATTAAAAACTATCGATCATTGGGTTTGATAGCGATTTCTCACTCAGAAGATTTTGCATCAGACATATCGTTGTATAGTGTATAGTATTCAGCACTAACTTATCATTAGAAGAATGAACAAAATCCCTCCTTACTACTCTCCGGTGATAATAGACTCAATTAACTCTACCAGATATCAGGAGAACTCCACTTTGATATTTTCCAGTTATTTACCCTATGGGTGAACTCTTCTCATATTAATTGATAAAAACCATTCTCCGCTAGTCTTATCGGTCAAAACACTCTTGCATTGCACTCAACCCTTCAATTAAAATGGACAACATTAATCAATTTTCAAACCAGGCCCAGCGTTTTTATAAGTGTTCTTTGTTCACCTCTCTTGAGCAAGGTCGCCTGTTCGTAATTTTGAAATCGCGTTTTTTCATTCCAGAAGTTTCTGATGTTCATGCTGTCATTAAAGCCAGTAATCTTTAGTTCGTTGGCAACAAAACTAAAGCAAGCTGTATATTTCAGATTCTGAAATGCAGAATGGTTCAAGAAAGTATGTGTCAATAGGTGATATACGATGGATAAATAGAGCAGTGCAATCTTGCGTCGCTGTCATTGCGTAGTTGAGTTCAAAAAAAATCTCAAAGCCTCGTTGTGAAGAATACCTGGACCTTAAAAAAAAAAGGAAGCTCAGCGGTTAGAAAGTGTTTGGAGAGACTAAACGGCAAGGATAAACGCAGACGCTTGCAGTAGAAAGAAAGAAAAATTCAAAAACTGCACGAAAGGCAGCCGAGTGCAGTGTAAAGAATTCAAAGTTCATTTCAAAACCATTACGGTTTTATTGAAACTATGTGATCTTTGTATAAGTACAGAACACCTTGAAAAGGACATCAAATGGACAACAAAAAATTACTAGGTGAAATATGTCAGAGGCTCATGGCAATTGTACATTCGAGGTCATTAACCTACTTTAGTCAACCAATGAGATTAAAGCAATAAATACAGGAAAAGAAGGTCGAATGATGATGAAATTGATTAACTCTTGGACTTGGTGGGATTGGCCAATTTCTCCCTTCCCTCTCCTCTCATCCCTCTTTTCTGTTTTCTGCTCGGCTTTTATCAGCCTTTTAAAGAGGATATTGGTTTTGTAATTCGAGTTCCCAAAACGATTCACGATTTTGTAATCTTCCTCTTCCTATAAACTTACTGAAGAGGCACGTATATAAGCCTATTCTCTGAACTGTCTTCATAAAAATAGGTGTGAAATACAGATAGCAAAATTGAATTTGCTTCAACTTCTGAAGCTCTTGAATGTGTCGCTTTTTATCAAACTTATATGTAATGCTCTCAGTACCGATTATCGGGGCACGAGATATAACAGCTCGCATGCAAATCGCGGTATCAAATTCAAAACAGCTTATCTGCAACCATGCAAACTTATTTTTACCAAACAAATTGGTCAGATAATTTTTTTTTATCCTTGATAGAATCGAAAAGAACCATTTCAAACTCGGCCACAAGCAAAAAAATCAAAACAGTCGTAAGCATGTCTGTTGACAGAAAACAAATATTTACCCATTTTTTCCTTGACCTTGAATCTTAGGAGAAGATGATCAAGAAAAGCCCGAAAAAGAGAACTGGTGACAAGATCCTAAGGGAGAAGTGAAGGAAGAGGAACCAAGCCCCAAATATTGTTTCAATGATTCATAATCACGAGTTTTCTTGGCATTTCATTGAAAATTTATTATTATTATTTTAGGGTGTAATAGAGAAAGATGATACAAGTCTTAGAGCAAAAATCTGCAAATTAATCCGTGTGCACTTTAGAAGAGGAAGAGGTCTTGAGTATATGTGAAGAAGTTATAAAGATACCGCGGGCTGTACCACAAGGAATTGTTGTTTTTATTCTCTGTTGCACACTTCAAACTTTCAACACTCATCACAGCTCGTTAATGTACTTAACTACAAATTATTGGTGAATTTTTACGTGACTGAGGCGTAAACTGTTTGTTTTACACAGATGATTGGATGAAGAGTGGACTAGGAACTGACCAGCGGAGAGCTTTGTTTGTTCGATTTCACGATTATTCGCGTGGACTCGGCTCGTTCCATTTTCACAATTTTAGCAGGCTGAAACCACGCTAAGTCAAAACTAAATAATTATTTCTGCGGTAAAGCATTAGAAACTATAGAGATCGGTTATCATATCGTAACCGAAATTTCCATTGACCTTTTAGAATAAATTTATTAAGTCACACTTGAGCAGCATGTATATTTTACCTTAATAAGGGTTAACCTGAAATAAGAACAGTGAAAACTCCGCTAAAATATCGAACCCATAAGCTAATTTCATGTGAGGATTTGACCTGCAACTAACCACAATCTCAATCTTACCATGACATCTTTTGACGCAGACAAAGACGTAGTATGCTCGGACGAAAATAGCAATTATCTATTACTCACAGCTCGCAAGCAAATGACCTTGTCTGCACATGCAAGTTAAAAAAAAAGGATTTGGGTCCGAATAGTCATGTTGCAATAACGAGTCGATTTTACGGGAAAGTTGTGTTTATTTGAGCACGAAAATTGAGTTGATACAGCAATTTTGGTTAACTGTCGCAATGTTCAATTACTCAGTTGTGACTCTGGATTTAATTTGCGCCAAAATAATCAGTATTTTGTTCCCGTTATCCGAGGAAATCAAGCAACAGACCAACAAAAATTTTATCCTTGGAAAAAGATCAACTATATATTATAAATCATACCTGGAAAATGGATACACCAAACTTGACTTTATTTCAATTAAATAATCCAATTAGTTTTTTTTTTATTATTTTCACTCTGACTCAGAAAATTGATATGTTTCGCAACGATAAATGATTGAAATACTCTACACTTAACAGGCTAAGTGACAAATTAATAAGTTGAACTCGCCAAATATAATGCGACTGTTACCAGGTTATGATTAGGAACAAATAAAATTTGTCTTTGCATCGACTTGTCTCGCATCCATTTAAAAAAGGTTATTATCATTAATGTAATCATCAAAGGCCGTGTCAAGTGTTTCTTAAACTGCCGCGTTGCATAATTCCTAAAATTCTCAACAGTAAAAACACAGAATAGTAACGAAAGAGGAAAGGAGTAGTTAAATTCACATGTTGCGGATTAGAGGATTGTGTAAAAAGTGTTTTGGATGGAAGATTCGAGGAAAATTTATCAGTGGGTGTCCACCTGAAGACTTATCTAATAGAAATACACACCTATCTTAAACGATTCAGATCGTTTGCGTCCCGCAGGGACCTATCGAAATTGAGAATTTCTTCTTGAAATCACCGGACCCATTGCAAAGCGGCGAAATCTTTCGAAAAGTGACTTTAAAAATCAAATCTCTATGGCACGATCTTACCGGATTTCCTTTTGGTTTATAACTAAAACCGCTTATCTGAGCAGATGAGGCGAATCGCTTGCCCATCGCCGCATGTTTATTCGATAGTCTCACTGTAGGGCATGAAGCAGTAGTAACCGTACATCAGAACAAACTTAATAGAATACTTACTATACATTGGATCCTCCCCAACACATCCGCTAATAAAACAACTTACAAGAAGCAGAGTGAAGGTAACGTGAGGAAATCCATCATGACACATGTTTCATGCGCGGAATTCTATACACTCAATAATCGTCGTGAGTGGATGTGTCCCGCTGCCCGTAAGTTAGGAAGACAAAAATTCTGGTTATACCTAACCTCTCATTGTCTGAGAGGTCGATGACATTGTCTTTTCGTTAACGGGGTGTAAACTGTATATTTGTTGTGTATCCTCTATCGCATTCTTTTGGTCGTTTGAGCATATGCGCTAATTTGTCAATGCCTGAGGGTAGGTAATGTCACCAGACAAATTCGAATGGCAGGAAGAGAAAATTCTTTATGTTCCTCCTGCTAAATGCAAGGAACAAGCGATTCTGTACGAAGATGAGGGGATAATCCTTTTAATAACTCACCTGAAGCATCGCGGGTGATTAATGATAGCCTCTTACCTTAATCTCATGGAGAATGGATTGACGCCATAAGAAAAACCGAAACAACCTTTGGATCGCCCGGGGTGAATTTGAGGTTACCCACTGTGAAGAGGTCTTTATGAAAGCCGCAAGCTTCCTCGTTTTTTGTATCCGTCAAAGTTCGAGAAGCTCTGGGTATGATTACTTAACCTACAGATTGCTGTTTTTGATCGGTTTACGCCAGCAAATTAATTGAAAACGCAATCGGTTAACCCTTCAATAATCCCATCGCATGGCATCTAAGGTTTTTCATACAGTTCCATCATCTCAATGTATTTTAGTTGCGTATCAGGCCCTCTTTCGATTTGCAATAAAAAAAGAAAAAGAAATCTATTTTTGTATCTTTAACTTTCTTTCTCATAAGATACAACTGGAAAAAAAAGCCATGAGAAAACGCGGCTGCTTTTGAATTGAGTTCTTAATTGAAACCGCTTGAAAACAAAAGCAATTGAATCTTAAAGCCTTAAAAGCCCCGACAGTCAGTATACAGGTCACGAAAGAATTTTCTGTCCTCTCGAAGAATAAACTTATTCTACAAGTACGGATGTGTTCCGGAAACAGAGCTTTAAGTATACGTGTGGGTTTTCTTTTGACTGGTTTCCACGTGCTCTTCGGTGACTAGTCGACGTAAGAACAAACCCTCCCTCCCCACCCTTATGCATATTCTTTCCATGTCGTTATTTTTTCTTTCCTGATGAAACATGAAATGGACCTCTAATTCAAACCTCTTTCAGGTGCTTTTCACGTTTGTGCAAATCAAACAGGATCAAGCTAATACACTAGATTCCCAATAGAGTTCTTATTCTCTGATCCGTTTTGGGCCATTTTCTGATAATTGCCGTTTACAGAGACCCAAAATTGGATGTGGTATCGATTCATCTCTCACCAAATCAATAAAGCAACACGTGAGGCGTGGGGCTCGCGTTTTGCACTTTAATTACGGGAGAGTCTAAAAATATCTCATTTAATCAATTCAATACGATGGTAATTTAATTGGCATTTCCGATGCGTTTATTTTCAAAATCACAACTTCTTAAAATCACCGACAAATATTACGGGAAAGCATTTGTAAAACATTAAGTAAAACAAACCATGTTCTTATTCCAAGAATGCGGTTATACCGTAATTGCTTTGAATTAATGCTGCATTCTTCTGATTGGTGGTTATAAGTTGTTTTGTCTTCATCATAGGCGTGTTTTGAGGGGGCGTTTGTTCTAGTAATTACTGTGCCTAACTACTTGGGTTCTTATAAAGAATACTCACAAGCTACTTGTTCTTGTCCTGCCTCGCCATTTCGCAATCCTCGTCCACCATTAGTCCTTTTCAGACTATTTGCTTTATAGCTTTTAATATCGGTTTGCGAAAAGACTTGAATAACTCCACCTCCACCACCACCTCCACAGTAATGCGAATGGTTAGAGCTAAAGCCGCTGTCCCCACCAACTGCAGATAAACTTCCGTTTTTTTCTATCACCACCTTGAGAGAAATAAAGAGCCGTTAATGAATTTGTTTCATTTTAGGCTTTTTGTCTTAGGTCAATAATCATTATAGTCCACTAACGAAAATATTTTTGCATCTTAGATCAAAGAGAAAAAAAACCCTTTTAAGAAACCATGTTGCATGTATCATATTCCGTATGATGCATTTGTCCTTCTGGCAAACACACGGTTCACGTACGTTTATCAGTTATTGTTGTTCCCTTTTTTTGCATTTACCCTATTTCCTCGTAGTCGTATCAATCCTCCTGAACTGCCCCCTGCACAGTGATCATCACTTGTGTTACCAGTCGAGTAACCATCAGCCTTTATTGCAGCATCTGGAAAAAGAGAGTCCCGTTAACACATAAATTAAATGAAGTCGTAAAAAAAGAAACTTTTCAGTGAGAGTCGTCTACGCCAGTAAAGGAGCTGGGGTCATTTTGCGCGTCAAAGAGAATCACCTCTAAAAAAAAAAAATGGAAACCTTAAATTAATTGCCTGAAACCAGAAACCAGACAGGTAGGAAAACATTAAAAAAATGGGGATAGTGGAGAATGGAAAGGATTAACTCGGATTAAAAATGGCAAAGTTGAACAATTTCGTAATTAATTGTTAATTTCTTCGATAACACCAAACCTCTCACTTAGCCTCTTTAATTACAAAATTTGTCAAAGCTTGAGAATAGCATGACCACTTAAGTGAGACACGCAAACAAACCTCAAAACTTGTTCAGATATGTTCCTAAAATTCTCAGACTTAACAGTAGGCTTTTGTTGAGTAGATGACATAATTTTTCCAGAGCCTCTCAAACACTTAACACAAATGGCCCACACTGAGCTTTCATCGGGGGATTAAACGGGAAAACTCTTGTATTCAAAACCGACGATAGCTGATGAGGAATATGACCAGAACAGTTCAAAATCCAAAATAGCGCTTTTACTATTCAGTCAGAGTCACTCTCGGGTGAAATGATGGGAGAGAAATTTATATAAGTTTTAAGCACCACCCAAGTTAGGCACTACCCTTGCCGATGTAAATCCAAGTATGGGTCCTCTTGTCACATTACAAATTCTAAGTAGGCTAATGATAGCTCGCCTGTTTAAAATATATTTTGAGGCGCTCTTTTCGGAATGATGAAAGGTTTCTGCATTGAAGGGTGCAATCGCGTTGCATTTTAATGCGCGACCCTGATCGCCAAAATAAAACGGCATTTGCTATGGAACTCCAAGATCGATGCCCAGTACCAGGAAAATACTATATATTTGATATATATGTATGTCACATCATAATGTAGAAAAGTGATTGATTCTTACTCAGGGTTAGTGTTCCACCAATTGCCTTCAATTCTATAGCTCCACCGCCAGACCCTGCTTTGCTAGAGAACAAATTCGTTCCTGTATAGAGGAAAGAGGGAGAGGAAACATTTGTAACTTAAATTTGAGGGAAAAGAAAGGAAACCTCGTAAAATATTGAGATTTCGCTGAGTAAAGAAACGTGTACTAATAACGCATAACAATGAAACAGAAAAGCTTTTATCGAACGCGTAGTCTCCAGACTGACTGTTTGGACTGGACTCAACTAAACTAGACTAGATTGAACAAACGAACGTTATCATTAAATTCAATCGAGCTTCTGGTCGATTTTCCCCTCAATTGACCTAAAGTCAATAGTGCCTACACCCATCTCCACTGTTGAGACGGATCTTCAACCGATATTTAACATCCTAAAAGCAAAGATTAACAAAGCTCGCTTCCGTACGGTCTAATTAACCACACTTTTAATTTGTTTTCACAATTAGGATTTTGGTAAACAATAGGTAAGTGCTTTAGATTCAAACTAAGAATGGACACTCTGATCATGAAATTCATTGTCATCTGATTCGTTCGACCTCCCGTTGAAACCTCCTTCCCCTGTCTTGGGCATTTTTCTAGGACCTTAATTCGCACTGTGGGACTCTTTCGGAATCGGGGATTATCCTGGCGAGCAGAATTCAGCGAACACCTAAGATTAAAACCGATTAAGTGTTCCCCACTGTACGGACGAAAGCCCGCGAAAACTTCTGCTAGAGGCCGACGAAAGCCCAAGAAAACTCTGCTGGAGGCTGACAAAAGCCCGCGAAAGCTCTGCTGGAGGCTGACGAAAACCCGCGAAAACTCTGCTGAAGGCCGACGAGAGCCCGCGAAAACCCTGCTGGAGGCCTCTGCGATTGTCACACCTTTTGCACTTCGGTATAGGCTCCCCCAAAACATTATTTTATCAACCGTATCACGCGTTCTTATTGAGGTTTTGAAATTTTTCTTTCGAAAAATTTTAATTGACTGTTTTTTCTAACTCAATAGCACTGAAAATAAAACGATTTTTTTGAAAGTAACCGGCTTAACATGACCCATCTCGCTGAAAGCCTGAGGCTCAGTTTGACAAGGATTCCAAAATGTGTTTCTTATTTTCCATCGCTCGTGGAAATTAAATTAACAACCTTTAATCATTGCCTGGATTATTTCTGAGGCCACCGTTAACGATCTCACCTGTGCTACCGCCTAGTAGGTAAATGGTATCGAAATAATTCCACCCGTACAGTCTAGTTGTGTTCCTGTCCTGATAAAAACCTCCCCCTCTGCCGCCATGACCCCCACCGTGATAGCTAAAGGCTCCACCAGGCCCCGCACCTATCAATAAACCGAAGGAGAGAAAAACTGTAATCAGCACCGAAACACAAAAGGAATGTTGGAATCTACAGTTGCTTGAACAACTATGCACCAAAGTGATACTGTTGATAACTTAATTCTGCTGATAACTTTTAATTCATTCAATCAAGAAAGTTTCCTTGGATTCGGGGTATTTAATGGAAAGACAGTAGAGACAGTAATCATATATAAAAAAATTATCATTTATGCATTTTATTTTAATCTATTTATCTATTCATCTATTTGTTTATTCATACATTCGTTGATTCATTTGTTTGATTATTTTCTTTTTATTGGCTGTACATGGAGAAGTTTTGAATTAAGTGTCAAAAAATCCAAAATCAAAGTTATCACAATGGGAATTCAAAATAAAAACAGGCAACCAGTTCGAAGCGCGGGAAAACGTGTGACCGAGGTGGTTAAGATGATGACGAGAGTTTTCTAAACCAATCACAGAGCGAAGTAAGCAATCCAGGATTAATCTCGATACTCAATTCAAGAATACTGAATCAAAATTACTTAACCAGAATTTCACCAAAATTTTCCTGTCTTTCTCTCCTTATTACATGCACACTTACGATACTTGAATGAAACGTTTACTTACCCAATGTACAGCAAGTTTTATTCATCCGTATAAATCCTCCGAGCCAAAACAGTTGTTTATCGTTTGAGATAAAACTGACATCTTTACCACTCACATCTAAATCAGTTCCCACCGTAAAATTGCCCTGAACGATCACAGAAAGGGCATTCGTACCACGGATAGATATTTTGTTTTTTTCATGAAAGATAACTTTGGCTTCACTTGAAGTGAAATTAAACGCTGCCACAGAGTAGTTCCAAATTCCGTTGTTAGGACCATGGAAAGTTTTATCTTCAATCTTTCCGCTCGTTACATTACTTATCCCCTCTATCGTTATCTGTGCTGAGGTTGTGTTGATAATGTAATGCTTTTCCCCAGCAATGAAACCTGATGTAAAATGTAAAAACACAACTAAACTCAACAAAAAAAAATCAGTGAAACAACGAAAACCAAAACGATAGGAAAAATAACATGATAAGTTTAATGTCAAAATAAAGTTTGAGCTATTACAGAGGCTCATTGTAGCAAAAAGGAATATAGAAATGCCGTTCCAAACGGCAGTCAGTAGAATGTTATGATGTCTTATTAATTTGAAGAACAACGAAATAAATGGTTTCGGAATAAAAGCTAGTTCCTCTTTCTGATTAATGTTCCTAGTTCTGAGAGAGCTAGAAGATTTACATTTGGTCGTCTGTGGTAAGATTAAAAAATGAGACCGGTCGAAGGTTTAGCGAGTGCCGCCATTGTAGCAAAGTACCCTTTAGTTACAACTTGGAAATTCTTTTTTCAGGGCCAATGAATCCGTTCGTCGACCGTATTCCAGTAAAAGATACTTAGCATTAATCATTTTATGTAGTGCCAGCCTTACAATTTGATCAGGTTGTTCACACCTTATAGTGGTATTTGGTACGAGAATTCGTGCAAAAATGCAGTATCAACTAATAAGTCTTGCGCCATGTTGTATGGTTCCCTACACTCAATGTTTTCTCTAGTGTAATTCACGTGTAAATTTTAACACATTCTCTCGTTTCTTCAGTTAAACGAAAGGGCGTACCCAGTCTCCTACTCAGGCGTCCATGCCCTATTGCTGCGAAGCGTTCGTGATGCCAGGTGCGTGACACTTCATCAAGCACCGTGGACCAGGCCAGAGGACGATGCAATAATGAACTTAAGATTGACAGATATACAGAAACCACAAACGTGCATGTTAGGGAATGCAACTTCTTGGTGCACTTTGACTTGAACGAATCAGTCAGAAAGCTTTTTTTTATTATTATTTTAGTGTTTTGTTACAATTTATTTGTTCTTTATTTAAGCTTTCGGAACAAGGGAGAAGAGCGCGTACATTCGGCTGCTGTTGGCGGCTTTTGAACATTTTTAGTTTCGCTTTACGATATGTGCATCTACAGATTCAACAATGGCTTCGCGAAGTATTATGCAACGACTTTCCTGGGCGAAAATTTTGGAAAGTTAAAATTACTTTTGATTATTCTCAGTATGAACAAAGCGTTCACGCTTCCCCTTCCGATCTAAATTTAGAATTTCTGTACTTATGAATGACTGTGACAAAACACAACTTTATCTAAAGAACCAGTTGCCCAATAGATGAATATGGTCACTTAATTCAAAAATTTAATTATTATTAATTGCAAAGCTACATTCTCCAATGAGCGTAGTCTGGAAAGCTCTAATTAAAATTACAAGTGAAAGGGACCTCCCGTGTAAATTCGGCTTTTCTATAACACAATTTGTCAAGTCATGACAGGTGTTCGCAAATTATTGACAAAGGTAATGGATTTGTGACAGGAGTATTAGGTATCTGAGCACGTACTGAACGTGCTTCGATTAAACATCTGTAAAACAACGCGAAAAAGTTTAAACTGAGCAGAGGACGGCTATTCGCTTGAACAGCACAACATATCGTTCATTCTGATGTTGCCTAATTCAAAGCAAAAACTTCGCAAAAAATTCATTTCATTAAAATCACGCATTCAGCTGGCGATATTTTGTATTTTCACTGAGAATGTCAGAAAAATAATAAAAGAATCAAAAGTGAGTGACATGCGATAAAAAATTTAATAAGATCTCACGATAAAATTATTCGAAAGAAACATTTGATATATTTTTACTTACTGCATTGAAACCTTATCGCATTCGAAAACAGCTTTAAATACAGAGTTATACTATGGTAAATTTATTGCATTAAGACAAACAATCGCGGAGATATTTACACCAACGAGGGCAGCAGTGACGCTGTCAGCTTAGATTATTGTTGTTTGTTTTCATGCTCTACGCACACTTGAATAACAGTTTGTACTTAGGCAACAACAAATAAGTATTGGCAAGGCTGGTTGGCAAGGCATCGTTTGACAGCGTATGCTGATCACGAAATTATAAACTTTTCAATGTTCTTACTCACGTATAATTACATCACGTCATAAAGTTACTACTACTGAACAAAATTACCCGATAACAGAGCTGCTAAAAATGGTTACTAGAAATTATGGTTTCATTCTGTGTCTAGTCACAACTGATGGTTTTAATCCGGTTTAAAAACATCAAAAAGTTATAAAAGTTAAGAAATAAAAATAAAATAAGAAATAAAAAAATAACCAGCGATAACTCTTCCGTGATTCTCTTAAATAAACACATACAAATAAGATTTCCCTGATCAGTTCTTTGGTATTCTTCGACATTGAAGTTCCAAGACGGTGTTTTCAAAGATGTCCGGCAATCCTGCCTTTTTGTCTTCATCGAGGGCAATAGGTATGTGATCTGTTTCCTTTGTCGGAAATTTTCCCGACAAAATAAGGTGTGCAATGGAACAACCAATTTTATTTTTTTTAATATTGCAGTATTTCGTGTTTAATAGTTTTCGGGAAAAAGGTTCCATTTTCTTTGAATTTTCACGTTTACGCTTTTCTTTGATATTTTATTCAACCCTGACCACAGGCAGCCCAAGCTCCAGCTGTGAGATGATCATCCTGCGAAGTAACACTCATGGCGAAATTATGGGAGTTTGAATGTGAATAGTCACGACCGCTTTTAGGAATAAAAAAATACAGTCAAATTTTCAATAAAAATACCTCACCTTTCTTTCATAGTGCAATTCTTGCGAGTTATCCATTTCTAGGTTTACCACATAAGAGAAGCCCTAGAAATGGATAACTCGCTAATATGGGTTCTTTTCAACATAGTAAGCGTTCAGATAATAAGCAATGCACTGTGAAAGTAAGGTGAGGTATTTTTATTGAGAATCTGACTGTATTTTTTTATTCCTTAGAGCGGTCGTAAATATTCGCCGACAAACTCTTAAAATTTCGCCATGACTCCGACTTCGCAAGAAGATCATCTCACTGCTGGAGTTTGGGCTACCTGTGCCCTGACTGATCGTCTCTTTACAGTGCTCGAAACTGCTCCATAAAGAACTCAAGCTCTGTTGTTTTCCGCCCAAATTCAAATTAGTAGTCGAAAATGTTCCCTTTTACGTATCATAAATTAGCATTGGTGATATTTTTCACCGGTGAGTTTTCATTTAGTCAGAGTGACATGAATTAATGCACGAATGAGTCTACCGACTCATAATTGTCCCAGGAGACTAGGTTCGCTCGTACGCTCCAGATCTAAAACGTGTTTTTAAGCCCACCGCACTGTTTAGACGATGACAGCTCTTGCGCAACAATAAAAGTTTTGAGTCATTATTTTTCATTAACAGATCCCATTGCTCCTCCCATGCCTCGCGCTATCAACACTTTATAGAGACATGGCAGCAAAATTAACGCACAGACAGATACCGGGTGTCAGCATGGACAATGGCTGGATTTATCATTGGACAGCGAGCGAAAAGGCTTGTCACTACGTTTACAGAATTCCCTTGACTTTTCTTCAGAGAACTCAAACTTGCCTTTTTCTCGAGAGTTCCTTGATTTCATACTGTTTTAATCTGCTTTAATTTTCCACTTCAATTTTATTTGCTTAAAAGAGGCTACCTCGTCAAGGCAGCCAATAAAACGTAGCTTCACCGAAAAAAAAGACAACAGCCATTTAATTAAAATACCGCATTGGGTGCCAAATTAAAGTGAAGCCACCGGAGGGAAAAAGAAGCAAAAGTTTGCTAAATGTTACACTTTGCACAACTTCTGCCAGCGATCACCAGCAAGCAAATTATAGTATATTACTTTGAATATACTATTTTCGTTTCAAGTCCGGTCATTTTCACGTCAAAGATCTTTGAAATTGTGTCACAAGAAGATATTCATGCGTCAACGGTAGCCGACAAACATTTTTTTGTTGTCGCTGTTGTTTTCTTTAGTCATTCAAAAGTGTCAAGTTCACATACGTAGATGATGGCAAAAGAATTACAAGCAATTTACTGTCCATGATTTTCTTTTTAGAACAGCTGCCTGGCTCAGTTCGTGCGATTAAAGACGCTTATTTTTTCTTTTACGTTCACTGGAAGTCAAAGCCTAAAATATGCTTACCCGTCTCAAAGCTAAACTCACTTAGCAGTGATCGTAAAAATGAGACTTTAGTAAAACAAGAGAGCGAAATTTGGAATATGATCGATAAGTCAGTGCAATATATCTTTTTTGACCCCAGTTAAACTAGTCACGGTCCAATTTTTCCATCAGTATAGAGAAGATCAGACGGAAAATCTCCTCCCTCCGCTTCATAAGTCGAGTCAAATACACTTATGGTAGCGTGTCATATGAGCACTATGATTGACAAACATGCATATTATAAACTTAAGGCAACAAAACGAAGACTGCACCATTCCGGCAAATTTATTTTGGTTATCACCAATTGGTGGTAGATAGCTGCTCCAAAACATAGCAATTAAAATTGAATGCTGACGTGAATTCAAAATAGACAGTTGCACGCCGCATCGAAGCAGTTAAAATGAATTCATCTTGTTCAAATTTTGCAAATATGGATATTCATCACTTTTCAAATCAAGCAATATACATCCGCACTACTTAACTTTTAGGCGAGAAGCGTTGACTCAGTAATAGTTTTGGGTAGATTTCGCTCACAAGTATCCTAAGTCTTCTCTACTATCTAATTATTTCTCAATCGACGAATTCATAAACTTTAAAGAAACTGAGGAGAAATCGAAAAAAAATATAATTATTTAGCTGACTATATTAATTTGCATTTTAAAGTAAGCAATATATTTTCTTTTATTTCGTTCCTGATCTTAGCTCAAACAATCACCTCTCGGCGTCTTCTTCTATCTCAGAGAACAGATTTTAAACTTAAATGACACCGGTATATGTCTCTACCATTTTCCAAAAACGTATTGTTCTTGTAAAACCGAGGCCCGTTTATTTGTCACGATCAGGTTCAACATTTTAAATTCATTTATGAAGATTATCAGAAATATCGGAAAGCTGTTCTTGTACTGAGTTTAAGGCGCTCTGATACCATCCAAGAGAAAGAAAATTTGTATACGGTTTTGGAAAAATAGTCTCATATATTTCTATGATTAAAACGATCGGAAACTTTAGGAAATACGCATGTTCCTTTCAGCTCAAGGTGAATCAATAGAGAAGATTTACCGTCACTTCGAGTTTTCGATGTTGGACAGCGCCAAATTTCCTAGCGACATTTGTTACAGGCTCTTGAACTAAATCTTGCATGAGATATCGCGTGACAACATATTGAACCTTTAAAATTTCGGAAAGCGAAAAGATTCAAGTAAAAAAAAGGGGAAACATATGTATTTGATTGTGTTTCTTTCGAGAATTTAGGGCAGTAGAAAAAATTCAACTGCAGGCGACATTTCGCTTATTTCGGCGCTACGGTGATTTGACTTTTAAGAACATCAACACAGAAGGCATTTCGACGGTTCTATGAATAAATTGAAAGAGTCGATAAGACTTAATGAAAGGAGCGATTCACAGGCGTAGAATTCTGGTGCGCTGAGCAGTTCCTTCATCTAAATTAATGTATATCATACACGCGTTTGCCGGGTTACTCTCCCAATAATGTTACATTTCATCCCTAGCTGAAATTTCACTGGTGACTTTAATCACAATAATTTCTGGTCAAAATTAACTCTGCAAAAGAGCGAAAATGGGGAAAAAGCTAATCTTTAAGATATGAATCCCACCTCCTGTCACAGCCAGTTCGCTCACATTGAATAAAAGTGAACGAAATTAAGCTGCTTGCCGCCTTCACGGTATAGTTAATATGAAAGCCCTGCTGGCTAATACAATTTATATCATCGGATGCTAAAAGTGGAAATTAAAGATAAAAAACCAAAGTTATCTGCGGCTAAAACACAGAGTATAATTTTGCTCTATTTATACGATTTGCAGCCTTCCTTTCCGAACGAAACGCTTCTTCTTGCTGACGAAATTTTTCAAATAAGTCGCTGCTTGCGGTCGTCAAAAATGAGTTTGTGCGTTCTGAAAAATACTCTGTTCTGCATAATAATAGCCGTACCTGTTCTCAAATACAGCAAAAGGAGAACTCCTTGAAGCTGTAAGAGAAGTAGAGAATAAAAAATCGTAAAAACAAAGCTAAATAAAAGGATATATTTCAGAAGTGAAATATCGAGCGTTGATGTAATTGAGCGATTTAGCGTTACCTTTAAGAGCGCTTGGCAAAACGGCCTAACTCTCTCCTTTCTAACCATCTCCTCGCTTCTCAGCCAGCTAGACGACTTGTAAATTTATAGAAAAGCCTTCCTCTGTGAAAATGACAATATTTTTCCCAAAAGTGGGTGAGTACTTAAATTTAAGCCTGCGATCCTGCAAGCCGGGTCGTCACAAATAGGACAAAATGAGCCTCGGTTGATGGGACAAACAAATTATGGCCAGCTGCTTGTGAAGAGGAAAGTAAAACAATCCAGCGAATATTTTTTAATTATTCATTAATCTCAGTCATCGGAAGACGACTGTCAGTGAATGGCACTCAGCTCTTTCTATGGCAAATCATGCTCCTAAAGGAAAAGTCATTCTCAGAGTCAACATTTATGCCAGCTTCATGGTTTATTAATTAAATTTGGATAAATTTCCATACTTAGAAAAACTGGAGCTGCTAATCTTTTCTTTTCTTATTTCGTTTAGGAAAATTTAAAACTAGAATACAGGATTTATAACAAGTGGCAAAGTTTGAACGAGGGACTTCAATCAAAGATACGAATTAAACATTCATTGTGCTTCGCAATGATACAAAAGAGGAAAAGAATCCTCGTTCAATTATTATCCCGGAGCCTTGTAGCGCAACTGAACGGAGGTTATTACGGTTTGATTTTTGCCAATCAAAAGTAAACTTACTGACCAGGGAAAGTTAACTGACTGACAGCATGCAAACAAATAGCATTTTCTGTCCCAACTTGTGAGTGGCGCACGGGTGATAGGGTTAATGAAAAGTTGATCTTAGCTGTGAAAACTGAGCAACTCTCGACGTGAAACGCAGCTGTGCAAAGGAAGAACCGGGAAAGAAATATAATCTCTCTCAGAGAACAGAGTAAAAACTGTAACGACAACATGATTTGTGGAAAATTGAACACCAATTTACTTCTGTACAATCGGAGTAGATTATTTCACTCTACAAGAACTGTCTTCTTCTAACATTGTATTAAAATTTTGTGGAAATCTACAGTAGTAAATACCGAGTTCGTTTCACGACGGTGAACAAGGATGTTTTTGCATAAAATGCGTGTAACATCCACCGCTATACATTGCAATTATGTACATGATTACGTGCAGGTCAAGCTGGAAAAGCGAGAAAGAAGTTATGGCTTATAACTGATATTTAGGATCAATTCCCTTTATGGAGATACACGCTAGAAATCTGATGGACTAAAATATTTGCTCAAGAGCACAACTTATCAGTCTCAAGAGTAGGATCACCGGGGTTTTATTCATATTCAATTTACTAACTGTAACGGACTTGTTTGCCATGCTCTTTTTTCGTTGTTGTTCCAGATGGTCGAAAGAGTCGTCGTAACTGTATCGTGTAAGAATAAAACACATTTCATTTGTTGGACCTCGGTTCCCAGTAAAATCGAAAATATGGCGCATGAATACAAAAGCTCCGACCTAGTAAAACACGGGAATACAAAAATAAACAAGTCAAAATACTGTAAGTTTTTATTAATTTAGATGCTTACTAACCGAATATCAAACTTGAAAATCAGTTGCAGAATCTATATTTTGTTTCGTTTTGTTTTGTTTTGTTTTTTGAAGTGCATGTTACAGATACCTGCGTAGCTTACAGGCGAAAGCTTCCACGTTTGGAATAAGAAGCTCCACTCTGACTTGCCTTTGACTGGAATCGTGCCTTAATGTTGATGGTAGATTCATAAGCTTGATTATAAATAAAAATAAATCAGCAACAGTACATTACGACATGTGTCCACCGATTTCTGCCCATTAATAGGACTTTTCGTTTTAGTAGCTAACGATAACTCAGCACCTAATCATTTTAGGAGAAAGCAAACCTCGAAATCAGTAAATGACTTAGCAGGTTTACTTCTTGCATTAGCGTAGTTTGGTAGTTTGGTAGTTTGGTAGTTTGGTAGTTTGATAGTTTGGTAGCTTGGTAGTTTGGTAGTTTTGGTAGCTTGGTAGTTTGGTAGTTTTGGTAGCTTGGTAGTTTGGTAGTTTTGGTAGCTTGGTAGTTTGGTAGTTTTGGTAGCTTGGTAGTTTGGTAGTTTTGGTAGCTTGGTATCCCTGTTCCCATTTTCGACCAGGCGTTCCTACAACTGGAACTCATTCCTCCTCCATCATAAGATTATACCGGCTTCCGTTACATCTGCTGAGTGTCGTTGAGTGATGTAGATCAGTTGTGGCATAAGTGACCTTTTGATAATGCTGGCAAGCTCAATCGAAATCGCCAGTTTGTCATCAGCCGTGATCATAATTCTTCTTTGTGCTCTCTTGTTTTAACTCAAGGAAGGACTTTGCCAAAATGGCAGCGGCTGCGTCGGCAACTAGTGTTTCAGCACGTCTCACTCGAGTCTTCAATGAAGAATTGTCTTGTCCTGTTTGTCTGGAAGAACTCAAAGAACCAAAATGTCTTCCTAGCTGTGCTCATAATGTCTGCAAAGCTTGCCTAGAGAACATGGCTCGTGTGAATCCTGAAATTATCCGTTGCCCGACATGTAGGAGAGTTTCACAAGTTCCTCCCGGAGGTGTAAATGACCTTCCAACAAACAATGTCCTACTAAAATTCTTGGAGATAACTCCAGGCAGACAACAACGATTGGAAATTCAGAGATCCGTGGACAATAGCAAGCCCGTGATCAACGAAATGCAGACAAGGATAACAATTCTAGACCAAGCTTTAGATATCTTAGAAACTGATTGGAAGAAAGCCAAAGAAGATATTCATTTAACCGCCAACATTGTGGTAGAGATGGTTCGAAACCAGGAGAGCAGTCTTTGCGAGGATATTGAAGATTTTTACGGGAAGAAGCACAAGATGCTACAGAATCAGAGACAGAACTTGAGCAGTTTACTAGCAAGTTCTTCCGCTTGTCTTGAGACAGCTGAAGGAATTCTTCTGAAAGGAGATGTTGACGAATTGACTGAGATGGCAGATGTTCTCACCCAACAACTGAAAGAAGTAAGCCAGATGAATTTTGAAGATGCTGGAGAGCTTAAACAGAAATGTAAGGAGCAGCTAGAGTTTCACCCAAACCACGAGTTACAAATCAACCTTGAAAAACAATGCATTGGTGTGGTGCGGAGAAAAATGAGTGATAAAATTCCTACCAGCCCCTTAGGTGTCTCTGACATCAGCTCTATCGGTAAGGTCATTAAGAAAATTGGACGGAAGGGTTCCAGGAGGGGTAAGTTCAAAAATCCTGGGGGCATTGCTTCAAATGCACATGGAGAACTGGCTGTGGCTGATTATTTTAACAACAGAGTGGAAGTATTTGATGAAACAGGAAAGTTCTTGTTCACATTTGGCAAAAAAGGGGATGGCGAGGGTCAATTTTTGGGTCCAACTGGGATAGCATACACCAGAAGTAACAAAATCCTTGTTATGGACAGCAGGAATTTTAGAGTACAAGTGTTTGACAAAAGTGGCCATTTCCTTGCAACTTTTGGCAAGAAAGGCTTCAATCAGGGAGAATTTGGATGGGCAGAGGGTATTGCAGTTGATGAAAATGACAATGTGATTGTCACAGATACAGAGAACAATCGTGTTCAGATATTTTTGCTGGATGGAACATTTGTTCATCAGTTTGGTGGGCATGGCCCTGAAGGCTTTGACACGCCGTTGGGCACTGTCTACCACAAGGAAGAGTTCTACACATCGGATAAAGGTAACAACTGTGTAAAAGTATTTGATCGCAATGGTGTTTATGTTCGACAGTTTGGAAGGGTTGGACCTGGAACTGGTGAATTTAGGTGCCCAAGAGGAATTGCAGTGGACAGAGCAAATGACTGCATTCTGGTCTGTGACAGTGAAAACAACTGTGTCCATGTATTTAAACTGGATGGTACGTATGTTGTAAATTTTGAAACAAAGAAGACACCTGTCGGAATTGATCTACTGAAAGGAAAGAAGTTAGCTGTATCATCATATTATGGCCACTGTGTCCAGATTCTGTCATACAGATGATGGTGAATTATTTCTTACACTAGACTGTGAGGTGTGCCTCTTTGTGAGCTTAGTCGCTTGAGGGAACCAAAAAACACAATACATGTAAACCCACAAGAAAAGCACTAATGTGTTACTCTTGCCCCAACTTTTCATGCAGCACCCTCATCTCTTCTTGCTCAACAGACTAAGCTTGGAGAGAGGTGATCCTTATAGGCTAATAATCTTTGTACAGGCCTCTTCATTTGAGTCCAGCAACAAGGTTGTTCTAATTAGCTAGGGAATTTCTAGCTTGGTAAAAGAGATGCTGTTACAAAAATTAAGATCTTGTCAGCTGGGCTACATGTAGCTTGCCTTTCCTAAGATCCCATCACAACTTCTAGAAAGGAAAGACTTGGGAGGCAAATTCTCTGATCTGTGTTTGTCTTCTTGATTAAGATTATTTGAAGGGACCCTAAGAAAAATTCTGCAAAAGTAATCAAAGAAAAAAATTTTGTCCTACTGTATTTTGCCTGTTTGAAGGATCAGTTATTTAAGGATCTGTTTATTTTTATTTTTATTTATGTCACTTTAAAAGAACTGTAAGAACTGAAGGATCAGTTATTTTTATTTGTGTCACTTTACAAGAACTGTATAAATGACAGCACTAAACAGCCAAAAGTGAGAAAAATGTTAAATCCTTACTTTCCTATTTTTAATTAATAACTAGTGTATAGAGACAAAGACAGTTTTTCTCTTAAAACTCAGTCTGATACTTGCATGACTGGCATTTTGTTTATGCATGGATAAATTTGTTTTGTATATTTATATTTGAAGTAGCAGTAGATTATTTGGTGAAAAATAAGAGTCTTAGAGACATTTCAACTATGAATGGGTGAATGTGAGGTTAATGAAAGAAAAATATGCTGTTTAGTTGGGTTGGATCATCATCTCTGTAGTTTGCATGTAAATTTTAAAGGTGCAGTAATAAGATACATTCTGCACCAAGAAGCTTGAAATGGATATATTTTAAATGTATTCATATCAGGATATTCAGTAGTTTTTAAACAGGGTTTTTCCAAATTTTAGGTTTTAGCTTCTTTTTTGTTTTGGTGTAAGAGACAGTAATCTGCAATGCCATAATAGCAAGAGCAATTATCTAGTTTGCCAATATGGCATTCTTTTGCTGCTCAAGCCAAAAAAATATATCCAGTAAAAATATAATGGTAAATAATTGTAGGCAAAAAAAATCACAAATTCAGGGATAGTTATTAAAATTCTTTTATTTTGATTTAGAAACTTGGTATTGTGTTACATTTTAGGAGGACAAACAAACTATGCTTAAATACTTAATAATTATGTTGTTTCAATAAAATACCTTAAAAAAGAATATCTACAGAAAAAAAAATATTTGATGTTTACAATAACTCTATGAACCAGTGCAGCAGATTGTTAACTTTATATTATCATTTCCCAACAAAATGAAATATATACATATACCTTATCTCAATTTTATCTTTCTATTAATGGAGACCAATCTTTGATTCTGTATATCCATAGCCAACAAAATTATGCAATTTCACATCGAGTGTTTACTTTTGAAATTAGTCAAAGATGGCCTATTTAGTCCCATTCTTTAATCCCTAGGGGCCCAATTTCTAGAAAGGGTGACCCAAAAAGTGTTTCATCATTCTTGTGGAGTATACTCAGTGATACAACAAGGAAAAAAAGGGAACAGAGACAGTAAGAGACTACTGTATACAGCAGCTCTCATATCAATTTTGTTGTCAATTATATTTGGAAAACATGATTTAAAAATACAGTATTAAAATAGTACTTATCCAAGTGCAAATTTTTTCTGTGCCCCACTTGAAGTTATGTCATAAATTTTATGCTGCATCTCTTTTCAAATTGCAAAAATCCTGAAAAGTCATGCTCTAAAATAAACCCTGCCTCCGAAATCTAAGAAATATAGCTAAATTCACATCACCAAATAGAATGGATTCTCTCATTTCCTTAGAAATATGTTACAAAATTCAAAACCAAAACATATCAAAACTTCTCTAAAAATTATATTTTCAATTTGTTTAAAAGGAAAGTATGTAAAAACAAAAGAATATTAGGCTTCAGTTTCTAATTTTACTTTCACATCTAGATCTTTGAGACAAATACTCTGACGGTTGTTACAGCATAACAGACATATATTTACAGCATTACAGACATATATTTTACAATTTAGTTTGCTCAAACAGAAGGTCTCTTGAATTACAGTAGAAGTGATTTCCTTACAGACTACGATTTTTGAAATGAGTTCATATCTGTAAAGTAGTTAGTGCCATTCCATACCTAGTATTTTGCATTGAAGGTGCATCCATCCATTTCCCAGCCCTTGTGTCAAAACACTCAACTGTATTCAAATTTCTCATTCCATTAAATCCCCCAGCAATAAAAAGATTATTTCCCAATACACTTGCACCTGCACTACTTCTGGGTGATTTCATGGCTGGAATATTGTACCATCTCCCTTCTCGTGGATCAAACCTTTCAGCTGTATTTAACCATGACTGGTTGTAACCTCCAATCACATACACCACACCTGAAAAAAACATCATTAGAATTGTCATTACTGCTTGTGAACAACTCTGGATCCATTTACATGTTCAGGGAAATAAATGTTAATCTACAATACAGATACAGTGTACTAAATAGAATCATATGCAAGCAAGGTATATTTAGAGTGGGTAGGTAAGCATGTATACAAGGTGATGACAGAGGAGTGGGTAAGGGGTTTTGTTTATTGGTCCATGCCTAAATACATTGTGGGATGTTGTCCTCCTCTAGGTTTAGGGGTTTTGTTGGTTGATGTGAGATTGCACTCTTGCTTTCATATTTTGCCCCTTTTTTTTAAGTATCAGGATAAAAAAATAAATGTGGCAAATACTAAATTAAAAACAAAATTGAAAGGCATTATCAACCTTCTTGCCAAGTATTAGATAATTTTTTATACTGGTAATAGGAACAAGTGGAGTCCAATTTAGACTGTAATCATACAAGTGATTAACAAAATGAGACAACTGCGAAGCGGGAGTCCAATTTGTCAATCACGAATCAATATGATTACAGACAGAATTGGACAACAAGAGGTCCTGTTACCAATTAATCAAAACTGCTACAATTTTCAAAAACAACAAATACATTTAGGTCAAATATCTTTGGTAAAGACAATATCTTAAGTAAAAAATTCTCCATTCTGGAAATTCCTCAGTTTTTTAGGATAAATGGTTGTTGGTATGGTTATTGTGATTAATTCTGTGACTGGTGGATTTGGTTGAGTGGAATTAGTAAGATTGGCCACTTCAACTGTCCAATTATAGGTGTCCAATTACAGCCAACTGTCCAATTACACTGTCTAATTACAGCTCTACAGAATGATTGGTGAAAAATAAAGCAGCTAATGCACCAATCATGTTTGAGGAAATTGTAATGATTTTGATGAAACGAGAAATCATAGAAGACATCATTGAAATACATCTACTTATTACACCATACCTTCCTTCTGGACTGCACCAAAATAAGCTCTTGGTTGTGACATGGTTGTTACAGACAGCCATTCTCCACTCTGAGAGTCCAATTTCTCAACCGACATTAACCAATCATTTGAAAGATTTCCACACTCTCCACCAAATCCTCCAATGGCATACACTGTTTTTCCTATTGCCACAGCACCAAGATAACTCCTTCTTGATCTCATTGATGAAACCAATGTCCAGTTGTCAATCAGAGGGTCATACATCTCGACAGATGACAGATACCCTGATGTTCTGTTATAACCTCCTAGAACGACAGGGTGGGCATCTAGAAGGACAGCACTAGCTCCCATTCGTTCCATGTGCAGTGGTGATAAGTGACACCACTTATTTCCTGGCCATTCATAATGTTCTAGTGAATCTAATATATTCCAGGAAGAATGGCCGCCAACTACATAGGTATGGTGTCCACTTGATGTCACGCCCATGAAAGTGCGCCCATCATTAATGTTCGCCAATGGCATGGGATCACCACACCTCCCTGAGATTTCCCATGTCCAGCTGTTGCACTTGGGATTGAAGCATTGACAGCTGTCTAACGTCATGCCGTCTGATTCTCCTCCAATCGCCAGCATGACTTCATGGCCAGTTCGCAATGAACGGTGTGAAATTCCTGGAAATTCATAAACATCTTGTAAATTTGTAGACTGCACAGTCTCTAGTGCTTTTAAAATAAGCTTCCGGCATTCACAACTGGCTTCCACTATGGAATCTCTTAGGATTCGCCTTAGAAAGTCAGGCGAAATCTTCATCAAACAGCATTGATTAATGAGTGAGGAGGCGAATGTTCGGCGCTTTACTGGAGAGAAGTTAAGCCATTTCAAAACGCCGCTGAACACTTCGTCTTCGCTTGACGCATTAAGAAACCTGCTATCTAACAAACACTTTAAGGATTCAAAGGGCTGTTTCAGGAACTCGTCGTGTTTTGCCACGTCTCCAAAGTGATCAACAACAAATTGATGAGCTGTCGCAAAAAGTTCGTGACAAGAGAGAGTTTCTGCAAGTGATCGAATACCCAAGCAGTTGTAGATATTTAAGGCTCTGAGAAGAAATTCACAGCAAGCTTTTCTAACCTTCTCAAACTGGAGAACAGCTGATGCATATAACAGTGAATGCACGTTACATTTTTCTATTTTTAATACACCAGTGTAAACAAACTCTACCAGCATTTCGATCGCCGATGCGTCGATCTCGTAGAGCGCAACACGATGCTGTTTGCTCTCCGAGAGATTTCCAAGAAACATGGCTTTAAAATACGGACTGGAGGCCGCCAGGATCACCCGATGAGCGGGAATTTCTCTATTTTCCACGCATAATAGGACATCACAGAGAAGCCCGTTGTCACGAAATTCAGCCAAGCACTGGAAAGCTTCGTCTAAACTATCACGGTTGTGGTAAACAAACGGCTTCGAAGTGATTTGCTCCATGGTTGAATGTATAGATCGCTGAAGAAGTAGAGTACTTAGCCAGAGTCGTGAGGTTATGAGGATATGTTCGCTTCACAATTCACCGTCCCGACTTTGTTGTTGTATTCAAGGTTTCTTTTAGACATACAAACCGGCTCATACAGATTTAGCACGAAACCCAAACAGGTGATACACGTCGAAATGCAATTATTTCGTGGCGAGTTAGGAAATTCCAATTTAAGCCAAGTTTTGGCGCCGGCCATAATCATAAAAGCTAAATTCTAAACGATGTTCAAAGGTGATTCCTTGGCAAGAGTAACTAATTGCTCACTAACTATTGGCTCTCAAGTTACACGTATCACAAAGCGTACTTTGAACTGGTGGCTCTTTGTTTGTTTACATTATTCATAGCTCCAGGGTTCAACAGGAAAACAGTATGATAGCTCGTGGTATTACAAAATTCTACGAAAATACAAAGGACAGTGCTACTGACGCTACTGGGAGTCTCCTTTACCGTTGTTGTTTCTCGTCACACAACACGTTCTCTCCCCAATCGACTAGTGTGGAAAGGGCGCATTGCGTGACGAGATTAAACAACGGTTGGCTACTGGAGGTGACTAAATTTCCACTCTTACTGAGATAGACTGCGTACTGCCGCGCCAATTGTCTCAATCAGGGACTATGAAATTTCAGACGGCCGACTAGTTTCGCACCCTCTGCGTCTTTGTTTTCGAAAGGCTTCGGAATAGCGTAAGTATAGCTGTACCCTCCCCCGCCAGGGAGAAACTCCTTGGCGGGGAAGGGGTGCAGCTACACGTGCGGCTAGCATGGTAACTCTCGTGCATGCAAAGGCGACAGACACTGCACTGCAGACAGTTCGAATTCGTTTGATTGAATTTATTGAGAATTATTCTCTTTACATTTATCGCAGCTTCGTTCGTTATCACCGTAGTTTTCTTTAGATCTTCAACGTTTATCTCAAATTACAAAGGTATTCTACCTAGGAGCACAGTCAACACATCGCTACTTATTATGTAACGTCACAAAAATGTTAGGCTTCGTTTTCCTCAACGATTCAATGAAATGCTGTGCTAGTTTTATCACATGTTCAGTTTTTCCTGTCAGCGCTGTTACAAGAATTTACCCTGATCAGGAGCCCCTGCCCTGATGATGTCAAAAACGTTTAGTTTGAACCTTTTAAGATATATTTTTTCCTAACAAATAGCTCAAAAACTACTATCTCGCACAAGTCCTCAGTTCAAAATCAACAGTCCACGATCCACAGCCCACATTCGGACCTAATTCCGGACTTCGTTCCAGAGATCAGTCCTCGTCAACCATTAATGAGAGCAGGAAAAGTTGTCTAAACCATAACACTGCACAAGGCTATGCCAACCCCCTTAAGACGACACAAGTATATCTTTCCTACATGTCCTGTGCTGGCTGATAGATCGCAATCTTTCATAATCTATAGAGCTGTATTCAATGCTCATTTAATCCAAATCTGATGGATTTCTCTTCCCACCGTTCCTTTGGTGCTCCGAAAGTCGTCTTCCCATGGTTCACTGTGAGGGTTCTTCTACTCTCAAGGTCAGTCCTTCCCAGTCTACGCTCACGTCATAGAAAGCGACAGTCTCGTCGGAAGGCTGAAAGACGTTTACCACAAAATAATCATTAAACTAACGACCCAAATTAAAAGGAAAAAATGTAACCAGACTTATGTGACAGAAACTTGAAAAATGCAAGAGATGACAATAGTTTTGATCTCCTTTACAATACGCTTTCTCCCGTCTAGAGTCCAATCGGAAATTGGAAAAGGATATTAGTAAATTCAACTTGTGCGATAGAGGCACAGAAACAAGATCCAACCTTCATTTTCTTGATGACAGCTTTGACTTTATCCACCATGTTCGGTTCCTTGGTGAGAACAAAAATAAATCCACCCCCTCCTGCTCCGGACATTGCTTGCCCTGAAAGGGAAGAACAACAGTTTAGGCAAATAACTGAACAATTCGGTCTGTAATCATACGAGTGATAACAAGATCGGACAACCACACGGCGGGACTCCGATTTGTTTATCACGAGTATGATTGCAAACCGAATTGGACGAAACGAAGTCTTATTACCAATTAATCATAGAATTACAATTTCCGAGAAAAGAAGAATAGCCAAGTTATGAAAGAAAAGGGAAAATTTGCATTAAAAGACTGACAAAGTTTGTGATTGGTCGATATAAACTACAACCCTGAATGTGATTTGCTTATTGAACTATCCGATAACAAACTGTCCGATAACAAATTGGCGAGTGAATTAGTGGAAAATAAGAGTTTTTTAAAACCAATCACAATCGAGATTATTGTAATTTTTATGATAATGAAGATTAAAAATCACACTGAAATTTCAACATACCATAGCTCAAGGGTTCAACTGCTTCTAGTAAGTCCTTGATTGCCTTTGGTTCAGAACCTGCGCAGTAATCAATACAACTAAGCCATTAAAACAAAGACTGGATGAGTACAGGTATTCCGACAAGTTTGAATGTTTAGCCACGCAACGATTTAACACTGATCTATAATTTTCTCTGCAACATGATTATTTAGAGACATGAAAAAGCTATAAGAGGTAAGAAATATTGCATCTTCACAGGCCCACACTGTAAATGTAACTTCTAAATAACGTCACAACCATGCAGCTGAGCAGGACAAATACAAACACATAGCCGGAGAGGTTTGTAGAAAAACTTTTTCAAAACTATCCAGCCATTACTCGGACTCACCAGGTGCCATAAGTGCTTTTTGGTGTCGATAACATGTCCAGCAGGCGCCAAACTTCTCGATGTTCCCTTCGAGGAAATTTAAAGAGCATAATAAGGCCATAGCAAGGGATCTACAACTAGTTATCACAGTTATTCTTGACTTTGGGAGATGGCGTAGTCTGGCCTGTAGCAAAATTACTTCAGAAGCAAGGGGGATGAAAGAAACCTACCTTCCCTCAACGCTTTTGCAGCCTCCTCCGCGTTGTTTATCAAGTTTCTGGCGTTGTTTGTAATCTGTGAAAATCTTGCGTACCAGTTCCTGACGACATTCTGTCAAGGGAAAAATGTTAGTTGAAAAAAAGAAAAAAATTGAGAGATCTTAAATATTAGAGTGCTCCAATTTGCTCTCTGATTGGCATAGAAAATGTGCACTCCTCCCAACCAATCAAATTCAAAACTACAACCAGTCGCGACCGGCCATTTGCGTTTTCCCGCGCTTCAGTTTGCTTTTTTTTTAACTGTGAATTCTCATCAGCTCCTCATGATAGTTGCCTTTCCTCTGATTGGCCGTTACCTCTTCCTTACCTGTAACAAGTTCTTGGCGAGCCGTGTCCTCCCTGAGTAAAAACAAACCAATCTTTTTGCGATTTCATCGACAGTCTTCCCACTAAGCTCCACTTTTTCCGTTTCTACCTTTAAAGGTAGGGAAGCCTGAGATCGAGCGATTTTGAAACCTGGTATTAGTCCCCCTACATTGTCTTGCCAGCCGCCGCCCGTAGTTAACATCTGTTCCACGATCATCACGGCGTGAATCAGTGAATCCATGCTGGCTGTGCGGTCAGTTACGCGTAAAAGCGCAGCCAGGATAACTCCCGCCAAAATACTACTTGTGCCCAGGCCACTTCCTTGAGGAGCGGTCGACCAGGTGTGAAGCTCAAAGCCGGCTTGATATTTTCTGTTCAACTGTTCGGATAATTTTTCGCTCGAGGGAAGAGTTACGATATCGAGTAAACAAAAGCAAGCTTTCAAGAGGGCGCCTAAGGACAAAAAAACAAAGAAAGGAAACAAACAAATTCATATTGTTAGAAAGCTATAGATAAAAAGATCAAAAACTAAATAATTGACAAAGCTTGAAAAAAAAAAATTTCTGTTCGTACTAAATAAGTACATTACTCAAGGTCCAACTCGTTTAGGGGTGAAATACCGGTGGGTCTAAGAAGCCGAACTTTGTGCAGTTAGACGGTCCATTTCCAAAAAACGAAAACCAACGGTCATTTCGTTCGCCTCTTATTTCAGTTTGGATATCTGAAAATCCAGCGTTTACTAGTCGACCTCAAAGACAACGTGCCACAATTCAATCACGTGTATCGGGAGCCTCTAGTTCAGGAGACTGGGTAATCATGGCCTCACCCAGTGTATTTAAGAGAATCAACTCATGTGATATTATTTAAAAAAAAAAAGGCATAAGGAAATTTTTCTCAGTAGCCCTGAAATGACATCTAATACTTTACACTTACATTTTTAAACATCGAGATTGGAACTTGTTCCAGCAGTTGTCCTAACTTTATTTTTCTTTTGATGATGGTCTTAAGATTTATACTCCTGAAATATTACGTGCATACCCTAGCACGATTTTTTTATCACCTTTTACTAAGCAGATGACATCATACCTGGGGCATTTGGCTGGGTGTAGTTTTCTAAATGCATTAATTCACTGCAAACGACTCGAACACTGTGTTCTCCTGAATGGATCACCAGAACAATTTCAAGCCTAAAGATTGAAATAAATAAATTGAATCGCGCTGATCGAAACAATTTATTTAGTTGTAATTGTCAAATTAAACTCTGCATTTTCACATCTTGACAAAAAGAATGGATCCAAAACAATTCCCTTCAAACAAGCAAAAGCATTTACATTGTCAAAAATTCAGGCTTGGATGCGAAGGAAAAGTATGCACAGGGAAGGGGACAAATTGACAGCTAAAAAGTTATGACATTGCCTCCACTATCTATACTGTACTATACTATACTGAAATTGTACAGTATACAGACAGAAGACAGGATTAACAACAAGCAAATTTGCTTCGGAGACCCAAAGATAAATCCATTTGGATTGTTTTACTGACTCACTTGCTTATCTTCCGCACTTTAGCCTTTGTGACTTTCTGAAAAAAAAAAAATTACCCATTAAACTAAAGGAAAACCGCAGAAGCTTCATATTTAAACGCGTTGGGTTGGTTCGAGTCTCGTCCGGTTCATTGTGCTTTGTTCTTATATAACAGACTTCTCTCTAAGAACCCATCTCTCCACCTGGGAGAATACCTGGGCACCAACGAACTTCTAAGAAAACCGAAAGATACACTAGGGAAAGGGAAGAGGGGATGGGGGAGGGTTCCTGCGAAGGAGTAGTTACAATTCCCTGTCAACACGCGGGATTGTTTCCAAATTATTAGCTACCAACATTTACATTCCCATTGAGCCCCTTAACTTAACCAATCGAATGACGAGGGACTTAAAATACTATATTAAAAACTATACAGCGGTAAAAGAAAACCCAACCTGTCCATTTAGTTTAACTGCAACATTCAGCACCGCTCCTCCCTGTTCGTAGGTAATTGGAGGCGTATCACTCCATCCTCCTGAGAGGTCTATTCGCGCTATTAAAGAAATGTCTCGCTGTCAGTAAAGAACTGCCACTTCGGGCTGCCGATCATTTTTCAACCAATTAGCATGCGAGAAGGCCCTCATTACAAGCGCTGCAGAATGCGCGTTTCTCCGCTGGCGGGAAGATTTGAGACGAAACGGGGAGAGGTTTTCGAAATCTGGCATGATAACATTAGCAGTGCCAGACCCCTTACAGACCTCTCTTCGACTTACGTTGTTCAAGGCCTCATACTTTTCCGTGTGCGAAGACACGCTCGTGCCCAAGCGCCTGCTCACAGACTATCAACCAATAAAAGAACAGGTCTGAGTCGACGTTACATTAAAAAGAACACCGTTTTTCTAAGCGGCCATCGCCCAAAATAGTTAAAATACAAAGGCCTTTGAGAACAATAGGTTTCAATTTGAGAGCAACCTATGCGTAGGTTTTCAAAATGGCACTGACGGTTACTGCCTAGAGCCATGGTTCTTTTCAAGATCCGCCCCTGCATTTTAACACCATGATTACTGCAAATACTACCCGGTTCAGACCCTTCACACTTTATCTCATGATGCATGGCAAAATGAACATATGGCTTAAAATCAGTATCCCGTGATTAGTGATTAGAATTTCGTTTGGGAAAGCACGTCTTTCCTTGAGATTTTAAACGTAGTCAACAGATGGTTACGGGCACGAAGTGGAGACCAAAGAGGGACGAAAAAAGGCATCCAGGAGAAAGTATGACAAACAGCTGACGTCGGGAATACCTAAATGAAAGCTTCGCATACCTGGTGCCTCTGCAATAACCCAGTGTCCCTTAGGAACAGGTTCGCAGCATTCTGTCTGGAAAAACTGACACAAAAAGGAAAAAAGGAAAAAAGTTAGATTTCGAACATAAATTATACTTGAGTTTCGGGGCATTTTAACCTACTTTCTTCTATTAATAAGGGGTTGAGTAACACACCTGTCTGGCCGTGAGAACTGCTCTTCTTCTCAACACTTGCTCGGCTCCCTCGTAATGCCGCGCCGCTCGTATCAGCAAATGAGGTCTGATCAAAATAAAGTGGTCAGGACAGATAATTTGCAAAATCAACGCTTTCGAAATTGCTAATCAAAGCGGCATGCAAGATGCCTATGACATAGGGGCCTTATAACAGCCTAACTCGCCAATGAGTTCTCTGTAGCTCATCGGTAGAGCATCGAACACAAAGTGGGAAAATCGAGGGTTGGAGTGCTCATTAAAACTAGGTAGGAGATTTGCTGTTATTTAAGTTTTTGTTCTTTGTCTTGTTTTTGTTCTTTGTCTGGTTTTTGTTTTAAGGTCTGTTTTTTAACTTGTTTGTTTCTTATCTCATTTGACGAACCAACTCAAATTTGCCATCTTGCATAAACATCTCCACTTTACAATACAGGATATATCCTTCATATTATTAGGTTGTAAATTTACCTGTCAAGCCATTTTGATCGTTCTCGGGCAAGAGCTTTTATTCCTAATGAGATTTCTCCTTTCTGTACGTGAAAAAAAGAGATACGTTTCCGATAATGCTGAAACATCGCCAAAAAATATCAAACCTTTTCGTTGGCGCTGACTCAGTAAAAATGACAAAAATACACAGCGTAAGTTAATTTAGTCACATGACGATCTTCAGGGTATATAGTTAAGCCTTCATTGCTTAATTTACGGTACAGTTTCAACACAGCGTTGGCCTGGCAGAGGATATTATTCATTACACATACATCAAGGAGTTCAAAAGCGTGCATCCAGGATTCATTGCGGGCCGGTCCACTTCTCAGCCCAGCCCTCTCTCCTGCCATTGCACCCAAGACGTCAGCAATACAGGCCAGAGTTCGTGCAGCCACGCCAGGGGAAGAGGCGCTGGACGCAACTGGGGAATAGAAACAATAAAATAACTGAAGTCAGTAATCGTTCTGTGGGAAAACCAGGCGACACGAACGAGTTAACAGGAAGTATCTTTACTTTGAAATCCTTTTCCAGAAAAATTATGTTAACAGAGTCAGTTGGAGGACTACACAAGTTTCGAAAACGCAGAAGTTTGATCAGTCATCTTGGAGTTTTCTATTTTCATTCACCAAAAAACAGCAACAACAGATCGCTCCAAGCTGGGAGTTTGTGAACAGTTTTAAAATTAGAAAAAGTTTTCAGAACACATATCACAATGTTTCATCACTGTCAGTATAGAACATTACTTTTATAAACTGGAGGAAGGATCACATGCATCTTTGGACACTTCAAGCTGCACTTGGCCATAAGCTGAAGATTAAGTTATGTGTACCTTCATCCAGAACTTCCAATATCTGCATTGCAAATCCTTCTTTCCCACAACTTTTGAAGAATGGCACCAGACAGTTACTCTCACAATTCTTCAACGTTTCCTCCACCTCAGTTTTTCCAATTTCAAACCAGAGTTTTTTTCTCCAAGCAAACTCTGCACTCATATCGACGGCATTTAAAATGTCCTTTAACGATAACCGCAGCGACGAACGCCACCTGATATACAAACAAATACCAAGACCAGTTTTGAGAAGAGAAAGTGTTTTTTAGTTCTGTAACCTTTCACAAGAATGCATCATATTCAAGGAAATTGAGATATATCTGAAGCTATTCCTCATATCAGAAATCAGTGAGGAGAAACCTCTCTTATCGCCAGCCGATCCCACATAACTTAAAATCTTCCTACCAAAAGATAATTGCAGTTAGATTCGCACCTAAACAGGGGTGTCAATAACCTTTTTCCATAGGCGGCTGTAGAGTATGCTCGCAGGCTAAACAGAGTGCGGAAAGTAGTGATAAACCACCGGTAACCGGCTGTTATTGAAGCCTCTGACTAAAGTAGATGTGATATAAGGTCTAACTCTTTTAGGCCTCTTAAGCCTTACTTGTGATGCACCCCCCTCCCCCCAAAAAGGCATCTGGTAACCATCTCTTTCATTTTTCAAAACCTCTCACCTCTAGATGTTACCTTCCTTATAAATCTAAGGATGCACCGCGAGTCAACAACCCACCTGTTCAGTACTTGTCGATCAGGAATGTCTGAAACTCCAGTGCTCGCCAGCCAAAGCATGTCATCTTTACCAGCATCTTCCAGCAGAACGTCAAACGGGCGAACGACTGGAAACAGCTTGGCATTGTAGAGACTTCTCTGCTCTTCTGGCTGAAGAATTAAGAGGAGCATATTCACTTTTGTATAAGTTTACGAAGTGCCTTTCGAAAAGATACATGTATTTCTATTTCGGAATTCTAGCCCTTATCTAATGACTATTCATGGAATTACGGGGAAGATACTCACAGACAGAGCAAGGGATATACGTCTGAAAACTTGTTTTCATTGCTTCCTTTATTCCGACGAGTGAGGGAAACACTCCTTAGCTCGTAAGCTGTCAGACGAAAGTTGAGTAATGATTTGAAGGCTACTGTACATCAATTTATCCTTCCCATAAAACCATATTTTATAAGAATTTTCTACTTTGTTCGACCATGAGTTTACGATATGTTTGATTCTAGAATCTGAATACCAAAACGGTGAAAAGATGAAGTAAAAATGTCCACTTATTCATGTGAAATAGCCAATGCTTAAAGTGATCTCGTACCACACCGATCCAGACTTCCTCAGGGTTGATTCCTGTTCCTCCAAACAACACTTTCCAAGGCTTGTTGCAATATGAACTGTTAGGCGATGAAGCAGGTATCTGAAATATCATAATTGATTAAGTCACATTTAAAAAAGAGCTTTTAAGTGTGGCACAGACTACACGGGAACAGTGGAGGGGAAGGAGACGGCCACACACTCCGCTGGGATGACACATTTCTCACCTGAAGCTCATCATGAATACCAAACACCACTAGAACCCTCTGGGATTCTCCTCTCAAACCTGGTAGAGACACCTTGTAACCCAGAATACACAAATCATCATGAAGAACAGTCCCTGGAGGAAGGCTCTGTAAGAGGAGGGAGCAAAAAATTGAGGTATATCATCAGCTTTCTTTGACAGCTTGCACTGACTCATTTATATCCCTGAGTAAAGAGAGAGGCGCTGGGAGATGTACTGCGTCTTCTCCATAAACACATAACAATGATGCAACAAGGTCTGGAACCTAGTCCTCTCGGTCCCGCGGTTATGTGGGTAACCATAAAGTCGCTTTCACACAACTTCGTTATTCGAAACATTTTTCTTTCGTGTACAGTTAACATATTGTAACACTGACCTTAAAGTCAGACGCAGCAATTCCTGCCAACACTGATCCCGATCCAAAGCTTAAATTTCCCTAAAGTGCAAATGGAACTTGTAATTAAAACTGGGACAAAGTATCAGAAAATAAAACTCAAAGACAGAAAAAAAGGTAGAGTATTGGAAGAAGAATCAAGAAAGAAGTCCACGATTGCATTGGTTTTGATATTCTCCGCTCTTTGATTGGTCAAGAAAACATGCATCAACACCCGCCCCCCCCCCCACCAAAAAAAAAATGGAAAAGCTATGTTAATAACCAATCATGACTTGTTCACCCATGTTTCCCGCACTTGAGGCGGTTTACTTGTATTTACTATGACTCCTTGTGTTATTTTTCCCTACCGCATTTTAGAAATTTGAAAAAAGATTACAGACATGCATGTACCTGTAAGTGACAGTGAGATACAACAGACTCTTTCCCGACGTTGACCCCGCCTTCAATGATAGAATTCACGACGACAGAAGAAAGATCCACATTCGGATTTACGCCTTGGTTGTTCTGTAACCAAGAAAAGAAAAGTAAAGAGTCTAGGAGGGGGAAACAAATTGGACCGTGCACGATATTTTCTCAATAGATAATTTGTAATCTTGTAACACCACCTTTAAATTTCTTTAACCTTTTAGACCATAACATCAGTATGCAAGTTCTCCATATTGCTTTGTATACATTTCTCATGGTACCTACATTTGTCTCTTACAATCAAGGGCTTCTTGAGTTTACGATCATTTCCTTTTTTTGTCACGACCTTAATGTTTGATTCAGGGCTGACACCGTTAGGAAAAACTACAAGTTTATCACTCTTGAAAAGCGTGAGCCGCGCGAAGGCCTGGGGAAAGGTAAAGAATGAAGAAAAAGCTTCTTTTTCTTGTTCTCGTTTTGCTGCTGAACAGAAAATCGCAAAAAAGCTCTGACGCCACAACTTACACATTGTAAAGGATCTATTTGATGAAATTGTACCTTGTGGAAACAGACATGGGTGTGCACGCAGAGTTCAAATGGGCCAGTCGTAGAACTGGTAATGCTTCCTCGCATCTGTCTCCTGTAGCATTCCGCTGATGGCTGCATGTAGTCAAACTCACCCTTTTCGATGACAACTTAATAAAAACAGAACAACATTTATTGTTTCCAATAAAAACCAAAGTTTCACAAACTGAAATTTCCATATATAAATGGAAAAAGGTGCTGAAATATGGGGCTTTGACGTGTAGTAGATGAACCTGTTACCCCCCCAAAAGGGGCTCTAATGTGTAAGATGAAATGGGACTTACATGGGGCCCTGTAAGCATGGTCTGCCCCTGGTACACTGTACATCTACTCCTTCACAGTTAATTTCTTGTAGTCAAAGCCTGATTATGAATATTGTCAACATGGGTAATCAACAGGTCAATTATAAAGTACCTCCTTTCAAGGAGACTCCTCTCAGAATCTTCCACAACTTAGCTCTTGCACCTCTCATTAGTGCCATTTCATCCTTGGAGCTGCATTCTGTCCCCATGGAAGTACTGTGGCCATATGATCCACTTCTTTCACCACAAACAAAGTCAGACTCAGTAACATCCTCAGCCAAACTCAGAAGAATGTCAAAGAACAGGGACAGCTATTAAAGCACAACAGATTATCAATGTCATAATAATAACACCTTTATTGATATAACATTTGATTATAAGCCACTTATTTCTATAGTACAAATGCTCAGTGTGAAATTTGGTAACAACACAAATTAGTATTACCCTCTTCACAATTCCTCTATTAGCCCTGAAGGGATTATACTTGAAATGTTAGCTTCAGAAACTCTTTAAGGTGGCTAATTTACACTATCAACTCAGCTGACAAAACCAAATTATTTTTTGAAACCCCTCCTGATGCAGCACCACAATTTGTTTGGAAACCTACCCCCTAATTTCATACCTGTATGGGTTCTGCTCCAGTGTCAAGTCCATAATAAGTACAGGCATCAAGAGGTGCATACACATGGAAACTTAGTATTTTCTCAGCTACTGGGATATTAATGTAAACTACACCACTGACCTGTAAAAGGAACAAACCAATTGGGGGATAATTAAAATCAAAAGTAATACAACTCTGAGGAATACCATTCAATTCCCACGACGAGTAACCAAAACAGAATTTCTCCTCACAATATCAAAACAATATCAAGCAGACATGTGTTGAAAATAAAGAAAGTATTAATTATGGAGTTATTAGTTGATCCAATATCAAATTATCCAAAAAAACATTATAAAATTGCTAATAAGATCTTGTGTGGGGGGGGGGGGAGGATTCTTGTGAAAATTATATTTTAGAACCTTATTGTCAAATGGACTGACACTACAAAATCAAGCACAAAAAACTCAACCCCTTTACTCACTCAGAGTGCTCAGATTTGGAACAACCCATTTAGTAAGTAGCTATAGATACCTCCTGGAGTAAGTTTCTATAATTGGAATTGGCTGCATATAATAGTTCACTCTGATCAAAGGAAGATATGTGACATTGATTGTTGCAACTATAAGAGACAGCAGATGGTTTGGTCCAAAGAGGTTTAGACCAACACGATATTAAAAGTAAATGTAGCCTACATGAATATGCGCTATATAAATATTTATTTACCAAGGGAACTTTGCCATTTTCAAGTGTGCAGGTTTTTATTATGTCAGAAGTTCCTCTGAAGATGATGTCTTGAACTCTGCCCTGCAAATGAAAAAGTTAGAAATAAATGGTTCAACCAGTAAAAAAAAAGGAAAGAAAGCATTTCTTTCCATGAAACACATCTCTAATAAAAAGATGGCATTCATAGTTAATTCAACTGACTGGGATTAATATAGTGCAGTCATGAAAACATTCATGAATGATCAAAAGCTGGGCTTAGCACTAAGCTTAATAGGGAGAGCATTGGATTACTGTGTAGAGAGGACAGAATGGTGAGATTGTGTCAGTGGTGAGCTAAGTTATAGTTTGTAATGAGCTTCAGTAAGTTAACTATGCATAATGGCTGTATTGCCTTTAGGAGTCAATCCTTAGTACGAGTATTATATGTTACTGTTTGGTTTGTCGGAGTAAACTGTTCTTTCTGTGGGTTAAATTATACCATAACACCCAATTATACCCATCACGCTATTTGCAGAGAATGCATTGTGAGTGATCTCTTTCTGTCCCAGCAAGTCCAACCCTGCCACATTCCAACCTGCTTAATGAGTGAAAACAATCAAACTACAATTTATTAAAAAATAACAAGCCAGGAAACAAGTGTATCCTAGCCTTCATCAATATACCTCATCTCCAAGCTTCACGACACCATGGTCTTTTGCATATTCAACATCTCCATGAAACAGCAGCATTGCAATACCATCTGAAAACTGCTTCCAGTTTATCCCTAGGCATCAGTTGAAAGAATTGAAAGATAAAAACAATGCCAAACAAACAATTAATACTGACAATACATATTAACCTGATTATAATTTTGGCATTAGAATGATAAAAGTGACAATACTCAATAATAAGAAGGTGACATTGTCAAACAAGATAATCAAAAAAATGACTATGATGATGGTGGTATGATGGTAATGATGATAATGATGACGAAAGCAAGCTTGCTCCCTAATTCAGCAAAAAACCAAATGATTTCATACTTGTATCAGGTGAGACAGTCAACATCATATCTGTGCTGCAGACCCACACTCCAGGGGGAGCATTCACTGACAACTGAAAAGAAATTTTAAATATTCATTTGTTTACAAGCTAACTTCTTAACTATATATCATATTATAAGGAGAAATAAGAAGCTAATCACTCCTAACTTGATCTAAGTATAGATATAGGATGATTCCTAATAAATATACCTTGTTGGAGACAACATCAAGCAGAAGGTCAAAGTTTGAGACAATGCAGTCACATAGATGCTCTTTGGATTCTTCTGTGTGTTTGCCTGGTAAAGTATTGAAGAACCGTCCACAAGAACTGAAAGGAAAGTCTCGACCCTAGAGACCAAACATATTTTTTACATCTCAAGTCAACAGTTAATCTATAATAGCAGAGAAAAACAATTATTACTTTAATTGAAATTGAATATCAGATTCTTGCAACCAATGAATTATGACTTTATTAAATATCAAATTTATGTACTCGTAAGTTGAAAGAATTTTAAAAACAAAAGGAACAATTTTTCCATGACACAATACCTACATGAATACACAACTTCATTAGTAGATAAGTAAAAACTACTTGATTCTAACATGTTTCAATGCATTGATTATGTGATCTGACTCAGAAGTAACAGCCGGTCCAACCAGTAATCTGAAGAAACAAGTGAATTCACTTTAACCTACAAATTTCTGAATTAAAAAGATATGAAGTAAATTAAGTACCCACCATGTGCATAATAAGAATGTTGGCATTGTCTAAGACACTTAGAGTCAAAGTCTAAAAAATAAATAACAATTAATCAGTAAACAGCTACTTAAAAGGAGCAGGAATTTACAACGTATACTTAAGTTTTCCAAAAAGTAATTAGACTTTATCAACGTGTTATCTGAAACTGATGGCAATAACAGGCTAAAAAGGAATATTTCTGTAATGTTATTTTGCTTTCATGGCAAAATTGATGGTCAAACCTCAAAAATCTGCTGTATTTCAGTCTTAAAACAAATTAAAAACCCGACATTTAAAAGGTAATTTAATTTTACATCTGACTGATTTTTAAATAATATGGTCTAATCAAGATAACGCTAATAATTACGTCTATTCTTCTTCAATGAATAGCGCTATGTTTTGGTTGTCTGAGCAAGAAACAATACATGCAAACACAGCGTACATGGGAGATAACATGATTGACAGTCAGATTGACAGGCCTGCGTGAAGTTACGCATACTCTCTTTCTCTTTTCTAGCTTATTTGCATTTTCCCGTGCGACATTTACAAAAAATTTGCAGACAGACAAGAAAAACAAGGATTACAAAATTAATACAAATAAGTCTTTACAACACCTGAGTTGTTATTATAATTCCAGTGTTATGGAATGTGCAAATGGAAGAAAGCTCACAATTAAGGAACGTGATAATCTGATGCCATCAAGGGTATTATAGATAGCCTTGGTTGATGCTACATGTTCAACGACAGTTAGTCATCTCACATATAAGTCTTCTCTTATCACTTATCCTGTTAAATGATTATCAGAGCAATTAAGCTTGACTCACTTGGTGGTAGATAATAATTGAGCTCTGAAGTTTAGATTTCATACATGTACATGTAGGCCTTAAAGCCAGAATCTCCAAAATATAGATGTAAGGTTTAGTTATTATTTAAGAAAGGTGCTATACAGGTAAATATTTGTACCTCATAACCGGCTTTTGCACTCAGATGTTCAGTAACAACAAGCAATGCATTTATGGTGGCCCCACCACTTCCTATACGAGCCTTAGGATCTTCCAAGGTTAGAAGCAGTACATCTCTATCAAGGAAACCTTTACTCTGGTGAATTTCAAGTTCTGGTGAGAGAAAAGTTTCTGCCTTTTACAAACATATCTTGCTCTTTTAGTCCCCAGGCCTTCTGATTAGGGCTTCAACTATACACCAATAAACTAACATTCAATTTCAACATGGTATAATCAATTTTGCTTTTAGAGAGAGGCCTGAAAAAAAATTTGACACTATCAAACACCTGTATGATTCACTGTTTCTTAAAAACCCTGCTTAAATTTTAAGTTTCAAAAAATTTTTCATTATTAAGGGGTTTTAGGATCAAGTGGACGTGAGGATATTTTTTCCTCTCTACTGGCGAATCTAATGCAAAGCTGTTTTTTCTCAGTTTCAGTTCATTTGTTGCAGTAGTATCCAGAGGTAAACTAAATTAAACTGTAACTTTACTTTTATATCTTAAGGGAGGGCCACAAGTTTACCAGTTCTTAACTTTAATGTGTAACCCTCGGCAAATTAAGTTATTCGTTCATTCTTTTGCATTAAAACTCATAAATCCAGCTGGTTTTCAGCAGGACATGACCAATATCTACACTACAATGAGTACAATATCGAAAGACCTCAAAATTCACCAACAAACACATATCAGATCGATGATATGCATTCAGAGATAAATTGGAACCACGAAAGCGTCAGATTTCAATTCCCCTCCTGAGCAAATTAATTGAATAATGACTATTAAAGACCATTAAAAATGGAGACGAACTGAAATAAGTGTTGTGAACTCTATCATGTCTTACTCTCCGACAAGTCACGCCAACGTTGCTTGGTTTGCATCAACCCGCCTGTCTCATTACCCAGCTCCAGAAATAAAACAACTGTATACAATATTGCATGAACTACCTTTCTGGTAGATGTGAGCACCGGTTTTGCTTTGACAAGTCAAGACGATTGCCGTCCATTGCTTCCGTGCTTCACCACCTGCAGTAGCCATTACTCCCTAGCGCCTACCCGTTAGGCCTGGGTTCGAATTTACACTGATGCACGGGGAAGGAACCCGGGGAGATAGCACTAAAATTCGGGAGGAAATGGACTAACCAACTGTATACATGTGAGGTGTATGTTTCAAGAGAAAAATGATGATTAATCATATCGATAACAATACTAATTACAAGATCAGTAAGGTAATGAGTAAGATGATGACGACGATGACAATAAAAACTGATAACAAAAATCATGATAGCGATGACGATAATAGTTACAGGGGTATTCATAAATATTTAGTATCTTCGGTATATAGGTTTCGGTGAGCAGAATAGACATGAGGGTTTTAGATAATAGCGTTAAAGGGTGCTTTTGATCGGCATGGCAAATCCCTGAATTGAAAAAGGGGAACGGAAGAAAAGGGAAAAGCATGCAAAACGCCGGTGGAAGATCACGACAGAGCCCCAGGACAGCAGATCAGTTGGATGAATGTCGTAAAGGATGTACATTAAGGATATTCTAAAGATCTAAGGTGACAGCACACAGGGTTTAGGAATGATGGTTCTTACGGCTTACGGTTAAAATATCGGCCAGTTTACGGCTAGCGGTTAAGTTGTTTTCGTTGCTACTGAAAGGAAAATTTTTGCTGTTAACTTTTTTACGACTCACAGTTATTATTTGTCAATTTTCAGGCCTTTTACGGCTAATTTTTTAATTCGGTTAACCGACGGTCTTAATGGGGTTAACCGCTAGCCGCTAGGCGAGAAAGATGACGATTTTTAACCATTACCTGTTAAATGTAAAATTTCCTTTGAAACCAATGGGAGAAAAATAACCCTCAGCCATAAATTGGCCGAAAATTTAACCGTTAGCCGTAAAATTCATCACTTCATCGAGACCCTCTTCACGCCATCGAGACTCTCTTTACCCCACTGAGACCCTCTTTACCCCATTGAGACCCTCTTTACCCCATTGAGACCCTCTTTACCCCATTGAGACCCTCCTTACCCCATTGAGACCCTCTTTACATCATTGAGACCCTCTTTACCCCACTGAGACCCTCTTTACCCCATTGAGACCCTCTTTACCCCACTGAGACCCTCTTTACCCCATTGAGACCATCTCTTCTCCACTGAGACCCTCTTTACCCAATTGAGACCCTCCTTACCCCATTGAGACCCTCTTTACCCCATTGAGACCCTCCTTACCCCATTGAGACCCTCTTTACCCCATTGAGACCCTCCTTACCCCACTGAGACCCTCTTTACCCCACTGAGACCCTCCTTACCCCACTGAGACCCTCTTTATCCCATTGAGACCCTCTTTACCCCACTGACACCCTCTTTACCCCACTGAGACCCTCTTTACCCCACTGAGACCCTCTTTACCCCATTGAGACCCTCCTTACCCCATTCAGACCCTCTTTACTCTTTTGAAACCGTCCGTAAAGTGAAAGGGCTTTTCAGGACGCTTCTGAGTGATATGCTGCTGAGGAATTTAAGCAACACTTTGATGTTGTATCATAACAATTAATTTTTAGACACTATTAGATGCAAAGGGAAAAATTCAAACTTTATGGATTTTTATGTGACTATCTATAATTAATATATCAATTCCACGTTTAGCATTAAAATTTCAAAATGGTAGAATATGTTCATAGACTAATATACATTCCCCAGCTATGTAATAAGTGTCCAACGAAAATTCGTTTCTATCCTCCATTGTACTTCATGAGACCATGGGTAGTGTTCTTGACTGTTCGTAGATCGTCTGCAACTGGCTGTCATTCAGGTAACTGACTTCCGGCTTGTCTGAGCAATCCCTAAGCTCAGTTGCTTCTAGTATCATGATTCATTGCAGGTGACACGCAGACTCTACAGGAAGCCCGTCCCAGTCTTCCTCTACTCTCACAGTGAGCCCGTCTAAGTCTATACTTGCTTCAAAAAACGCCAGCTCGTCTGAAGGCTGAAAAAAAAATCCAGTGTTGAACAAACTAGAGTATTTTAAGGTAAGCCGCCATTTTGCTGTGTTGGTGCACCATTATGGCCTCTGTGACGTCGTGTGAGATGTTCCATAGAGTTGGAGTAGAGGAGAGGTTTCTGGTGCACGAATCTTTGAATATTCAAGAAAGGTTACCTTGTTTCTTTCTATCACTGCCCTCACTTTATCCGCCATGTTGGGCTCTTTAGTAAGAAGCACAAGAAAGCCTCCTCCTCCTGCACCCGTCAAAGTTTGTCCTATAATGAAGACATTTACAGAGGTGATGACTTCAGATCAATCCCCATCTCTCAGTATTACATCTCTTAGCTACTAAGAGTACCTGGTTGGTATCTGTTTCAAGCCGTATCCTACTTTCGTTGCCAAAATATATCATTTGTTGCCATTATTCTCTTTCGAAAGTAAATGAAAGTGATTTTAAAGTGACGCTTTCAGCTTGCTACCCTCGTAAGTCATTTAATTAACTTTTTCATTAAAAGAATCCTTCCCAGACTTGTGTGCCCCACAGTAGATATATCTTTTGTCTCTTATCTTGTCTTCTTATTCAGCACCATTAGTCACGGGTCCTTGCTTTTCTTCCGTAACTTATACTTCGGACCCAGAAGACAAGGTTACTGAGAGGCATACTCATGTTTGTAGTGCATGATATTCTGGCATTTATAGCAACTGTTCAGTGGCATAAAAATTCCCCTAGTCTAATCATAATTCCAAAGTTCACGATAGATTCTCAACGTATGTGTTGTTAATTATAGTCATTCACTGACCTAATACTAAAGGTTCAAGAGCTTTCATCATTTCGCTTATGCCTTTAGGTTCGGTTCCTGTTTGAGATCACGAAGCGCAAAGTTAGTTGAGTATTTTAAACTAGTTCATCTGAAGATTAATAAGCATAAGGTATATACCATATATCATCCCTAGATAAATTTGCGACTCTCTCTAAAGTTTTCTTTGCCATCACGCCAAATGCTAGTCTTTTTTAGGACTTTTACCAGCAGTAGAGTATATTAAATAATGAACCTGTAAAATTAGAGACGAATCATAGAATGAGTGGTTTTTAAGAGGGTCCCAATGGGGTTAACCGTTAGCCGTAAAACGGCCAAAATATTTAGCCGTTAGACGTAAAAATTGACAAATTTTAACCGTTAGTCGTAAAAAAAGTTAACTGTAAAAAATATCTCTGGTGGAAACAATGGAAAGGTGTTAACCGTTAGCCCAAAATTGGCCAAAATTTTAATCGATAGCCGTAAAAGCCATCACCCCATTGAGACCCTCTTGTAATACTTAGTTTACTAACTCGTCAGCGTTGAGTTGAGAAGCAAAAACCCATTTGTGACTGACGCTGCATTTTTGACTCCAGATGAGCACAAAAATAGGTGCTGCTTTTATACATTCACTCACCAGATGCCATGATACACTTCTGTTTCCTATAGCAGTTCATACACTCGCCGAGCTTTTCAATATTTCCTGGGGAAAAATGTCTCATGATAAAACATCGCATCACAAGGATTTTTTTTTCGACTGAAAATTTATCAAATTAAAAATAGCAACAGCAAAAAAAAAAAATGAAAATAAGAATCAGACGAAAAACCGGGGCAAAAACAGACATTTCTTTGCAAAAAGGATTTCGAAGATACTTTGCCGCAGCTTATGAACAGATAAGCCACTAATCCTTGAAGAGTACCACGTATTTTCTACTAAACTGACTAGTCAAACTGGTCTAATTCACTCTGTTTCATTTTGGAATAAGGGTCAATCTGCTAACTTATCGAATTCACAGGCTTTAATGATAGGTACGTTAAAAGGGTTTTACGGTGAGGAATCAGAGACACGTTAAACGCCTTATCCTACCTCCCCTCAAAGCTTTAGAAGCCTCTTCTGCATTTTTTACCAAATCATCTGCGTTTACAGTAATCTTTGGAAATCTTGCGTACCAATTCCTGACAACATCCTGAAAGACAAAATCCAAGCGTGCTTACTGTTTGTCTCGTAGGGAAAGACGAGCAATGAGGTAGTTATTGATTTGATTTTTGGATCTGGTTAAAAGGGTGGCGTTTCTGTTAAGACCAATCACGAAGAGAAATAAAGTAGTTTGCGTAGCTCGCAGTTTTAAGCACCCTCCATGAAAATGAAGGGAACAGCGGAGCTCTTTTGTCACAGACCTTTCACAGCTTCGTCGTTAAATTTTGCGCCTCCGACGCTCATCGTTTTGAGGCGCGTGAATAAAACTGTCAGCTATGAAGGCTAGAATTGAAACAAAATCAATTCCATCCAAGATTAACATCGACTCTTAATCAGAAAATAACCTCATTCCTACCATTGTACCTGTAATAAATTCTTGGCAAGACGAGGCTTTCCTGAATAGATGCAAAGCAAACGTTTTGCTAAGGCATCGATAGTGGCTTGCGGAAGATTTAATTTCTCTACTTCTACTTTCAAAGGCAAGGTGGCCTGGGACCGAGCGATGTTGAAACCAGGCATCAGTCCTCCAACGTTATCTTGCCAGCCACCGCCCGTAGTTAGCATCTGTTCTACGATCATCACGCCGTGAATTAGTGAATCTATGCTGGCTGTACAGCCAGTCGAGCGTAAAAGCGCCGCCAGGATAACTCCCGCCAAAATGCTACTTGTGCCCAGCCCACTCCCTTGAGGAGCGGTTGACCAGGTGTGAAGCTCAAAGCCAGCTTGGTATTTTCTGAATAACTGTTCGGATAATTTTTCGCTTGAAGGAAGAGTCACAATGTCCAGAAAGCAAATGCATGCCTTTAGAAGGGCACCTAAAAGAGAAATTGCCCATTTTAACTAAAGATAACGTAAAATTTTGGGAGGTCTTTTTATATTTATTCCTTTGAAATACAACCTGCAGTTAGGTTTAGACTATCTTTTTCTCTTGCGTTTGATTTTTCCCATTGCAAATAAAATTTTTTTTGAAAATAAAAACGGAAGGAGTATGTGGTGGTACAGTGCACAAAGAATGCGCTAAAATCAGCATGCGTCAATTTTAGGAAGTACTAATAGCTCAACGAAAAAATACACCAACCAATATTTATGCGCGAAATTATGCAGTAACTGAATCACAGAGCAAATAATAAACCAGTTACTTGCAGGCTTTCAAAAGAGCAGCGCCTGATAGCAGAATGCCATTCATAGCAAATCTATCGAGCACATGGTGCGTGTACCAGTTTATTTCAATTTAGATTGATTATTTTACGATATTGACCTGGTGCATGTGGTTGGGTGAAATTTGCTAAGTCTGATAATTCCCTGCAGACAACTTTGACGCTATGCTCTCCTGAGTGAATCACGAGAACTATTTCACACCTGTGGAATGAAGATTTACACATATCAATAAAGTCACCATAATGGATAACAAATAAGAACAAATAAGAGGCAGCTTTTTTTTGCTTTCGTAAGGCAGAGCGGATATTAGACTGTATTTGCACTTTTGTATCACTTTGAACGTACAACGAGTATGCTCTATAAAACAAGATTTGTCGTGGAATGATTCGTCTGAGACTTATGCGCTAATATAACAGTTTCACGAATATATAGGCTTACTACAAAATCAAAGCTTACTCACTCCTGAATTTTCCTAACTCTGGCTCCAGTTACTTTCTACAACAGAGATCATAACGAACAGCTTTTTAAGTACAAAAGTGATTGCGTTATTCATGTACAGTTATTTTTAGAACTACAGAAGACATGAAAACTTTCTCTCAAATTTGCTGTTGACTGATTGATATTTGTAAAATCCAATTTGACTTGGTCACGATGGATGCCACATTGACGTGACAGTTTCAACTAGTCTTCTATTGCTAGGGGAATTTTTCTAAGCGCTTTGCTGATGAGTTATTTCTTGAGAGTATCAAATCTTACCTTTCCGTTTAGGTTAATGGCGACAGTTAGTACAGCTCCTCCATGTTCATACGTTATGGGTGGAGTGTCAGTCCAACAGCCAGATAAATCAGCCCGGGCTAAATTTGATATAAATGGCAAGTAATGTAGACATTTAATTTGTACCATGGATATGACGTCACGTAAAAGAACATAACATAACATATTTGCAACTACCGGTAAGTAATATTAATGTGGCAACTCATCTCGTACCCAGATCCTACCGGGTAACTGTTACTGAAATGAAGGAACTTGCAAACGCTTGTCCGTGGAAGATCTGAAGTATTTCAATGAATTGTACCACATTATCAATGATCAATGCGTTCACAGCTTGCGAACAGGCCTTCATTAGTGCCTTGTCTAACACTGATAATGAGGTAACATCAGTGCCAGACTTCCAATAAACCTCTTCCCGACTGGTCTCCAATAATCTTCCCGTGGAGATACGGGTAGAGGGCCTGTTCGTAGGCCAATGTGTTCATTGAAAAAATTATTTACCAGGTGCCTCAGCTATCACCCAATGACCAATGGGAAGGGATTCGCACTTCTCAGTGACAAAAAACTGCAAAAGATCAGAATATCAGTAAGTACCAGAAATGACTTCATATTAAAATGTATATTATGATTAGCGACATAGGTTTAGTAAGTTTCGTTTTTAAGTGATTTATAATGAGGAAGGTCCATAATTTCAAAGTTGAAAGTAAATGACAGGCACTAACAGGGAATAACAGGGAATAAGCGCACCTGTTTAGCTGTGAATACGGCCCTTCTCCTCAGAATCTGTTCCGCTCCTTCATAATGTCGAGCCGCTCGGATCAGTAAATCAGGTCTGCTGAATAACCAACAAGCATGTAAGTGTTTATTTTCTCCTGCAATTGACATGATTTTTATACTCGCCTGTCAAGCCAACGCGAGCGCTCCTCTGCGAGAGCTTTCACACCCGCAGGTATATCACCTTTCTATGAATGAAAAAAGAAGAGATAGAAATACGTGTAATTATACTCATTCTATACTATTGCCTAAGAAAGCTTATTTCACGAGATGCTTTCAAATGCATACAATTGGGGAGAAAAGTTTTTTAAATAGATATAAAAAATCAGTAATCAAAAGGATTCACACATATAAAAAGGCTTTATCCAGAGTCCCTTGCTTTGTTGATGATAGCTACCAGTTTTACACTTACATCGAGCAGATCAAACGCATTCACCCAGGATTCATTGCGGGCTGGTCCACTTCTTAGCCCAGCCCTCTCTCCTGCCATCACTCCCAACACGTCAGCAATACAGGCCAGGGTCCGTGCAACCACTCCTGGGGAGGTGGCGGTAGATGCAACTGGGGAATGGAAAAAAATAATGAAAAGGTTGTTTGTTTTGACTCCGCACTAATTTGTTTTCAGACGCTCAACTAAACAGCGTTCTCTATGATTCCCTTTACATCAAATAATTTTAGCTAAGCTTGATTCTTTTAAGCACGTGATTACCTTGATCTAAAATGTCCAAAGTATCCTTCGCGAAACCTTCTTTTACACAGCCCTTCAAAAAAGGCAGCAGGCAATCATTCGTGCAGTTTTTTAATGTGTTATTCACTTGCGCTTTTCCAATTTCAAACCATAGTTTTTTTCTCCATGCAAACTCTGATGACGAATCAATCAAGGACATGATTTCCTTCAGTGATAGCCGAACTGAGGAGCGCCACCTAGAAAAAAAACATCATAAGCTACTTTAGCCAAAAGCATCATGGGATTGTAAATGAAAGACTCGGTTAGAGGCCTAATTACGAGGAACCGAAAATTTTGCGAGACGGGTATCGCTTTTACCAAGGGGTTCATGGAAAAGTTTTACCAAGAATCTTATTTCCAATCTTTGAATCCAATTATTTTTAAGAGAGGAGGAGGGAAGAGGCTTACTCAATCCGCCTTCCGTGTAGATGTGATAAGCCTGAGAATGAGAAGTGTTACACATCAAAGGTCTTAAATAATTACGAAGAGAGAGCAATTTTTGAAGGCCTCGGTATAGGGTCAGAGCCCAAGGCCAGGGTTTGTCCTCCGACTTCTTTGAAATAACCCGATAACTGCAACTCGTACCGTTGAGCCAAGAGAACCTACTCCCAAGTCATACAGCTGGAGACCTTTGATAGCTTTGACCGCATGGGACTCACCCTTCCCCCCCTGTTATCTTCGTTTCAAACGCACCTCAAAATTACTTCTTCAAATCCATAAATACGATCTCCAAGAACGGATGGAAGACCATGTGTATCTGACCTCTTGACCTGGTTCTGATTTGGATCTGTTCTACTTTTTTCGGTTGAAAAGCTGGAAAACAGAATTTGTATAACAAGTTCCAAGACAGTGGGCGCTACATCTCTTTTCTCGTCGTGGAGGTTGAAATAAACAACAGGGAAGAGTTTCGCGTTCCAAAGACATCTCTCTTGTTCTGGCTGAAACAAACAAGCGGACATATTCGTATCACAAAAGCCGGTCTTGCATCATATGCTGATTACAACTTGATTCTTATTTATTTATTTATTTTAAGTTACGTTGCTATTCTCAAAAGACAAAATAAAAGATTGAACAAGACAATACAAAAAGGAAACATTGGTGGATAATCAATCAACTACTCTAGTGCCAAGACCCTGCGGGACTGAAACACGTCACTGATTGTTACTGCATGGAACAGTACCAGGCTTACATAGCATGTTCCAACTGTGCGTATGCTGACTTACCACTCCGAGCCAAACTTCCTCAGAACTTATTCCAGCTCTGTCAAAAAAGTTCTTCCAAGGCGTGTTACAGAAAGTACTGTTAGGGGACATATATGGCACCTGCGGAGATCAGTTTAAGCCGAGTGTAAGTTATATCTAAGCTCTGTTGTCAATCGTTATTGCTATTACTCATGCGATTCTTTAACTTGTATAAAAACTGATATTGAAGATTGGACCGAGAGTTTGTTCTCTAAAATTTGTTATTGTTGCTGCATTTGTTTTCTTAGTTATCAATGCAAACTTTGTCAAAATGGCATTAGTCACAAGAAAATCGCCATCTCTATCCAATTCTTTGCAAAGTTCATTGAACATCTCCGCATTCAGAAACACAAGTACAGGTCCAAGATCCTCGAAGGGTGGATAACGCTACTCGCTGGGTATTTTTCCATCCGATAGCATTTTGTCAGTCCTTATTTGCTGGACAGTGAGTTATTGCTGTATAGCGTTAAAAGCTCTTAAGCAACTGGGCATCGCAGAAATCTAACCTGTAAATCATCATGAACTCCAAATGCAACCAAAACCGTCTGTTGCTTTACATCAAGACCAGGGAGAGATATGTGACAGCGTATGATACACATATCGCTTGGAAAACTGACTCCAAATAAAGAAAAACCCTATGAAGATAAGAAAATTATTAAACCCTTTAAGTCCCCAGGTTTGAGGTTTGATTTGCAGTTTTCCCTTCTGCTCTCTTCTCCCTTTTGCTGCAATATAATTATTCCTTGTAAATTTGTAAAGGGAATTTGCAACGGTGTTACCATCCTATTGAAGGTAAATTCACCTGTTCTTGTCACCTTTCTGGATGATGAGTTGAAATTGTGAGGAAAATGAAGATGAAAATCATTCTAGGACATTAGTATTTGCTGGCTTCTAACTTTGTACAACCGGGAGCTTACGGCCCCTTTCCAATTTCGATTCTCTCGTGAAGCAGCGGCGATCTACAAGCTGGTTTCTCGAGTGTTTGTAAATTCCATCGTACTTCGATTGTAAGGAAGCATGACCACAGACATACCTCGAGGTCTCTCGAGGTAAGACCAATCAAGACAGACCCACATCCAAACTGCATACCACCCTGAAATACAAAAAACATCTCCGCTTAGATAAAAGTATAGAAGGAAAAAATTAAAACAATAAAACCTGATAGAATTAGCCTCCAACAAGGATGAGCTCATTCAGACTACTATTCATCGTGTTGACTATTACAGTCAAATTAGTCTTTTCACAGACCATACATTTCCTCCTAAATCATCACCCAGAGCTCGACCGTGATTAAAAGCCGTAACAAATTAATTATAGGGTCACGCCTGTACAATCAACTTCTGTTGAACTAACTATAAGTTATTATTATCATTATTATTAATTATTGTTATTATTAATTGTTAATTGTCGAGTCTTGTCTGCTTTCAAAATTCCTTAGAAGCTTGATAGAGCAGCTTCCATCTTGAGGTCTCAATTCCTAATTCTACCCTCCACATGCCAAGCAATCCTTTCCAATTTGGTAATGAGAATTTAGTATTAAATTAACACTCTCTTCAGCGGGGTTTTTCTGTTAACAATACTAATTTACTCAAAGAAGCATCGAAAAGGGAAGTTAAATGTCGATCTTTTCCGGGATTTGAGTATTTACAAACTGACCTTCAAGTGACAGTGCGACACAACTGAATCCTTCCGTATTATGATGCTATCGTCAATGATGGAATTGATTACAACAGAAGAACCGTAGTCACTAAAACTTTCACTCTGTACACATAGAGGACAACAGAATGGCTTTAAGGACAGAACCAGACGTCGTATGGGAGGCAGGGGATAACATGTATAATCATAGAAAATAATTAATAAATAAGACTCCCCTCTGCGCGGTCGTCCGATTTGTTAACACTAGCATGATTACAGACCAAATTGAACTCCATTCAATCCTATTACCATTTCTAATCCACGTGCAAGTTATTGAATTTCTTAACGAATCAGAATGGAGAGAGTGTGTTACTGAGTAAATGAGTGAATAGCTTAACCACATAATATGACTAACGTCATGCCATGAGGTAAAAAGGAGCAGTGAGTACTGTGATGTCTTTTCTCTTTGTGTTTGAATAATGTGACATAAATATCTCTGGAAGGGAACTTGGTTGCGGCTGTGTGACACCATTCTGAAATGATTTTTATTTCAAACTTCGTTGATTCAGTAAGGAGATATTTCACACTTACCATACATGGGGTTACATGCGTGAGTCTATTGCAGTCAAATGACTTTCCACTGAAGTTAAGCAGGTTAGTGCTGCTAAGCATTTGTCTCCTGTAACATTCCCCAGAGGCCTTCATGTAATCAAGGGTTCCGTTTTCGATGAGAACTGTTCAGAACAAAATTTTTCTCAGTAATTTGTACACAAGCTATTTCCAGCATATTAGGGAGTTTTAGATCCACGTTTGTCTCTGAATACGTGTGACCGCAAACGTCTAGGAGTCACGTGACCAGACTCCAGTGGTCACGTTTGCCGTCTACGTTTGAACTTCGGGCATGGCAGTTTCAGGTAGTTAAACTTCCTTGACCCTTTTTGTCTTCCTGTTTGAAAGTTATCACGTATTTCCTATAATTGTAAGTGAAGTGAAGTCTTTTCTTTGTAACCATTCCGTTTGGGACGCTAGAAAACCATTCTTTCAGCCACATTTTGTGCTTGAAGTAAAAGACCTCCACCCTTTGTGTAGTTCAAGATGACGGCGCACATGTCAATTTTTTTCAGGTGATATCCGACGTCGATCTAAAAGATTAAAACTTCTAACTTCTAACCACAAAGTGCTGACCGCGGTTTGACGTTTGCGGTGAACAATCCAAACGTGGATCTAAAACTCCTTATTAAAGTGCACCAACTCTAAGGCCTCAACGTCTCTGACTAGAAAGTGTGTTGAAGGAATGCCAGACCGCGGCAACGTTTTAAGTTGAATACTAAAAATATATCGCCAAACCTCCTTTTAGTTGTAATCCTAGGAGACTTTTCCAGAGCTGTGCTCTCGCGCTTCTCATCAACATCAGCTGGCTCTGATAACCCCTGCTTGTCTCATACCGAGTATTGCGTCGTCCGTACGAACCACTTCTTTCACCACAAACAAAATCTGACTCCGTTACATCTTCAGCCAGGCAGAGAAGGATGTCAAAGATCATCGATAACTATCAGATGCAAGAAAAGTAATGGTCTCCAAAGCAAACTTATTCTTTTTTTCGAATTTATCCGGTATACTAAATGTGAACAGGGACTGATCTTGCCAGCGAGTTCCTTCCCAATTTCTTCAACTGAGCTATTCAAACCTATGCCTGGGCCCGACGAAGACTAGCAGATCCACATCTGAAGTAACCACATCCGGAGACAAACGATTATATTTTTCTTTTGAAGTGTTATTTACCTTGATGACTAACCACAACCTACCTCACGATATAGGCCTTTAAGAATGTTGGGCAGCGTGTTTCATAAATTTTTATATGGGCACTAGCGACTTTACCTGGATTGGCTCCGCTCCGTTGTCCAGACCATAATAAGTGCACGCGTCCAGAGGATGAAAGACATGAAGATTTAGCATCTTTGATGCCACTTTGGCATTCATGTACACTGTACCGACAACCTGTTGATAAGACAGCCAAGGAATCATTAACTGAACCGTTAAAGATAATTTACCTTATATCAAATACCCTCTATCATTTAGCCAGTCACTTATTCCCTTCCTTTCATTGCCAAAAAACGCCTGAATTAAAATAAGATGTCATTTGATGAAATTTCTCTCCCTTACGATTGGCCGAAAGCCTGCCATATAATCTGCAAATGAATTCCAAGAAATGATGCTTCTGTCAAATTAAGTACCGTCTAAGTTTGTAGCGCGGATTACACGCTCTCAACGAAAACTTTTTCTTCCAAAAAAATTGGAATATTCGGGATCTTCCCCTAATTGATTACAGAAGAGCTACGTTTAAGAAATTTTATATTCTTTGGTAAAGTACACATACTTATCGATTCCAAATTCTTTTCAACTTAAGTGGAATGACCCCCAACTTACCACTGCTACTTTGCCGTTGCTAAGGGCACATTTTCTTATTTCGTCTTCAGTTTCTCGAAATATTATGTCTTTTACTTTGCCCTGGAAAAGAACAAAGGGAAAAACCTGCTTTTTAATTTAGGTTCAAATAACTGATACCATGAAAAGCTTTCCAGTAGATAAATTACCCTTCAAAAGATTTGTCAGCCATACCTCCTCTCCCAGTTTCACAACCCCGTGATCCTTTGCATATTGCACATTTTCTTGAGAGAGAATCACGATAATTTCATCTGAAAGCTTGTTCCAATCAATTCCTTAGGAGTAACGACAGCGAATTAGACGGAAATGCGTGTAAAGTTGCACAAAGCTACACATATGTTCAATGTTTAAATAACTTTGATGTACCTGCAATTATCAAGTTTTCCAAGAAATGCGCACGTTCAATTTTCTTGCATTTGTTTGTTTTATTTAATTTTTGTACTTACTTTTTTGAGGATCCACGGACGGAAGCATATCTGCACTACAAATCCACACTCCCGCATGGGCGTTTGCCGATAGCTATTTAAAGAAGAAACTTAAAATAAAGTTAACAGAAGTAGTCCCATTTTACAAACCCAAGTTTCCAAGCCGCTGAAAAGTATTCCATCAGATTATTCTCTTTAGCCATAATAGGTCTTTATATTTATCTTTATCAAAAGGCCTGCCACGTATGCTCCTTAAACAATATTATTTATTCAAAAACTGTTTTTTTTAAAGGGGGGAGGGGACTATTTAGAAAGCAGTAGAGCTAGTTCATGAACCGCGTGAGTTCTTTGCAAAATTGGCGGCGTCCATAACTGAAATTTTGTCACGTTGGGAGACAATATGGAGACCTTTAGGTTGCACTTTGGAATCTCGAAACGCAGTAAATAGTAGATTTTTGAAAATACTTTTTGACAACGGAGATAAACACTGCACGGTTCCCGAAGCAGACCTCTCCTTTGGATGTAAACGCATCATAGAAATACTTTACCACACACGCTGTCTCACCGTCTCTGAGATAACATGGAGCATGTAGTCGAAGTTTGTCACCAGAGCATCGTACAGATTCTCTTTTGATTCTTCCGAATGTTTAGCAGGTAGAGTGTTAAAGAATCTTCCACAAGGACTAAATGGAAAATCCCCACCCTTCTGTTAGAAAGGAAAATGAAATAAAACGTCTTCAATTATTTTTGCACGGTTCTGACTCTGCCAATCGCTCAGCCATTTCCCGAGAGGCGCAAAGCTTCTGTTTTAATTCGAGAGCAAGTGCACAGTTTTGGATAGGAAAATGATTCTTTACTCTCAAGGAAAACTAATTTTCATCAGAAATGTTTAAGCTTGGCCACATTTTGAAAGAGAGGGTTTGCAGACTACGGAAGTGATTTGTTAGTAAGTTTGAACTAAGACATGCCGATGAAAAATCCACATAAGCAACTGCAGTGAGGAAAAAATAGTGGATCACGGGCCATTTCTCTCTTGTCTTAAAAACTCTTCTGCGAAGTAAGTTCGCGAGAGCCGACTCAAAGCAGCGCTTGCTAAAGAAAGATGATCTGCTTCTCTTCAAATCGCTAGTTGCGTAGCCACTTACAACGCCTAATAAATACTCCCTTAGTCACAGTGTAGAGAAATAAGAAGCTTTAACATGAAATATCGTTACCAAATGGATGAATGTTTCCAGGTCGCTTCTGAGTTCTTATTGGAGAATGTAATCGTTCCCCTGATCATGCTCTTTGTAAAACGCACCCTGTTAGATATAAACATCACTTACCATGTGCATTAGAAGAATGTTTGCGTTCTCTAGAACACTTTCATTAGCGACCTGAAAGAGTACAAGTAGTTATCATATGCGTTTATCAACACAAATAAGAACCTGAGGAACATTAGTCCGTACCTTGATTTATTTCGCTTTTTGCCAAACACAACGCCAAAAAATCGATTTATTTTTAAGAGGTATATTGACAGAACCCTTACCAGCGGTGACGTTTCTAATGCCCTCAAATTTGTAGAAAAACTCGAAATAGTAATTAAGTCCCTCTACTTTTCATGTTTTGTCCGGCACTCATCTATTTAGTTTACTTCGGTTATTCAGTGAGCGGTCACCTCGCCACTTCTGAATTAAGACATTTAAAATGATTGTGTGCCCATCGAATATTGTTGCACAAGACGCCAGCAAGTTGTGCATAAGTCCTGAATGACCACTTTGTTTGTTTGCCACCAAACCCTTTACAGTAGATTACTCATTAGAAGGAAAATAAGACATTATTTGACCCAAACCTGAAAACCAGCTTTAGCGCTAAGATGCTCAGTGACAACTAACAAAGCATTCAGCGTAGCCCCACCACTTCCAACATCCCCTCTGGGGTCCTCAAGAGCCAACACCAGTGTATCTTTGCTAATCAATCCCTTACTTTGACGAAGTTCAAGTTCTGTTGGAGAAAATGTTTAAACAGTTATGAACACTTACTTTTTGTACCGGTTAGCCCGAAGAAATTTGAAGTTTATTTAATAATGGTAATAGACAGAAATTTCTATATGATCGCCGGTATAGTAATACACTTGGGATGTTGGGAAAGCACGAGAATCGTTTGTAAATCACTCGGCTCCGGCTTGTAATTTAAAAAATTTGCTCCTGTTCTCCCAACACCCCAAGAGTGTTATTATGTCAGTATACCGACAGAAAGTGCAATATATTGCTTGAAGATTTCATGACATTTGAACCCTAATATTTGTCGAATGGCTTGCATACACGTTAAAGTGAGGACAAAGAAAGTTCTTTTCTTAAGCATCGTACGTAAGTATACATAAATTTTTGGAAAGACATGATAGTCTGCGGTTGCTTAGACACGCTCAACTCACTCGAGCAATGCAGTTGTGCCAAGTTACATTTTTGAAACGACACCGAAATGGGTTCTTATCTAAACGGAGTACACTAAACGCAATTGATAAGCAAAAAAGAATCTTCTCCTTGTCAATGTTTTTCATGTATGGCTGCTCAAACAAGAATCGCAAAAATCACTTTCCTTTAGAAAGTTCAGTGACCTTTACCCACTAAAATTTGTTTTCGCAAGACGAGAAGAATCGCCAATCCGCAAAATAGAAATTCCGTGTAATGTTCATGCTGAATGGCAATTTATTTATTTTGAACAAGAGCTCTCGGACTAATCCTCGCTCGTTCAGTGAGGACCTGTTACGCGAACATATTAATCTTACATTCAATTTTTTTTGAACCACAATTAAAACAGACTGTAAGCTCTTAACAATGTTTTACCTGTCTGGAGAACCCTTGCACTCGTTTTGTTTTGACAGGTCAAAACTATCGCAGTCCAGGAGGTTTTTACCGCGGTTTCATCCATGGCTTAATCGGCAATGGAAACTAATATTTTCTTAAAGTGGTTGAGAAGTGATGCTCTCTGGAGTAGAGAACTAGTTTTATTGAGTGCTATAAATGATAGATGTGAAGTCACTCATTTTCATAACAAAGACAAACAGCCAGTCGTTTTGATGAAGAAAATTAAAGATGTTTGAAGGTTTTCTCACACAATGTAAAGATAATTCTGTAATCCACCACAGTTGCCCTTGACGATGTCAAAGGTTTTTGTTTAGATTCTGTAAGGTTTGATTGCCCGTTTGAAAGTAATCCTGTGTGGAAATTCGTTATTGATGGTGATTCAAATAAAAATTCCAACTGCAAAAGCTCATCTAATGAAGTTTTTCCGTTTATTTATGAAAAGATAATTTCCCTTGGAATTTGCTTTTAAAACTGGAGTTCCGTGGTATATTGTAATAATTTAGAAAAGGAAGAAAGGGCTTTACAGACGTGCGGTGACTTTCAAAATTTTCTAGAAGCGAAGGAAGACTAAGACACGAAAAAAAAGGATATCGAAAATGACTTGTAGCTTGCGGCTCGCGTCTGAAAAAGAAAATCGGCAATCGGAGCCGGCTTTGTAGCCTAGCAGATTTATTATGTCAGTGCGGAAAAAGTCTAGCGAAGGGTATGAGCCAACAACTCTCAGTAAAAATTATAGCTGCAGCTACCCAATAGTAACGTGTCAACCGCTCGCCACAACGCCAGATGAACTGAAGTCAAAGTCGACTTTTCTGGTCAGAAAGGGCCTATGGTGTTTACACAATTAAAAAAATAATACATGGTTGCTTTTAGATATAGAATTTCTTTTCTCGTGCTAAACTCGACATCTCACTCGTTCGCTGTATCCACTCATGAGATATCGAGTTGAACACTCGACTGAAGAGAAACTCCATATTTACCTGTGCCTTGGTATTATGCTCTGTTTATAATATAACTAGCAGCTTTTTAGTAGGTCTTTTCTTGACGATAGAAAATACTCTGATTGAGGACGCGATTGCTGAGGTTCGAAAAAACCACGACAAAATATTAGGAGTTAACAGGATATTTTATGTCCACCTTTACAGTTTCGTAACCGCACTCACATATCTTTCGAAAGAACTATCCTGACATGTTGTTTACAATTGTACTCACAAAAAAATGTCCACACAAACACGTTACTTTACTGATATATGACTTCTTGAAAATAAAATATTTTCAAGTGCGTCAATTATTCAATTCAAATAAAAGGAGTACCTTCGGTAGCTCGTCATGAATATATTTCGTTTCTAATATTGCTGCCTTATGCATGAATTTACTTCGTTTCTAATATTGCTGCCTTATGCTTAGAATGCGTCCGATGTTTAGCATGCAATGTTATCCAATTTTCCGTCAGTCATAAGAATGAATAACAATAATTCGAGATTTGCTCTGGTTGCACGCCTTACCTAGCAGTTTTATCGTTTATTCGTTGTGTACGTTTGTTTTTTTGCTCTAGTGACATTGAAGTTCTACTTTGTAAATGGCGCAGGCTTGCACTTGCCTCAGAGCGAACTGCGCCTCCCTTTTTTTATGTCGAATTATTAGATACCAGTAATATATTCTCTTCCCCAGAGATTTGATTCTTTTCAATAATTCAGTTCAAATTTGTTACCCTGACCGGTAGACCAGGAAATAAGAAAGCTCTGAGAAAAGGAATCCTGAACTGGAAGCCTGCGCGCGGACTAACTTAATTGCATAGTCTACGTCACCGTACCTTCTGCACTCAAAACTGTCTCAAATGATTATTTTATCACTATTTAATTTATCCTTAGGGCGTACTTCTAAGTTCTTGACGTCTGTTAGCCACACTGAAGAACAATGCAGACTCCTAAAAAACTTCGCTCTGGTATTTCTGCGATCTTCTTTTTTCAGAAAAAGAATTGGCATTGTCGATAATGGACCCGGCTGACCTGGAAACGGAATCCGACGTTGGCTTGACCTCCCTTGAGAAAAAGCTGTTGCAGGGGATGATGCGTAGGAGAGTTGCTCGAAATCTGTCATTCATCACCGTGTACACTATGGGGTTGTAGATTACAGAGGCTTTGGCGAGTAAATCCGGGACTTCTGCCTCTGAAGGTGTTAACGTATTCGTACCCCGGATGGTGGCGATGATGCTGACCAGGCAATATGGCGACCAGCTTAACACGAAGGCGGCAATTGACATCGCAATCATGCGCATCATTTTGATCTGAGACTTTCTTCGACTGGCTTCTACTGAGGCATTTCCTGAGGTGGGTTGTTGAATGCGAATGAAGCTAGGATGGAAGAGAAGGCTGTAAGTCTGTGATTATGAATAGTATTCCAATAACACTGATAACTCAAATAATGATCATAAACATAATAGTAATAAATAAAAAAAAAATGATAATAACAATAATAATGTATAACGAAGGAACCCCACTCGCTGAGGCGTTTTCCTTCCAGTGGGGTCCTAAGAAGAGGCCTCAGTGTGACTCTCAGCATTTTTCTCATGGTGAGAACTGTAGAAAAAACTATAGAGAATAATACATGGGCGCGCGTAGATATGGAATTTCTCTTCGAGTGTTTAACTCGATAGCTCACGAGTGAGTGAGTGAGCAAATCTTCGATTAAATCTTTCAGTTGTCGATTTTCATTCTCAGCCGAGAGAAATGCTAACACCAAAGCCACTGAATACGCAACTTTCGATTTTTCTTTTAGTATATTGGTTTTATTCCCCTTCTAGGAAAGTTTGAACTTCATTGTCTCTCAGCGATACGGATTTTTTAGTGTTTTCGCCGTCATTATTCGAGAAAGCTCCGACAAACAACTTGTACTGAGAATCGCGAAGGCTTCGCCGTTCATTCATCAACCTGACCGAGTGGCGTCAAAGGCGAGTGACGTGTAAGCAGCTAATTGGCTAAATCAACACACGCGAAAAAATACGATATTTTTTCACGTGTGTTGTTACGGCTTTTCTCAGGGCCGGAAATCCTTGTATAACACCGCAGATTTTGTGATAAAATTTATTATCCAGCAGGCCGTCCACGAAAAAAGAATTTGTCAGTTTACGTGGAAATGCAAAGCAGTTAGAAGCAAAAATGATGGATTAGATTTTGGGAGTAAAATACTTCATCGTTTTCGACACCTGGATTATATTGACATGGATTATATTGAAAGCCATGTTCGAGAAGGGGTGGAATGCAAAAAAAATATAACCTGGCGAAAACACGAACTAGCTCGAAAGTTAGTTTTCTTAGTAAAATATCCACCTTGACCTTAAAAGAGGCAAAAACCTTTTTCCGATTTTAAGGCCACGTTAATACAAATATTGATTGAAATATTGGATGGCGTTAGATAGATTACAACCCGTTCCTCCTCCAAGTATCCTAAATCAAATAAAACTGCTTTCTCTCGTAATACCATAGTCATCGGAGTCCTAATCGATTTTGCAATCTACGGAATATTGTAAATGAGATCTATTCGATTGGGAAAATTGTCATTTAAACTCTAGAGTTCTTTTCAATTGGCAGCAGAAAGCGGCATCAGCAAGCTCACCTGTAGATTCTGTAGTAACAAAAAATGATCACACACAGTGGCAGCACGAAGCCAATAAAAACCAGCAACATATTGTACGCCACTCCAGCCTTCGTTTCCGGCACCCAATTGGGACAGCAGCTGATACCGGAGGCGCCTGGGACGAATTCGTTCCAGCCCACTAACGGCGGGATCATGGCCACTACTCCATAAACCCACGTGAATGTGATAATGGCAGCCATTTTGATGGTGGAGATTTTTGTTGTCTTGGTGACTGAACTGACACCGTGAAACATAACCAAACTCATCATGGTCAGATTGGCGATTGAAGCGATGCCAGTAGAGCCATTGATAAATCCCGACCATATGCAGCTTATCCGACTTTCACGAACGTTAAGGCCAGAGGACGTATAGTTACTTGCGACGACCACAGGATAGCCAAAGACAATTATGACGATGTCAACAATCGCTAAGTTTATCATGAGTGGAGTGATGTTTTTCCTTTTGTGTTCAGGGCAACGTAAGACCAGGATTGTCAGAACATTGCCAACCGAACCGAATACCAAGATTAGGGTCATGACGATACCATATGGAATGAGGATGTTTGCACTCAGATAGAATTCTTGATTGCTGTTAATTGTTGTCGGAGTCGTGCTCAGAACTCCAGTTGACGGACTCATGACTTTCCTTGTCAAAGCTTTACACGTTTGAATCGTGATCAGTTGTTAGACTTGCAACTTTCTGTTACGTTTATCAGTTCTGTAAAGGAGTTTAAAACATTTTCATGTAAATAGATATAAAGAAAGATAAAATCATTAAAAAATATCTTTAGTTCACTTGCCGTTTTGTAGCGATCTCGCACACTTCATGATATGACAGCAATCTTTGTTTTGTAGGCATGTTGGGTTGTAATTACCTATCTATGAGTGTAAAACTGAGAGTTTCGTATCTCCCTAGTTCATTGTGCGAAAAGGCTTAAGCACTGAGTTTGAACTTTGCATAGAAAATATTGCTCATCTTTGGTAGTAGTTTTTCATTATTTATGGAAACGAAGCTCTTTGTTTCCAGTAGAGAAGAAAGGTTTAAAAGTACGGCTGCAAGATTTAAATTATATCCGAAGAGCTTAAAGGATCTTGGTCAACCACGCCCCTGTATTTGTTTACTTTCGGAAAAAGCACAATAACGTTCTTACGATAATCAACATCAAGGGAACATGAGTTGAGGTTCTCTTGTTGGCACAAAATTAATTTGATGGTGAATGAAACTAGAGACATAATAGAGGAAGCGACGATGATTGAAGTCCCACGTAGGATACATTGGTTTAGGATGCAAGAGCACTGGAACCATTAAATGAAACATTAAGTCCAAAGACGATGGTATAAGAAATAACGGATATTCCGGTGCGTGAACGCAAAGCATTTTCGATTGGATATTTTAGTTCATAATACAAATTACGAACCACAAAGCACTTAGATTCAAATCCTTCCGATCGCGCTTTTTTATTATTTATTAAGTTTATCCAGCGAACGAATGCGAAGCGGAGGCAAACACATAGGGCGAGTCACGGACAAGAATTCCTATGTTTGCCTCTGTCTTGCATTCGTTTGCTTGATAAACATAATAAATAATTAAAAAGCGCGGTCGGAAGGATTTTAATCTTAGTGCTTTGTGGTTCGTACTCATTGCGAAAGAAACTAAAACATCTCATGAAACAATGATTTGCGTTCACTTACCGTAATATCCATTATTTTCTATACCATCGTCTTTGGACTTAATGATTTATATGCTGGTTCCAGCCCTCTTGCATTCTAACGAGTGTTGGAAAGGTTAACGAAAAACACGACAATTGTACACACAGAGATGAGCATGTTCGTACGCTTCTAAACACATCCGAACACGTCCAACATATTGCTAACCATCACATTCTTGTTAGCTTTATTAGAAAACCCCACGCGTATCAAAATAACAAAGAGTAGTTATTAAAACAAGGAATGACCTAAAAAAAAAAAACTTAAATGGCCTGTAATGACCTAAACAAAAGGAATAACCTAAAATAATCTTGACTGATGTCTAAGATGGCCAAAAATGAAAATAACCTCGACTGATGTCTAAAATTACCAAAAATGACGTTCAAGCCTTACTCAAAAGATCCAAAATAGTAGTTGGTAGTAGCACAATGATCTAAATTGTTCTAAGTGATCTAAACTGGCATTTTAAATAAAACAGAGATAAAATAGCTTTCAGTGATCTATGGCGAATTACATAACTGAGTGCTTACCTAAATAATACTGAAACGCAGAAGGTGCCCTGAACAACTGGAGATTCCTTTCCCGATAATTACCACGCGATTTCGCTTTGCGCGAAATGCCTAGTTTTTCCCCAGCAACGCGGATTTGATTGGTGCGAAGTCCCAAGTTTCGCTTAAACAACGAGTTTTTGATTGGTGCAGCTATTTCATAAGGGAAGACACAAAGTTATCTTTTATTCGTGCGCTTCCCTTGCTCGTGGTATGGTTTCCTGAACACTTCTAGTTCTAGGTACGTACGTTTGCAGATAAGGTTTTTAGCTCGCGCATTCAGTTCTGCCGTTCTGTTGTATATAGCTGGCAATTACTATTTTAAGTTGTTCTGATAAAATTTAAACGTCATTTTACGTCATTTTAGTCATCAATGGGGATTGCTTTCGACCATTTTAGGTCAATACATCTGTCAAGGTTATTTTAGGTCACCTTAGGTCATTTGAGACATCATTCAAGGCAGTTTTAGGTCATACCTTGTTTTAGTAATTTCGAATATCAAAGAAGCACGTACACAAGACGAGTGAACACTTCTCTCGCGTGGATGACTGTTTTTCGATGGAGACGGTAGCTTTTACCTTTGCATGTCATTTAATTCACTGCTTCTGATACCATTTTAAGGTAAAAGAGCGAGTCTGCAAGCAAATGAGCGACGGGAAATTATAAACGAGTTAATGAAGCCCGGCGATATCTGGGCCTTGAACATGTAATAGTTAGTTTATTACTTAATGAGGTATGCAAAGAAGAACTTTGCAAGTCTACTTCGTTCGGTGACGGTGTATTTTTGTCAGCAAGTGGTGTGTAAATAGTGTCACCCTCCTGACGACATAAAATTCCGTCTAATTTCTATTATGGTAGTGGACAGAGAAAAGGTCTTAGAGAAATTTGTTCTTCCGATACACGAAAATCGTTTCCTTGCAAAATGTTTTATTACATTTTATAATAAAGTTCGGATATAACGCGCGCTGTTGTTGGTTGAAAGAGCAGGCTCTATCAGAGTACAAAGCATAGAGATGAGCTAAAGCCGTCACGCCATTTGCCAAATTGTATTATGTCCGACCTTTCCCGGGACTTCTCTCTGGCTTTTTTTCGTCAATTGAAAGTGAAATTTCGGAACAAGCGGGCCGGCAAATAGCAACAGAAGTACCAAATAAAGCTTTGTAAACATGCCAAGCGCCGTAATTTACGTTATTATAACGCGAGAAGAGACTGTTGCAGAACTTCTGCGATGGTTTGAGCTTTGATGGTTTTTAAACTTTGATGGTTTGACATTTTTGATAGGTTTAGTCTAGTTCAACTAATCAGATTATGTGAACCATTCTAACAAGGATTTTAATTGGCTCCTTTTTCTCGTGCTGTAGATCGATCAATCGCTCAATCGGCCGGCTGAATGCATATGGCAAAGCGTGAAAAATGCAGCCCATTTAAAATGAGAAGCTGACAAGTTCCTTGAAAAGCAACAGCTTCTGTATAATACACAAGACGTACAGATCGCGACGCTTCGATTGTAGTCAAGCTCCACCATATATTTTGTATCATTTCACATACCATTAAATGCTTCAACCACAGATGCAGCCTGTTGCAACAAAAAAATGCATTTTGTTTCTTTCTTTCTTAACACTGCAGGAGACAGTCTGATTTAGTTCCGTCCCAGCTCCTCTCCCTTTTTTAACGATGTTATTAGAAACTTGCCGTACATATATCTATAGGTATATATATTCCCCTTTTTTATTATTATTTTCCTTGAGATTATGTATTTATTCCATATATGGGTGACAATAAAGATGGATATTATTTATCTTTTTGTTTCTAAAAAAGGGTATTTAGTCACTTCGCTGACATATCAACTTGTCGACAATCAACATCTTTTATAGTCGACTCGGCAAGTTAATTAGTGGTTTCGGCGCGTTGACTACAACATTGATGAGTTTGCTTATGATGACGGCGAGTTGACATGTCGACGAAGTGATCAGTTACTGTTACATTGTAAAAGAAGCGGAGAAAAACATAAGGAGCCTTTTAGGTATTTGCTGTTCCAAGCTGTAAAAACTTGGCGATAGCATTTCGTCGATCAAGCAGTAAATGTGTCGCAGCGGAAAACAGAACCTTGCAGTCTGAATACTTAAAACCGTCCACTTTAACGCTTGGGTTTGTAAAATTTCGTGCTGTATATGAAAACAAACAGAAAAAAAAAAATTCCCTCCATAGGTGGTTTACAAATCGTTTTGAAAATCATGAAACTATACACGGGGAACGATGTTGTTTAAGAGATTCGCTTTTCATGAGAATTGGTAACAGAGTGTTTAAGAAAGGAAAGAAGTACGGAAAGTTAATGCTACGTGCTCAAACAATGAAGAAATATAAATTCCTTCTTGTGTTCATGCAATCGTAAAAGCAACTCGCCCTGTTTTGGATAATTCTACACCCGGTCTCCATCTTATTCGTCATTTCTGTCAACTCAACTTCACACTATCGATATGGTACCGTTCGCTATCTCTCGCGTGATAGCCACGCGATCATACTCCGGAAAATACGTGAGCGCCCACTAGTCTTGAAGACGAGTCAGCAAAGTTACCTTTTTAACACTTTGACGCGCGCGAAGAGTTTAAAGCCCCCCTTCGCGCGAATAGAGTTTCTGCCGTATTAGTTTATCGGCGACAAGAAAATAACACGTAAGACATTTCCATACGAAAACTAATTTCCAATTGAATATCAGCTGCGTAATTTTTCAAGTGTAGGAAAAGAAAAAACGAAGATGATCATCCGTCACTGTCAACCTTTATCCTTTGACCTCTAAGAGTGACTAATAACTAAATTCTCCGTACAGTATCACCGCTGAATCACAGATTAAAGTAACGAGAATAAAGGAAATGATCACCAAATCAAGTAGCTCTTGACTGCTAAACAAATTCTCCTCGTCAGCACATTAGGAAATGTATATAGAACAGTATGGAGAATATGCATACTGATGTTAGAGTGTAAAGGCTTTATACACATATGACTACCTTTATGTGAAGAGACGCCAAAAAAAACACATATTTAGAATTCCAGAAAGTTTACTCATGAATTTTTCGAACGTCCTTGTTGCATAAAAATTTGGGAAAATATGCTCTTAAATGGCAATAAGTAATTAAAACCACAAATCGAATTAACCGGCGTCAACTAATCGAGTTAGGGGCTTGTCAAGAGAACTTGATTTTAACCATACTGTTTTTTCCCCTGAAGACTTCATAGATATAAAATCGCCAATTTGTGGAACAAAAGAGATAAACAAGGTGGCTTATAGAAAATGCTCTCTGAAGCAATCCAGTTGTTCGAGAATTTTTGATATCATTTCCCCTCCATTAGTTCAGTCTTTAGCGGAAAGAGGGGAGGGGGAGAGTCTTACTTTAAAAAAAAAAAATTAACAGGATTTAAGGTATGCCTTCACTCTTGAAATTCCCATCTTATAAAGCTAACCCTA